AAACGAACGATATTGAGGGATAAGGATCAGGAATCCTGCGATGTCTGTCACACAAAAACAACAACATCAACAAATTGATCAATTAAAAAGAAAATGAGATTGGTTTGTGAATAATCTATTTTCATTTTGGACCGATGGAAATAACAATTTACTCTTGATAAACCACAATTAGGTGATATTTTCATTATTCTTGTTCACATTCGAGGTACCGCCATCTTGGTGCACTCGTTCACTCGTTTCGGCCTCCATGAGCGAGAACCAATCAGAATTGGATTTTTTTTTAGGCCACTTTCAGCCGAACCAAAAGTGAGTTGTCTTAACTCTGGGTATAAAGGGACTCTAACAAAAACCATAAATAACATCAGAAACTGACTTTTCAAGATCATTTCTTCGTTTGATACCGAAAAGATTTAATTTTAAGAAAAAAGCAGTTAAAGTTTTTAGAGACCTGTTGCTCTCATGAAAAATTTTGCATCTCATTTAAAGTCCCCTTTTCCTCAGGTGCATCACATTGTTTTTTAAATAACACGTTGTCAAGTAAAAGAAGAAGAACAATGTTTAAAAATTTGGAAACTTAGTCATTTCTTGCATTGTGTCTACACAATTTTCTTTGATATTTTGATAAAATAGGACTCAATGGTTCTCTCTTATGGCAAACAGTGCATGAAGAGTTCATTCATATTTTTGAGGATGTAGGAGCAGAGAAGGACTAAAAATACCTATTTAAACACGTATTAGGGTTAAACTCAAAAATACAGAAAGATGGGAGACAATGATGACATTATCAAACCACGGCTCTTAATATTGTCGTGATAGAAACTTTCTGCTTTGTATTCCATATTCAACACAGGATGCTGCTGGACACTTTTGTGCAAACTTTTCAGGGAATATCATTGAAAGAACAAATCAAACAAAATTTTGTGCAAAAACGGTAATCATCAGGTTTCTTTCAAAAAGTAAAAAAAATTAGGCAATTTGCAATGTCACAAACTGAGATACAAAATTTGGTGGTTTCCCCATCAAAATATGAAAAATACACACAGTAGAACTATTACTAAAATATACTAATTTGACTGTTAAAAGCTTTTAAATCTTTTAGCAAATTTCAGTAATGTCAAATTCAAAACCCTAAAGGCAATTAACAATAGATATTGGAATGTTTACATGCTTGACTGCAACATGTTTATGATAAGAAAGGTTTTACAAAACTACAGAATTTGAAGATTTTAACTTTCAGGATACATTTTGCATAAGAAAGAAAAATGAAAGCAATTTGCAAATAAATTTGTCTTAGTTTTAGTTATAGGCCGTGAGCTAGCCTAATACTGAACTGATACAGTGTTAATAAAAAAACAAAAAAATCCTGCAGTAGGTAACAAAATGTAATGTTTGTGAAAAAATACTTTTACAATAGGTAAAATGTGATGTCATTTTGCAAATGCACCATTTAAAACATAATTACTCAAGTAGTATGATGTTTCAAAATCGATACATTTATTTCTGATAAAAGACTAAAGAATTTTCGTTTTAATTTGAGTTTGAAATTCATTTTTTTAAAAGGCACTTCAAACTATTGAAAATATCTCTTGTCATTCATTTGTTGGGCAGGATACTTCTGTCCCTGGAATTTTACCGGAAGAAATGTTTGATCCTCAAGTTATATGTTTCCACTGAAAAAAAAACACCTACACTAGGGAAGAGAGCCATGACCACAGTACAACCACATCTTGCTCTGTTCCTTTGTACTTAATCATGACTTGCTCGGGAGCTGAGCAGAATGTAGCAGTGGGTATTCTACCCAGAGTTTCTAATTAGGCACACATAGTTTATGAATGATTGAATCTTCACAATAAAAGAATTCTAGAAAAACAATGTTGTGAGAGGAGACAAGAATTTTTTCACCAATATTTTTTTACGTTTTAGCCATCTCTAGATTTTTTGGGAATATGCTACTTTACATTCGAGAATCTTGATTGAGGAGAGTTCCGTGTGAGCAAAGAAAAAATTACCTAAAAATCTAAAAATAGCTAAAAAAAAGAAAAAATATTAGTCCAACAATATGATGCCATAAAGTAAATTTACTCTTACTAAAAAGGACTGTTCACATAATATTATGCATATTACAATTGCTTGGTGTTCAATGTCAACGATTGTAAATGCATGTTCAATCAGAATGCATGCTTTCAAATGCATGTTCAATCAGAGCCGAGACTCTCAATAAAAATTATCTGAACCTTTTTTTTAGATCGATTACGTATCCATCGTTTATGAACAGAGTTTATAACAGGTAGATTTTAATTGAAAAATACACGCCTTAAATGCAACAGTTGAATTAAAAATGTCTTTTCCAAAAAATATTTTACTATGAGCCATAAATGAGTGAGGGTACTTTTTTCCTTTAAGAGCCTGCTGAGATATTTCCTGTGGGAAAAATACGCACTAACAGACAAAAGGCGGGGAAGAAACTGTCCTCGTGAGCATTTACAGAAAATTTAAAATAGGTGTCTCAATGCCATGAGGAAAAATGTCCTTTTCTTGTATGCATGAAATGCATTTTCTACTAGCAAGAGCTGCGCCTAAATTGAAAACTACTCTTATTTGACTTGTTACAATCTTCTGGTGAATGCACTTCTGTCTTTCCTTTTATCCTACAACTTTCTGAGGATTTCATTTTATAAATACTTTTTAGTTTTAGTTTAGATAGCATGAAGACTTTTAGCTGTGCCATTACACTCATACACTATAAGAGACCTTATGGTGATTAAGCTTGTAACAGCACAAAAGCTTCAAATGCATACTACAAGGAAATTCATGGGAGTGGGGGGAGGTCAACTTTTAAATTGGTTTCTAATTCAACCACAATTTTTAATCGAGTTTTTTGGAAAATTTAACAAACTTGAACTGGCTTACATTATAAATTCAGGGAGAATTTGTATGCTAATTTGCAAGTAATGAGAGGGTATCTTTTAGTAGGCTTCAAATTTTTTGTTATAAAGACAAAGTTCCATTTTCTGCAGTATATCAACAACGCCGAAGAAAAGTTGACAACTCTATCTGAAACCAGGGTCTTTGATGGCATTTTTTGGATTACAGGTGAACGAAATGGTTGCTGCATACCTTGAACCACCTGTGACACGTTCAACATGATGAGGGTTTTCCCAGCCTGATGTAAACCCTGACAAGCGAGCTGAAAATTTTTCAAAAATTAAATTTGTGAGAGAAAATAAGGATAAATGAAATTACTGCACTCCATTTCTGATTACTTGATCAGTCAAGCCAGTCTAATCATTGTATACGAAACCATCATAAGCCGAAATCTGGTCAAATGAGGGAATTGATTGAAACCGCTTGGTCCCTACACTTACTCATAAAATTTTATTCTATTTCAAATCTATGGTTGGTTACTGGGTAAACAAGGTGAGATAAACAATTTCAGGAACAGTGCATACCTTTCTTGGGCTCAAGTATAGTTGAGTAATTAGCAAGTTCATCAAAAATAAATCGACCACCAGTAAAATCTTTCCCATAATTGTTCAAGTACAGCAGTGATGTGTAATGAAAAGATTTGTACGTTTCCTGCGGACATAAACAAAAAATTAAATTACCCTCGGAGAAGTGAAGACTATTAAAAATACTCCAAGCAATTACAAATATGTGCTAAAAATGCTCTGGCTTTGAAAGTTGTAGGAAGATTTAATACTACTGGGAGGAGACACCAAATTTTCCCATCTGTAAATATAATTTCATAAGTTGGCAACATTGGGATGATCCATTGGCTTCAGGCAAGAAATGCTGACACCAAGGCTTACTGCGCCTGTGCACCAAAGAACTCGCGCATTTCAAAGCCAGGCCACTGGCTTCGATCTGCTGGAAAAATCAGTTCTGCATTCAGTCTGTCTTTTTCTTATTGTGTCAGTCTTCAATGAGTGGCTTTGGCCATAAGCTCACATATGTAGACGTAGATGTTCAAGTTTAATACCCGTCATGTCAAAGCAATGGTGCACAGTTCTTTTGACCATTTCCATAGGAGATGTCTCTACGCTAGATCAAGCGCTCTAACCCAGGGACTACTAGTGAGCGTCAGGGTTGATGCCTGCAGGATCTTGCCCACTTATCACTCATCGTCCGGATGCAACTCTGGCCATTCAAGTTGGTCAATCGAAAGTACACTCATTTAGCATATTACATTACAGTTTAAATTTGAGAAATTAATGCAGAAAAATACATATCCACTATTGCTGAATAATAAAATGAATTTACCTTATCAACATGTGTGTGCCAGTATTCATCATGAACAGTGGCTGCATCCTTGTTGGTGAGAAATGAGAAAAATGTAGGATGGGTTAAATACAATGCCGACTCGGAGATATTAAATGCACTTGCAAGAAGGTTTTGAATTTTCCTCCGGACGGATCTGCAAACAAATTGCACACGTGTAGTCAAGGTTCTGAAAGCTATGAGCTAAAAAATGTAGCAATGATCACTCCTGGTTTATACGTTGGTTCAAAAAGCACTGTTCTCTTAGTGATATCACTTCGTATAATAATGTCTCTTATTGAATCTAGAATAATTATAACATTGAGCGGAAGTCTTATGAAAGGTTTTATTGGGGTTACGCTGCTAAAAAAAAAAAAAAAAACAAACAAAAACAGAGCCGTAAAGTACTTGGAAAAGCTTTAAAATCAAGCACATCACAATATCACACAAAAGCGTTTATAGTTTGAATGTTGAGGTAAAGAACTGAGCTCTTTCATTCACTTCTTTGACAAGTGTACTCTAAGATAAGTTTTACTTAAAATGACAAATCTAATTCTCAATCTTGTTCTCGACTTTTTAAATTCAAATGAAGAGTCTTCATGATCCATAGAAAGTTTAAGCTAGTGTTGTCAAGCTGAAAGTTGAGTTTTGTGGGTTTATTTTTTGGCAAAGGCTACTTTAAAACAAGTTCTGTTCAAAATCACCAGAGCTCAGCTTTTTCTTCAAAAAACATATCTTCAATTTCTGATTCACAAAGGGCTTTAATTTAGTTTAAACTATAACAAAAATTAAAAGGAAGTCTCAGAGTGAAATTCAAAGCAGCTCACCTGTAGGTTGTAATATCTTCCTCATGAAATAATTCGGAGGCTTTTATAAGGCTATAAATATTTACAAATTTTTTTCCTTTTGATAGAGCACCAGAATGAAAATCAAGAATAGATGCACCACCATCAGATTCACCATAGGCAAAACCGCGCTTGGCCAAATTTAGAAGTATCTCAGCTTCTGCTGAAGTTATCACATTGTCAGCAACAACCCTACCACATTGAGCGGGAATGCAACCTGTTGAATAAAACAATAATTACGATAAATTTTGAATCTTTCCTTTGGCAAAACAACATCTTCATACATTCCCCCACTTCTTTGACAAATATATATTTTCACACTTCATAATCGCACTGGAATCTGTTTCTCTTCTCAGCATTGCATATGTCTTTGGCTTGTGTCTTGAATCCTAACTAGATTCAATAGAAGAAGATTTTTACTCTCATTAGATTCGAGACAAGAATAGAGAAAACTAAGTTTGTCAGTAAGCTACGACACTCATAATCAGATGCTTTACTTGACACTTATTTTGCAGCAGAAAATAAAACTGTAACATATGTACTAAAAGGGGGAAAAAGAGGGATGCACTTCATCCCTCCCAAAAATCTTTCCAATTTTACTGGCTCAGTTTTGATGAAACTTTTCCTTTTCGTAGATTTTGATAGATTCTCTAAAGCTGAGAAAATTACTCTGAGAATTGCATGGGAGTCATACCACTAAAAGCTTGTATATCTTCTAAATAACTTGACGAACAGGGAACAACTGCCTGTTTTGTAGGGATTATATCATTCGAAGATGCCCATGTTAGATCATTATTGCTTTCTTCAAAGAGTTTGAACAACTTCAGCAGGTAAGCACATTGAAGTCCAAATACAGCGATCAAAATGAGAGTGATTTTCTGTGCTCGTTTGTGCATTTCGATGAACTTCTTCATGCGTACTAATCTACAAACAAAATTAAGGTAAGTAAGTACGTATTCGGTAAAAATGTCTAGACAAAAAATATGAACACGGTTGTATTCCTTATGATGGCAAAATTATGCTGAAATACTCATCATTTGTGTTAATATTTAAAACATATATTTAGTTAATTTCAAATTTAATATTCAATACTTGGATATTCTTCCATGGCAAAATGGTTACAAATGTTTGAAAGGTTGAAAATTAATTTCCTTTGAAATGATATTTCTCTTCTATATCCTGAAATACCAAGTACATAAAGAGAGCTTATTTAATGTTTTCGACATTTGTTACAAAATCATATAATATCTCTGAGAGGATTTGGCGGTTCTACAAGTGAACCTATTCTGCGACCCTGGCTGCAGCTATGCAATAATTGCAGCTATAACCTTTTCTTAAAATGTTTGCAAATCTAAAAAACGCTTGTCGGATAACTTTTCAGTTCAAAGGCCATTCAATTTCCTTCCTGATAATGAAATATTGCTTCACTGGATACCTACTCCAAGAGTCACAGCTTGAATGTGTAGGATTCAGAGGTTGTAGGCCCGCTAAATAAACCGTTCAGAACTTGCTGCAATTATTCGGTGGGATCATCGATAGTGAAATGTCCAAATTTGATACTTTTGCTGTCTAGTTGCTTTCAATTTTTCATTCTCTCATTTCTTCACCCACCTTTCAATACCCAAGTAGCAGTTATCGCGATAAATAGCAATTATATCAGTTGATTATCGCGATTATATCGGTGGCAATTTATCGCAATATTATCGAATGAAAAATTGCGATTTATGGCAATTCAATCACTATGCATTGCAATTTTCTGTTCAATGAGATTGCGGTCAATTTTTGCCGATAAAATCAAGATTAAATCGCCATATAATGCGATTCTTGTTGCGATAATATCACGATAAATTGCCGGGCGATTTTGATGCAACAAGATCGGAGATAATCGCTCAGATGTTGATAATCTTAGCAATTTTATCAACGACAAAATCACTACAACTAGCGATTTTTCCATTGACAAATGCAACTTGGGTAAGTCTTTACTTTCAAAAGTTGAGTAAAATGGAGTGTATGCGTAAAAAATAATCTCTAGAAAAGAAAAAATTTATACTGCAAAATACTTACATTACTTAATCTTAAAAAAAGTAAACCAATTGCATCACTTGCCTGCTTGGTACTTCTACCGCATTCCTTTCCTTTTTCTTGACCTTCTTTGGATTAGTAGGTTTTGAAACACGTTGCGAAGATCGAGTGCCCATGCCTGAGGCAAGATGTTTACATACTAAAATTGAATAATTTTACTATGGTTGGTTCGAACAAACTTACTTAGTTCATCGAGTAGGGTTAAAAACTAATGCCATTTGGAATTGAAATTCTGTGAATTAAAGACATGCCTGTTCAAACCTTGCACACCTTGATGCTGCTACAAGTGAGATTTGAGGGATCAAAACAAATAAAACTTGGATTCAGAAAAGCTGTAAACCTAATGTGCAGCAGGACAATACAATCCAAATGATTACAATGACTAGCTATGTTTATGCGAGCCTCTTAACCTAACTTCAATCGAAACCTGAGTTTGAAACCAAGGTTCAAATCACGGCATAAACTATACGGAACTAACGAAATGTAGGTTTCCGAAATTTGTGTTTGAAACCTTATTTTACACTAAAGACTAGGTTTTCGCACTCCGCATAAACGAACCGGAGGTTGAAATTAGTTGAAATTCGACTTCAAGTGCGATTTTCAGGTGCGCGATCGGCAATATGGCGGATTTATTATCATACCGTTCGTAAACAACTGGTGCTTATCCCACGATTTAGCTTTAATTTTGCCAATATTCAACATATTTTACAACCATAATTTTACTATAATTGTTTCTGAAGCACTTTTGCGTGATTCTTTCAGTTATATGTGGCTTATTTAGCATTATTTAGCTAAACGTAGGACGTTATTTTCTAGTGAAGGTGTTTAGTGTCAGATGGAATCCAGGCTTATTACTGCTTTTTCAGATTATTCTTGCAACTCTAATCAACATTTTATGACTACAGAAGCAAAGCAAGCAAAGAGCTTTACAGGCTACAATTGAGTACCTAATAGCCTTATCTACCAGTTCATCATCTGCGGAGAACTTTTTTACCGTATCCACACGATTTGCCTAGGATTTAAAGATAAGGCACCCTGCTTCCCTTTAATTAGTGCACCGAATTTTTTCATTTCAATCTACCGATTAAATCTAAAATCTGATCCAATCAGAGCTGCATAGCTCTTGAATTTGTGTGTTATCCGTGTATCTATTTCCTGGTTGTCCTACTGGAAGTGTGACTCCAGCCACAACCGTGACCTGCTGACTTATTTCTTTGATCCAATCTCTAGTAAATGATGACTCAAATTCTGAAGCCGTCATTTATTGAAACTAGTTCAAAGTTATTGCTCCAAAGTATCGTCACTCTTCTCATACTGATGCAGAAGGAAGGAGATTCTTCGGTGAGTGCTCTGTGATCCAAGATTTTCAATTTGAGATAAGAATAAGGTTTTTAGTGAGGCGTGTAACAATTTTTGGTCATTGAACCACTTGTCATAATTGAGCTTTTGCGTTAGAGGTGCATCAACTGTGGAAAGTGGCTCTGCCCGTGCAAAAATATCTTGTGACAGCAGTGAATGTTAGTAAATGCGCTTTACAGATAGACTAAGAGCTCCAGATTCCAATCTACCTGAATAATTAAATTCAGAAGGATTTTTGAATTGAGTTCATATCGAATCTCAGTGGGAGAATAATATACAGTGTAAGCGAAAGAATATCAATGGTAAGGTTGGGTTGGTGTCTTAGGTTAGTGAAATGCAATGGCAGGTTCTGAAATCTTGTTTTTCAGTTGCTCTTTACATGAGTCACCTTTGAAAATCAAGTTTAAGAAAAACACACATAGGTATAGGCAAACAGTGGTAGGTAGCTTGCCTATTTTCTTCCTGTCTTGCTCATGGACTCGGAGAGCAGTCGGAAAGAGGGGTGAGAAACAGGATTTCAGCGCGTGTCTCTGGGAATGTGGAAATTCAAAATTTGTGAAGCGTCACCAGTTTGTTGAGATTGTCACCGTCCGTTACCTCAAGAGGATTTAGACGCTTCTGCTTCAGCGATACATTGTTGACCTATCAATATCTGCTTATTTTGATCATATCTTGAAGGAGGAATTCCCATAAGTATATCCCGATTCTTTATTTGTTTCACTACAATAATAGCAGACATACAATCTTTACAACAGCATGGAGTGAAGGTGCGGTGCTTTACTGGATTAGCACTCCTACACTTTCAATGCCCATATCTACCTATTGTAAGATCATTAGAAGCTCAATCAACAACATGATGAATTTCTGCGCCTGCCATAATTATTTTTAACATCACTAAAATTACCTATGGCAACTTTTCTGAACTCAGAATATAAGCTCGAGCATGATTTGGAGGGTTGTTGAGATTAGGTATTCATTCAATTTTAAAGATGAACGTAAAATGATTAAACATATACTGTCATTTTTCCAACTGTTGCTCAGAAAGTCAGTAAAGGCTTTTCTAGTGAAGATGAAGCCTCCGCTTATATATTGTGGAAAAATTGAACATACACAGGATAAAAGAGTAATACCTAATAATTTATTGAATCAATTCATAGTGGAAAAATGAAGTATAGCTTGTGAAAATGGCGCCAACATGAAATTCAAGTTCAATCGAAAATATGCGCATAAACAGCGCCAAAATCGGAAAGTTTGATTTCCCGCGAAAGTCGGGTTACAGCGCCCGCATAAACCCGACGGAGAAAACTTGCATTACAAACTCGGGTTTCGTGAAACCCCGGTTTCGAGCCTCGCATAAACGTAGCTATTACTTTGTGAGAGATATTTTGATTATAATCAAGTTAAAATCGTAAAACGTGCTAATCATGCGGTTAGCGGTATTATCAATCTCCGTCCGTCTTGTCTTATCACTATTGTAATCAAAACAAAGCAGACTTACGAAATCAAAGATTATACTTTTACTATCATCGCATACGTACTTTATATAATCTTAGACGCGTTGTTAAAGTCAGAAGTGCAACCGCTGAGTTATCCGCTGAGTGGCTGAGCTCAGCCGAAGTGTTGTTGAACGTTTTCTGAGTTATCCGCTGAGGTAAGCAAACGCCGCCATCTTCTCAGGAAAATCGCTCAGCGCTCAGCATGGTTCCGTGGGCGCTTACCAGTTTGCTGAGAAGATGGCGGCCTTTGTTTACTAACAAGTTTGCATCATCGCTCAGCGGATAACCATGGACGAAGATATTACATTATATTCATCCATGGGATAACTGAGAGTGGCGGACTGACGTCATTTAGCTGACTTCAATTTCTAACTTTAACAACGCGTCTCTTTCCTCCAACATTTTTTCAAAATGGCGCAAACCCTCACGCCAACAGCCAATCAGGGTTCATTATGTGTTGTCAGTGTTGTGATAATCCTGGACTTGCGAGCTTTTTGTGATAAGTTCGTGTTGACGTTGTTGTTCCTTCCTCCCTTTAACTGAGCATGATGACTTTACCGTTTTATTTTACTGTAGTATGTTCATTTTGTGCGTTTTTTGAGGAGGCAAACCTATTATGACTGCAATTTCACGGTGCTTCAGTTGCCGTTTCGAGGTTTAAAGTCACTTATTAGGTAAGTGTTCATTTCTCCTTCTCAATTCTATCTCTTACCCCCAGCAGTTTTAGCACCCAACTCAAGAAATTCACTCACTCTTCCTCGAGAGCCTAGCCTATCAGGTTCCTCACATCCACTTTCATTGTATTTCAACTTTTTTTTATTCACAGATATTCCTCTGCTTGGAACATTGTGCTCCTAATTTGTAGCAGCGTTGCTTCAGATAGGTAGCTTAGTTCGATAGCGTGCTCCAGAGAATGTCTCTTTGTCAAGTGTGCAGGGATGTTTCTCAGTACCACCTTAGGTCCAACAAGTTGTCTGTCCTTTCGGTCTCATGAAGTTGTTTCAGAACCTTTTGAACATATCTTAAAGTGGGTTTACACAGCGTTTCCACGCCATCATCAAATTATCACGAATCCAGCGCTCCGAAGAATGCTCTCGATCAAGTGTTGCATCAAAGTATTCTTGAGGGATGTGAAGGTTAACATGTTCCTTTGTTATGTACTTATTGCAGAATATTGGGGCATTTCTTTATTATCACCTACAACTTGCATTACTATGCGGTGCTTTCTCTTCCTAACCCTACTCCTTGCTAATCAGTATTGGCAGGAAGTTTAAGATTCATATTTGCTAATTTCAGTGTCGAAATTGGACCTAGTTTAACCGTCCGATTGCTGTGACATCTTTGATACTTGTTTAATAATGGCACCCACTTCCATTACGAAGGTGTTATTGCTGTATGTAACACTGCAGGTTGTTCTCATAATTACTTAAGGCAGACCTATGAGAGATATTACTGTGTTTCGATCCTCTAAAATCACTCAAAGGTTTGTCTTAAGCATGGAATTGATGAATGAAATGTACTTAATCAATAATATTTGTTTTCTGTTGAATCCTATGCCGAATGGTCCAGATTTTTACATCCCTCAGATTCAAACCGATCAGGGTCAAATGAACATTTTATCGTGATCAAAATCAACTAATGACATCCTAATGTTTAACTTCATTCCTCTCTGATAACTGTTTCAGCCATGGCAACTTACACTGTATCTTGCAAACATTCTACCAGTGTCAATTTGATACAATCTGATCTAGAAAAAATAAAACGAGTAAGTTCATTAACTCAAATTTAATTTTTTCAATATTTCTTTTGACTGAGGATTGCTTAACTCATTTGGTCGTAAGAAAAGTTATTTCATGTAAGGCATGATAACCAAGTGGGTCAGAAAACTTAAAGAACAGCCTGTTGTTCACTACTAGGCTCTCAGGGCACTAGGTGCCCCTACATTTTTAGCATTGCTTGAAATATTCGTGAATTCACTTCATAACGAATATGCGATGTAAGAGACTTTCTGATTTAAAAAATTGAAGATGATTCTACAACAGATGAAAATGAATGAGATAGAGGAGATTCATCATGAGGTAGCAGATTGTAAACTTCCCCTAAAATTTGTTTTAAATTTCATAACGATTCTTTTTTTGACTTGTGCCCTTTTACCTGGGAAACAACCCCAAAAGATCCTCTGTTTTTTTTTTTTTTTTTATTAAAATAGCCTAAGACTGCATGTCAGAAGAGAATAAATTTCTGAAAGTGGGCCCAGTAAATCCTCCTTCCCCCTAGTCTATCACCTCTCTGACACTGGTGATCTAAAAGGTGTTCTTCTACCTTTTCCCTTATAATGTATTCAATAATCTTTACCCAATTTTTGCAGAGTAACCGCGCCGAATGCAGTGTTTGTGGACGATTGCCAACAGATCAGAATGCGTATTTATGGGTCTGTCTACATGATGATTGTCTGAAAACATTGTGTTGCTTTGAAGATGATGAACGCTTAGATCATGGAATTGCCCATTTTCAGGTCAGTTTAAGTAGACATTATAATTCTCTTTTTCTCTCTAAAATCCATCAATCCCAATGATTCACATTTTTAAGTTGAATGAACAGATCCCAGGTAGAATTTCTGGATTATTTGATCATAGAAAAGTGAACCCTCACTTGCAAAAATCATCCTCTTTGGGTAATACAACCGAACCTTGGCTCAGAACTTAGTTTCATTTGAATTTAGTCAGCGAAATATTTGGTTTTATGAATTACAGAGTTTGGTCCTTGCAACAGAGGTGTCAGTCCTCTGAATTTACCAGCAGCAACTGGACTCCATCTGTCTTTTTTATTACTTGGTTTTTTCCAAGAATTATTTGTTCTATGCCAAGGAGTCTGAAGTTTTGAAGCATGGATCAGGGTGATTGCGTGCCACGGTAATGGAAAATCAGACTTCTTCCCATATTCTGTCTCTTTATTCAAGATTAATATAAAGATAATTTTAAGCTCCACAAGTACAATCTTTACGTATCGCTGTAAGCCCTCTCTAAATAGAGCAGTGGCGTGTCGATAGATCGATTGATCTGCCATTTAAACATATGGGAAAGGATTAATTATCAGAGTAGTTGCCACAAGCGCTTTATTAATCAACTCTCTTTCATAGCTTCAAATAGGAAAATATCAATAGTTGATTATTTACGCTTGCCTCCGGAAAAGAAAATATTAACAGGCAGATATATTATCTCAGATTGGTCATCAGCTGTGGAGTTTTTTCACACAAAAAGATTTGATTGCAGGAAGACCCTTTAATTTATAGACATATGTCCTGAAGGCTAATAACGATGAGAATGATAATGGATGATCCTGCCTTCCTCCCTTTGGTGCCTACAAAATAATTAACGTCAAATTAATTTTTCAGGCCAACCCAGTTCATTCTGTTCATCTGCAAATGCCTCAATCTCGAGCATGGTGTTACCTTTGTAAAAGTGAGGTGTCATTGGTAACGACAGAAAGAAAAAATATCAAGCATCGTGTGTTTAGGAATAATAGCTACAATGACTTACCAGAGGATGACAGTGATGATGATGTCTATTCCTCATCTGAAGATCCCAAACCAACAGGTAAGGGAATATTAGAATATTATAGGCAAGTATGTAAGTTAAATTAGTATGTTTAATTAAAAAACACAAACTGAAATGAATTTATAAGTTGATTTTGAACTCAAGCCACTTTAAAGTTCCTATTCAGTTGGTATTAATAATGGCTTCAGTAATCCAATTAATCAGATTTAAACCAAGTTTGTTCCTTTATTTTGTTCTTTAAGTATATGTTCAAGTTGTCGATCTGATTAAACCAATTAATCAGATCAACTAAAAGAATTCTACTAGAAGTCTTATAAAAAGTGTGATTCTGTGGTCGATAAGTGACTTACAAGGAAAACTAGCTTCCTATGCTTCTTCCTGATTTTGAAGGGTCTAAGGAATGATTAGCCTTGCTGTTGACAAAATGAAATCTACCCACACTACTGGGCCAACAAAAAACCGCAAATATATAATTTTTAGGTTGCTGCCTTTTAATTATTAGTCCTTTTCTGAATGGAAAGGACATTTTGACTCTGATTTTTATGTGATCAAATTTCCAGATCTTTAATCTCATCGTTTCCCTTTTTTTTCAGGATTGACAGGGCTACAAAACATAGGGAATACTTGCTACATGAATGCTGCCCTTCAAGCCTTGTCCAACACACCACCTTTGACAGAGTTTTTTCTAGATTTTGCTCTTGAAGTGCTTACTGCTCAAGATCCTCCCTCCACTGAGCAAGCAACACCTCTGCTGTTATCTCGCTCTTATCATCGATTAATTCGTGATATATGGCATAAAAAACGTCCTGGCTATGTTGCACCTACTGGCATTCTCTTTGGTATTCGGAATGTGAGTAAAAAATTGATTTTATCCTGTCTTGAATAACAATGTTTATCAATCAAGCATTTCTGTCTTTTGTTTTATAGAAGGGCCATTTTGAACGTCAGATCATATATTTTCTTCTTTTTCCAAATAGCGTAGAACTGAAATTTTGTCTCTGGAAGTTGAATGTCTGCTAGCTTTTTTGACTTGAAATCGTGAGCTCTTTGTCATTTTACAAAATTTCATAAACTGTCGAAGTAAAGCTATCTGCCTAGGCGCTGGATAAATTGCCTTATTTGACTAATCGTCTGCAATATATGTAATGCCAAGTTTCCTTTCAGCACCAGTACTAAAGATTTTTATTATCATTTACTTCGACATTGAAGGGATTATTTATCTAAAATGGACTCATACAGAGACACAAGCTCATCCCTCTCAAATTTCCCAATTATGGGTATCTTTAAATTTCATTTTTTCCATCCAAACATGTTTAAATGGCACATGTTATATTTCTGCTACCTTCAATAATAGAGATTTTGTTGAATCACTCAGACAGAAATATTTCAAGTCTTGGAAAACGCCTGAAACAAGTTCAAGACCAAAGCCTAAAAATGAAATAAAAGCTGCCACCTTAAAGGACCCCGCACGGTTCTTATGGAAAATGGCCCTCGGTCAAATGCGTTGAAACTTCAGTATGTTGTGCAGCATGTTATCGTGAACAAAAGTTCCAATAGACCAAACAAGATCCCATGTGCGGTTTTCGAGATATTCGCCGTTTTATGTGTGTAACCGGAGGTTTCGCGCGCTCCCGCCGGAGCCATACCATTGTGCGGCGCCGCTCGTGCCCTTCCCTCCCAGTCACTCTCCGCTGCCCCGCCGCCCATACCATTGTTTGGCCTATTGGAACTTTTGTTCACGATGACATGCGGCACAACATACTGAAGTTTCAACGCATTTGACCGAGGGCCATTTTCCATAAGAACCGTGCGGGGTCCTTTCTTTTCTATCACCTCTAAATCCTCAAAAAATTGAACTATGCCGGGTCTAAAAAAGTTAATCAGCTATGCACCTATTCTTACTGGGAGGATCTTTTACTTTTTATTATTTTTGCATTTTTTTCATCAACTTCATCCATCTTATCTTTTTCTGTTTCTCTCTCATGTTTTTTTCTTGTTTTATTTAAGGTACATCCCATGTTTCGGGGATACCATCAACATGACACCCAAGAATTCCTCAGATGTTTCATGGATCAGCTGCATGAGGAGTTGAAGGTTCCTGTTTCTGAATCATCGATTGACCACAAACCAAAATCTCGTAAGTTCATAAATTTTAAAAAAAATATAGCCCCTAAGCAATGATAGGTATAAATGAATAAAAACTGTGCCTTGAAAACTTAACTATCACCTAATTTTATTCACATTACCTATAAGAAATTATTGCCAGGGTTTCTACCCCACTCCAGTTCACCCTCATCAGTGCTGAGTTGTCTTGCGAATGCAAGTAAATAAGTTTTTTAGATGACAAAGTGAATATTTTTAATTAATAAGATTGTTGTTAACTCAAAGGTGAGTATAAAAACCACAATAAAGTTCATTCAAAGAATTGCTATCTTGTCCTTTCCATTTTTGAAAATGAATCCATGGTTTATGATGATAGTTAAGTTCTATCGATTTGATGAACATATTGCATTTGTTTTGGACAGCTCGAAAATTTGAGGTTGATGATGATTTATCTGGCAACGATGGTGATAATGAAGAAGAAAATCCACGAGGCTTTGATGGAGCAAGCAGTATAGCAAGCTTATCCAGCCAATCGGATGGAGATGAGTATGAAACCTGTGATTCTGGTGTCAGTGAGCGCAGTTCATTAAGTGATGAAACAGATAGGAGAACTAAACCTATGTAAGTCTTAGTCCATTGGCTTTATATCCTTTATTATTTTACTCGTTAACTTGCAAATGCTCTTTTAGCCATTCATAAAGTGTTAGTGGCAATTGATGGAAATTGGCCTCTTATTTATTCTATGTGATGCTCATTACATACTCAGCACAATGATTTCCAAGCCCCCAACACTCTAATTCCATTTTGGAGTAATGAAGTGGATTTACTTACGGCCGTTTTATGCATTTTTTGGTCGAAATTTTGTACAGTTATTAAATTAATGATCAAGAAAAATTCTCGCATTTTTTTCTGCAGGAGATAAGGCTAATGCCTCGAGCTTCTGGTTCTTAGATCTCTATCTCATGTCTTAGCACGAAAACTTATATGAAAGTTAACAGAGCTATCTGGCCACTGTATTCAGTGATCAAATCATGAAAAAACCACAGCATTACCGCAATACGCAGTCTCCGTTCACTTGCGGAAGGTTTTCAACGAGTCACTATAGTAAGCTGTTTGTCAGTTTTAATCATCCAAAAATTTTAGATGAACACTACTAATTAGATTCTGAACTCCTCATTGTGATAAAGTCCTATCGAAGCATTATTTTTTTTAGTAATTTTAGCATGCCACGCTTTCATGTCATTTTTTATTGAGCGGCAAATATTTTATTAAATTAGCTCATGTTATTTGTTCTTATCAGGCTCCAGAATACTGAAGAAAGGTGCAGGTCAAAATCAATTTCATCCAGACGTCAGAACAGTAAGTACAACTTCTTCTTCTCTTAAAATTTTGTAATGAAATGAGGTATTATTCCATAAATCACCTTGTTTCTTGAAGAAATGAATCATTGTTGGGTCCAGAGCCGGAAAAAGAGCATGTGCAGGGCGTGCGGTATACACGGGCGCCAACCCTTGGGGGTGCTATGAAAGGAGAAGAGAGAAAAAAAGAAAAAGAAAAGAGAAATAGAAAAGCAAAAAGAGAGTTGAAAAGATTAAAAGGAGGAGCAGTGAAGGCAAGAAAGAAGGGGCGAAGTGGAAGAAAAAAGAAGGAGGAAAACAGGGGAATAGGGTTTAAAAAGGAGGAAAGGAAATTGAAAACAGAGTCCGGGGGAGAAGGGGGGGCATAAAAATATACCAATAACAAAATTTAAGAAAGAATTAAATTGCCGTCTACTAGGTAAATTTAGGACAAAACCTCCACCCGGTCTGTAGGCAGTCTGGTGCCCCTTTACCCTGCATTTGCACCTATACAGACATACAAGAGTAGGCCTGTAGTAAAGGGTGCTGTAAACTATGCACTGTTTTATGCAGCTACTGAGCCCTCCCCCCTCCCCCAATTGCCACGTTTTCCAAGAGTTAGTGAACGCCGGCCACCTCCCCATAAGCGTCTCGGTCTCATTAGACCACTTTCCGTTACCGTCTAATGATTTTTTTCACTATATTTTCGTGTCCTACAAAGAGTTATTGCCCTAACGTTGCTTCAATATCCCCCTAGTCTGAACAATGTACGGATAGAGTATATTGTAGCAACATTACTTACCTATAAGACTGAGGGCAATACTTTTAAGGGATATCCTATTAATATTGTCGGTATGTACCAGTAAATAACATCGCTTGTGCTTTTTGTTTTTTGCCTAAGTATTAATTTCCCTGGTTTTCCAATCACTTGTATAGTATTTTTTTGGTCAGTATTGTTCAGCAATATTGTTTAAATATCTCTTAGAAATTGCATCTGACAATATTGATGGCAATATTGCTACTATCTTCTATAAATATCCCATTCTATCTCCTATGTAAAGCCTCAACAAAGTCTCAGAGAGATTAACAATACCCGGCAATATCCCTTGCAATATTACATAAACCTATATATTTTCGACATTTTCTGGAGGATATACCCACAGCGGTCCCTCAACGAAAGTTTGGTTAGATACCTCCGAGAAGGGTGCGCCTGGTTCTCACTCGCACTTTGGCGCCAAATGTCTAGCTTTGGCACTGGTTGGATCCAGATGACATTTTATTAAAATCCTCAGTGAAGCTAAATTCTAAGCTCTACCAGATGGGCCAAAAATAGATGTTAATTTTTTTTAAGCATCCTCTTTTATAAATGAGATTATAACTTTATTTTTTTTTCAAGGAAAATTCACTCATCTGTCAAAATTTAATGACTTTTTTTACTTTCAGGCGTCACAAGGTATCGAAATAGAAATAAGTTAGTTAAGTACAGAAGCATAATATCGGACATCTTCAATGGAAAACTTCTGAGTACAGTTCAGTGTTTAACATGTCAAAGGGTAAGAATCTTTCAACCTTTGACTTTCATTTTATTCAAAATTACAGTTTTCGTTCTCTTTCTTTAGCATTTTTAATTCCTGGATATTAGTATAAAAAAGAAGTGAAAAACAATCTAGCCTTCCTTTATACGACCAGGAAGCAGACTCCCTCTGATAGAAATTGAAATGTAATGGTATTTTTACGCTCATGCAACAGGATTCGCCTTGCAGCTGAAAGGCGAACTCTAAATGTTATTCTCCTCGTCTTTAAGCGCCTGCTTGATTCCCTTACAGATATGTTAAAATGGAGAAAATGTTTGCTCTCTAGGCTGTAACCAGCCAATGTCACTGAGACTTAACGCTTCACAAACTTTAAAATCTGTGATCTCGAGATTGTCTTTCCTCACAGAAAATGATATTTCTGGAAAAAAATGGAAAGGACCTTTCTTTTTCATATTTTCAAGATTCATGGATTGACGCATACCTGAATCAAATTGGCTGATTTCTTGATAAAACGCCCCATCCTATCCTCCATCCACCAACACAATTCTCGAACAACTCATGAATTTATCAATCAGCCCTTCAAACTTTGGGAATCACCCCAATTTGACTGAAATGAAAAATTCCTGTATAAAAAATTACAGCGTATCAAATAAACTTTCATCTAGCTTTGTGTGTCCCTAGTTTGTTGAATATTTATTAAGTAGTACACCTTATTTGTATTCATTGATCTTAATCAGTAGTTTTATTGCCCGCAGAGATCCGACACAGTGGAAACTTTCCAAGACTTGTCATTACCAATACCAAATAGGGATCATCTAACTCTACTGCATCAAACCTCAGCAGTTGGCAATAACAGCAGCACCTTAGCCAAATGCTCTAAACTTTACGCTATGGATCAGGTACCAGTCTTATTGATTTCTCTACATTTTTATCTTATATACCAATTAATAAAGTGTTTTCTAGCCCAGTGAATCCCTCCTGAGGCATTGGATCTTAAAGTTTGTTGCTAACGCACAAGAGTTTCGGATGGAATGGGTCAACCAGTTTTTTTGCATGGCAATTTAAAATTTGTGTCTGAACCTTGTCAAAATTTCCTTTGTCATTCATAAAGTAGTGGTAAGAGTAGTAGAAGTAGTAGTAGCAGAGCCGAGCTGACTGGAGAGGCAGCCTCTAGTGCCCAGGAACAGGGAGTATCCTGTCGTTGTGCACTTTGCGATTGGACAGAACGAAAGGAGACGAAAAAATTACCTATGGTATCTCTTCAGGTCCGATGTTTGTGACCTCTTTTATCTTACAAATGTACTTTTTGGACTTTTTAATCATTAAGAGTCCATGTTTCCCCCCATACTTGATATCATTAAGTTGCCTAAGCGCTATCATAAAGTTTAAATCCTTCTTTGTCATTATTTTTTACAGCAGGGTTGGTTTGTGTGGTTTTGGGAGTGGCTATGTTCCTGGTTTTGGGGACCAACTGTAGGACTTCATGATTGTTTAGCTGCTTTTTTCAGCGCGGATGAGCTTAAAGGAGATAATATGTACAGGTAACTTCTTTTTCATCGTAAGCAACTCATTATCTTAAAATAGAGGATTTTTTTTTTCAATTTAACATGTTTTTACATTGGTTTAAATTTAATTTTGAAACATTTTTTTAAAATTTATTACCTGGAAAAAGAACTCTCACTGTCTTAAATATCCAGTAGGAAATCTATACATTTACTTTTTGATGGCCCACTTACATAAAATATCAGAGATATCTGAACGCAACAATTTTCATAGGAATATTTTGTAAAGGTAGATAAATATGAGCAGCCAGCAGTTATTTCTAAATATGCTCATGTTCTCCATTAGTGTTGCCACTTTTGTCTCCAAATATCTCAGCATTTTTGTCTCTGTTACGTCTCCGAGCATTGAGCATGCAATATTGACCAGTCAATCAGGTGCATTTTAAGCACTCCTACAAGGCCAGCGATCAAAGGATCTATGTTAATTCCAATGGAATACCGGTAACCATCATGAGTTTTAAAAAAATATTGCCAGGGTTTTCTTTTTTGAAAGACTTTTCAAAAGCCAAGAAGAATCGACTTCATAGTTGCGTTCTGTTCCAAAAATGAAGTTGGCAAAATTTGAGACATATAATCTCTGGTTGGTGGTTCAGCAACTACCTTGTGCTCTTGTGAGTGCTTTTAATTTTGTTTGTTTTGCATGACTAACTAAATGAATTGTCGCTTTCTTTTTATTTTGACCAGCTAACCATGCATTTCATTAATCATTCCACAAACTCAATAAAGATTAAAATTCCATCATAATCTGATTCCGCCACCATTTGAATTAATCTACTTTTTTTCAATTTGTTTCAGTTGTGAAAAATGTAAAAAACTAAGAAATGGTATGAAATTTTCTAAAGTGTTGGAGTTACCAGAAGTTCTTTGTATTCATCTGAAAAGGTTTAGGCATGAAATTATGTTTTCATCTAAAATAAGCAGTTATGTCAATTTCCCTCTTGAAGGTCTAGACATGCGACCGTTCCTTCACAAAGGTATGTCATTTATAACAGGTTTTCGTCCATTGATTTAGTTTTTGAAACTATTACCCTCTCACACTTTGCGCAGAAGTTTTCACTTTCATATCAGTTTAAAATTGTTCTTGCCAAAATTTCAAGCATTGTGAGAAATTAACAATTCAAAGCCTCACACTAATTTATTAACAAGAAAGCAAGGGAAAGAAGAAAAAGTATTTCCTGTCAAAATAAGTAAGGTAGGTAGAAACTTCTCAATTAAGTTAAAACTCATAAAAAAAGCTGAAACATTGAATAGCTTCAATAATTCAATCATAGGAAGCTGCTAGCACACAAGTTTGTTTATGCATTTGCATAATCTGGGTGAGAAAAACCCAGTCTTGCCTTCAACTTTTTCTTTTGCAGTCTAACTCCTTTTAACAGGCGATGAACTGTTAGGTAAAGAATTGTTGTGCAAAAAAGTGGGCAGGTGACATATTGTTCTTGTCGGAAAGAGCCCTGATTAAATGTCAGGGCACCATTTTTAAAGGTTTTGATGGTTTTGGTCGCTTAATTTTTCTCTTTTTTCCACAGACAACCTTTTTGTTACTACGAGCAGAAAGATTAAAAAAAAATGAACTTCTTGTCCAAAAACATGTCCAACGATATCAATGAGTCAAAAAATTTTAAAAAAAGGCATTGTGGGAATCAATAGGCCATGGCCAGTTGAGTTGGTCAATGAATGATTGCTATGGAGTAAGGACTTCTTTTCTCCGTAATTTAAACTATTTCATGTTATCTATTGGAAAAAATAAGAACTCAGTTCGCAATGTATTCATCTGTTCACAGACTGCAAAGACGAAGTCACAAGCTTTGACCTATTTTCCGTTATTTGTCATCATGGGAATGCTGGCAGTGGAGGGCACTACATTGCATATTGTTTGCATGCTACTTCAGGTGAATGGTATGAATTTGATGATCAGTGTGTCACTCGTGTCTCAGCGGAAACTGTCAACTCTTGTGAAGCCTACGTTCTCTTTTATAGGTACCTGCACTTTTATTTACAAATTTGCTCCCTCAGTTCAATTTCTTGCTTTTATTGCATCCTTAATTATTTATTTACCTCTATTTTAAAAAAGGTGCTATTTAGAGTTGGGCTGAAATAAATTTTTCTCGTTACCGGATAGAGATATTGATTTTTTGTATAAGGCCGGAACCGGATACTGGATAGTTCTTGGAAGTATCCGACCGGAACAGGATAGTACCGGATCCGGATAGTACTTTTTCGCATAAGAAAATTCTCCTGATTTCGCGATGATGGTTGCTTTGCGAGTAGGAAGTTCCAATTTACTGTTCATTATTCAATCACAAGTTGCCTTTTTATGATATTGTAAGTTTGAATGTCATTTAGGATATTTTGCATCCAAAGTATTGTTTACACCATTTATGCTGGAGACAGTTAGAATTGGTTTTTCTTTTTTTCATTTCTTTCTTAAATTTGATCCTTCTTTGTTTCAGGAAAAGCAATGCAAGAATAAATCAATTAAGATGTCAAGTGGTAGATTTCCTCAAAGAGCCTTTTTTGAGTTCGACCGACCTCTACTATATTTCAAAGCAATGGATGTTACGGTTTAATACTTTTGCAGAACCTGGTCCAATCAATAATTCAGATTTTCTTTGTAGCCATGGCTCTCTTATTCCTTCCAAAGAGCAGTATCTTAACCAGCTAGCTGAGCCCATTCCAAAGTCTCTTTGGGATTTCTTTCATTCCAAGTAAGTATGATCAAAGTCAGTTTTATCGGCAAAATTCAATTTTCACGATCAATCACTTTGCCCTCCCCTTCCCTCTCCCTCTAGAGTAATTTAGCTGATATTAGCTTGTATCTTCTACAGTTTTTTTTTTCATTCTTTTATTTAATCTGTTCAGGTTTTTATAATGTGAAATTTTGATCGGGTATTTTTAATTATTAGACACCCCTCTGAAATTCTGTTGATTTGATGTCAAAGGCAGCACTAATAATGTCTAAGAATAATACATTAAAATCGATCATCGTGATACTTTTTTTAAAAAAAAAAAATTCAAGGTTTACACTGCATATAATTTGATATGAGTGCTTTGGCGCACTGAAGAGACCTCCAGATCATGAATTTCCAGTGCTTTCACTGAAATTTGTGTGGGAGTCATAGTATATGTCTATCTAAGACCTCAAGTCAATATTCGAAGGTTGGTCCTGAAGCTTCCTTGACCTAACAACACATTTAACTCGCATCTTTTACAGACACGCTCTTTTGGTATGCTAATTACCATGCGTAAATTTCTTCATTTTTCCTGCCGTGACTTATATCTATTGTCAGTAGTTTTTAAATATTCTCATGCTGGGTATCCTAAGAATCAAAATCAAATTTCAAGAATAGCAACTCTAAAGAGAGATGATTTCATCTGAGTAACTTGGCATTATTCTCTTTTTCAGTTTTGGTGGCGGACCTGTTTGTAAAGTTAAGCACTTAAATGTGTGTCCATACGAGCAGAATATAGCTTTATTACAACGAGCAAAATTAGAATATAAAAACTTCTCCAGGCTAAAACCTTTACCTGTTTCAGCGGTAAGAGTCTCTCCTTTTTCCACTATTCTAATACATTTCAAAGTTGGTACTCATAGCATTTCATTATTACACAGAAAACGGCGTTTGCTGACTTACCGAACTCAGCTTTAGGCTTCGCCTATCTACATCATTTCGACTTTCGACTTTTGATCGGTTGGATTTTGAATAGCTTTTTCTCCCCTTAGGAGTGCTTTTTGGAAGTTTTTTAGGTTTTTCACAAAATTTTATGTAGGAAAAACTACACTATAAACCCTGTAAAAATTCCTTGCCACTGCCCCACTTGTAAATGGTCTTTGAAGGTGTGGGGAACCCAGCCTTTAACAATATTGAGGAAATTTTAAAGCTGGCACACATTTAGAGAATGATTGTCATGAATAATCCTAGTACCTGTGCCCATTTTTAATCCTGTGATTAAAGTGGACCAGCAGTTGGGTTTGAAGTACTCTTTGCTGAATACCTGCTATTTTCACAAAACTTTTTGTGGTAGCAACGAATGTTATTTTCATCCACATGCTTCACACCAAGCAGTGAGCATTCAGAGGGATGAGCCCCAGTTATAATATCTACATCTACTTATTTTTCAAAATTACCCTGTTCTTGCTTGAGATTAATAATTGTCAAATGATGTCAGTTGATGCTTAACTTTAAACTGCACAGTTGTAGTTTATAATATGATTCATTTATTATGTATGTTTAACTAGTGGCATAGCTTAAGTGATCGATTATTGATATCTTTCCTTTTGAAACTATGTTAAATAATCGATTATTAAGGTGTTCGTCACAAACACCCTGTTTATCGATCTTTTTCCATAGGTTTAAATGGCAGATTAATCGATATATCGCAAAGCACGCCCAGCCACTGATTTTAACATCTTTTATGTGATTGCTACTGATCGCTTCATCATTTATGTGTTTTTCCAACCTGTATTTTGAATTGCACTATAATCCTAGATGAAGAAGGGTTCTTGTGAACAAAATGAAAAACTAAGTTTGAAGAATGGGAATGTATATGTGTTATCGGTATGTGTCTGTTTTATTTTTACCTTCAGGGAGGTGAATGCTTGTCTCAACCTTTATTCGCTGTATCAGCATCGTGGTTCAAACAGTGGGAACAGTTCGTCAGAGGAGAGGTTTTGACTCCTCCTGGTCCAATTGATAATTCACCCTTGGTCAGCTCTGGACCTCAGAATAATCATCGTAAGTATAACAACAGTTAGAAAAATTGAACATGCTCTTCAAAAATCAATTGAATATGCCAAAACCCGTGGAAAAAACAACTAGAATGAAATGATTCTGCAGAATTAAAATAAATTTTGACAAGGCTGCTTGAAGTTGTATCATATTGACCTAGCCTAGCCTAGCCTAGGCCTTCCTTAATTACCTTTAAAGAGGCTTACCCTTACTTTTACTGAAGCAATCTTTGCAATACCTAATACTGAGAATTGCCTCGTGGAAATAGAATATTCTTACATTTCCAGCCCTCAAGTCTGAAACTATTCTTTTGTTATTTTATTCTACTTTATTTATTTTTTTTTTTCAACAGGTGAGGATTCGTTTTGCCCATTATCAAGAGAACAGTGGAATTACTTGGAAAATATTTATGGAGGTGGACCAGAGATAGAAATTCTTCTTCAAGGACAGCATTCTCTGAGGGATAGTTGGTATGTGGTCTGATTTTCAGTGAAACCTTGTTATAACGACTCTTAGCAGACCAGAACTACCAGGAGAATTCGTTAACAAAGGATCTTGATCTCGTGGTCTGATACCGGGCATCAGTCGATGCTCGGTTTCAGGCTAGTGGTCCGAGACTGCCAAAAATCATCGTGGGAGACCAGCACCTCGAGCTCGAGTCTGTCTGTGGCCCGCCTGCCGACCTCATTCTCCGAGACTGAGCTTGAATCTGAGTCTACAAGCTCAACTTGCGAGATCTTTAAAATCCCTGGCTCACAGGTCCTCAATCTGACAAGGATATTATTAGAGAAAAAGTTAGTAGTCTGTTCACCAAATGAAGATGGCCTAGAAAATTTTAAAACTTCATGAGCTGTTACTTTTATAAATATCATTGAAGCGGACACAAAATTCGTGCGTGAGGGCATTTCTGCCAGGCAAAATTCCCGTAGCAAGGGTAGAATAATGTCCAGGTAAACTTTGAGGTGAGGTTCAGATGAAGGTTTGGTCCTTACCCGAAATGCGCAATTCTTATGTAAGCTGCCAGAGCTGGATACTGCTCCTCTCAGTTTTGGGCTGGTACTCATTAAGCTCAAAATTTTTTACTTTAAAAGAAATGTTTGAGCTTTTTGGCCTTGTTTACCCCGCCAAATAGTGTGGACCCAGTGATATTTTACCACCTCTAGGAATCCGTTTATCCTTTTAGCGGCCTCTGAGTCAACCATCCGACTTGTTTTTTGGACGACTAATAAAGCATGTGCATATATGGGCTGTTTTTTGAAGCTCAAGGTGACACTTTATTTTATTGCAGAGTAGTATTATTTCAGTCACCAAGGTTTTGTCCCAGTTAATAAGCACAACAAGCGAGTTTAAGACTCTGAGGGCAGGATAGTTCTGTCACAAGAATCTTCCCAGTGTTCTTGACTGATGACCTGTTCTTCCCATGTTTATGAGCCATAATAATAATGAATAAGTATTTTAGGTATCGTTAGAATTTATCCTTACCATCCCTTCTTTTGTTTCTGTTTTGATTCCAGTATAAAATCAGTCCGATCGTTGGATTTTGAACCTCACACTTTTACCAACCAATGTGAATGTATTAAACTTAATGTAAATGCTGCTAACGGTGAGTCTCAATTTTATTTTAACCTCTCCTGTACTCGCATCTGGTAACATTGATAGTGAATAGAATATTCAGATGTAACTTTATTATGATCCTTTCCTGTATATTTGGTATTCAATTGTAAATTAATTCATTTAAGCCGACTAATTGGTGCTGTATGCCAAATGTAATTAAAAATTTGCTATTGGCCCTAAAATGTGGAAGCTAATGATCTAAAGCAACTTTTAAAAAATGTTCATGATCCAAGTCAATTTTTCTAAAAAATTTAACCTTTTCAGCCGCCTTATCTGTCGGTTGTTCATGATTAGTAACTGATATCCATTGAAGTAAATACATGATTTCAAAGGCTCTCTGCCTCTATTTATCTCGTTGGTGGAGCTACTAGATATTGAAGTAAGTGCGTGACTCCTCACCTTATAATTCTTGATTATAAGTTTACGTAATGGGTCAATTGCGCTAGTCACAGAATCTTGTTTTGACGCTTGATTCTTGTAGATAAGCTAAAAATATTGAGATCCGTCCGAACAGCAATTTTTTTACATTCAAGATTAACTGAGATATCAGGCTTTGAAGAACTGCGTTTTTGATGTCATTCACTGTGGTAGTGACACTCTGGGTTTCTTCTACCTCGGATTCATCAATCAGTAATAAACACATATGCACTGGTTGTTTGACTGGAAACACCAGTAAAACCAAGGTGGCAGAAATCAAGGGTGTCACTACCGTGGTGGATGCCATCAGAACCCGAGTTTTTCAAAGGGCGATACCTTGTTTAATATTGGACGTAGGAAGTTGCTGTTTGGACAGATCTTATTTTTTATTTTTAGCTAATCTACAAGAAAAATGCATCAAAACACGATTCTGTGACCAGCGCAACTGGCTCATTAATTTTGATTGCACTGAAGTGTTGCTGCTCTTCTTTAATCAATTTTCCCTCTCTTTTTTTTAGAATTTGAACTGAAAAAGTTTGATGAGTCTGAAACAGACTATGATCCATTATAAAAAACTGCTGCCCATTCAGCCCTCTTAAAATGTCTAACAGAATCAAAGACAGTGCAGAGAATGCCAGAGTATGCAGTAATCACTTGGTAGCTGAAGTGCATCTGGAGCTGTATCAAACTGCACTGTATGTTTCATCTATCGGCCTCTCAAGTGTGAGTAATGATGTACCTCCATTGCAAACTTTTAAGTGATCTTGTTGATCCCTATGTAAACTACATGCTTGCTGCTACTGAACAATTAAAAGCCTTGACTGTCAGCAACATTTTATGTCAAATTGGACAACTACTTTTTAGACAGGAGTCTGACAAGGCTAATGATTTGCTTCTTCTCTGTCCAAATATGAAGTGCTGTGGAAAGTTTGTCTGTATATTTTTGACTTTGAATCCAGTCACGAGTATTCAGAACTTTAATTTCAGTTACTTTTTTTCCCTAAATATATCCTTACCATGGCTGTCCTGAAGGTTTTGGATTGACTGATTTAATGTAAACTATAAATACTTGCAGATTTCTTGTCTATGCATGAGATGGTTTTGAAATTTTCCAATCGGTCGACCAGATGAAATTTTTTTTGAAAGGTTTCTTGCGCTGATTTAAGTTTTACTCTGTCCAATTATCTATTGTTTAATCTAAGGTGTATTCAAGCAATTCTGTCAAAGTTTTCTGGAAGATACGCTGTATTACACGCTTTCCATATTTCCTAGATCGGGGAATCGTCCGTAAGGATTACAATTATTTTATCAAGGATCATTTGAGGATAATTAACAGTAATTCAATGAAAAATTTTCAACTAAATAAGTACACATTGCAACAGACTCATTGCTATTCATACTTATATTTTTCATTATTATTATTATTAAGTCAGATGTCTTGATATGGACATAAATTATAAGGGTGTTGGCATTAGTGTGTATTACTGCTCCAATATGGGTTGATTTTGGGGGGGAGATTTGTATCCTAGCACCAAGAACTTTTTTTTTTGGTACCCATTTTTCAGCAATGTATGAAGCCAGAGCTTTTTAATTGATTTAGATGGTCTTGTAAATCATCATTGCTTGAATTCATTGTTCTTCGCGATTTTAAATTACGTTTGTGGTCTACCAAACCCTCATGAAGTACTTTTCTGAAACAAGGAAAAGAAGCGCTTCTAGAGGTATGTCGTCATTAGCATGCATTAGGTGAACTGTCAGAGTGTTTAAATCCACTAAAGAAAAGATTTTAAGGAAGAATATTTTGTCTACGAATTTGTTATTGCATTTTTTATAACTGCAGAACTTTATCATGCCTTCAATGACTTGTTTTTGTTTTTGTTTCTTTTTTTGGTTAGAAAATATATTTCTCTCTTGGAACTTTTCTTTTGTTTTTATTTTCAACAAATGCATTTAGGTATTCTTTCCCATTTCACTCTGCAGATAGTAGAAGTTGTATGCTTGTACCAATAGCAGCCAGGTTGCTTCAATGACACCAAGTCCACTAAGTATGTTAGGATATTTGTTCTACTTTCCTAAAATACCAGATGAGTCAAGTCTATTGCTAGCCTTACTTCAGCAAACTTCAATCCATTCCTGCTGGTTTAACTTTAAAACGCGGTACTGTCTTGAAGCACCTGTAACTTTTGCAGATTTTAAATTAATTAGCATTCCATTTCACAAAGTATGATCTAAAGTTCTAGGACGCATATTAGTGGCTCTTAGGATGGTCACATCAAGTTGATGGAAGTTTAAGCCCCTTGAAAATTCGAAGATGTTTCTCACTTTTTGAAAAACCTTTCTTTTTTCTACCCGGTTTTCATAAAAGAAGTTAATTCCTGTATTTCTTTACATCAGCATCTCTCAAGAGGGAAGACCGAAATCTTTAAACAATTCAGGGTTGTATATTCTTCTTTTTACAATCATGATTTTTTACTGGATAGCCCTCTCTTATGCTCCACTGATATACTTAATGAAGTGATTAACCTTCGCTGATCATATTTTACGAAATAATTTTTCTTACACATCGATGTGCATATTTTGACTGATTAGAGGAGGTCATAATGGCTCTGTTTTGGATTTTGGGTCAGAAACAACTATGAAAATGTAATACTGATATAAGATACAAGAATTGCAAATAGGTCAAGCCAAGCATTGAACCCACGACCTTCAAAACCCCAACTCAGAGCACTAGCCACCAGACTTTTTGTCATTAACATGTGACAAAGTAGCCTTTTGAGACTTAATCAGTGTGTGGTGCATCGCACATTGATTACCGTCCAAAATACGGGACCTTTGGGGGCTTCTGCTTCCCAGAGGCTCATCGGCTAAGTCACCGAAACATGCCAACTTCCGTTTTACAAAAGCTTTCATTTAAAATAAATGGAATTATTATAAATTTAAATAAATTGGATTTTAATGATTTTTATCATTAAAATCCAAGGCAGAGCCACTGTGACCTCTGTGTATCCCTGATTAAAAGTTAGCTTCATGCTTCATGTCATTCAATTAAAATAGTGTGTGAATGAGCCATCGAATTCATGTAGATTTTCATCATTTTATTCCCCATCCCCATCACGTATGAGCAAAGAAGAATTACCTATAAGTGAATTTTTCAATAATTGAATTGAGCATTGAAAGTTATTTTGCAAAAAGTTTTTCCTGTCAGACCAAAAAGTGCTTGAACAAAGGTGTCTTTGGAAACTGGGACTTAATGGAACATGGAAGTACATGTCCTTCCATTAAGACTTTTAATTGTGTCAGCTTCTTTGTTTTCTCCATAGCTTATCTACTCCTTTATTTTCTTGCCCAACTTCTTTGTAACCACAAATTAAAGCTCTGAAGCTTTGTTGCCCATTCTAAGTACCTTTAAGTTCTTGTGATTTTTTTAACTATGTTTCTTTGAGTAATTTTTGAATACCGTTTTTGTGCATGTTCTGATGTTTCTTTCAATTATGTTATTGGGATATTGTGGGGTAATGTTAATGTTTGCCTTTTTACATTTCTCTATTTAATATTTATTATCTTTATGTTGTTATACTTCTGTGTATTTTTGTAATTATTGTTTGATAAAGAATTTTATTGTACCAAAGATTAATAAAATCAAATTGTTATTTATTTATTTTGTTCTATTTTTAACTAAAGATCATGAAAGCTAAAAAAGCATTGTTCACACACTCATCTTCATTTAGAAAGTCTGTTTCAAACCAACCTAAAGGAATTGAAATACAATACATTATTTTATTTTATTCTTTTCTTTGCGCAAGTAATATCTTTGATAACAGAGCTACAAACAATTTATTTACGGAAAAATTATCATTTACCTCTAAACCTTATGCTGGTAAGAATTGGTGCCTGGTGGAAAAATAATTTAAGATGTAGTCAAGAAAGCTTAGCAGAATTTAGTAAATTTAAATCAGGTTGTTAATTTAAACTTAGGAGAGAAAACAACTTTGTAGTAACAAATTGAATTTATTTACAAACAAAATAACAAAAAAAGTAGTAAAAAAGTAGTTTCACAGTCAACTTATATAAAAAGAACAAAATCTATACACTAGGAACAGTATGAGTTCTACTCAAAGCTGCAAGTAGCCTTTTAAGTTTGGTTGATCGTTTTTTTCTAGGTTTTGTTCGGAATTTAAAATACCTAAAAGCAAGAACTAGAATGACAAGAGCGACGATTATAAATACTACCCTAGATAATGAAACTATGTCATAGTCATTTGATGGTAAACTAACTTTTTCACTCCAAACATAATCATTTTCAACGTCCAGGAGCGTGTCTTCATTATGAACCCATGTTGGAAGTTGTGCATCAAGGTTAATGGAAAGTAGCTTTTGAGATTTGTACAAATTCCTGAAAAAATATAAATTACAATTTTTAAAAAAAAAAAACTGTTTACTCATTAGATAATTAACAGAAACTACACACAGTTTAAACTAATAAAAAGCATCAATGGCTGAAAAAAGTTGGCACTTACTGTGAAAAAATAGGAACTTGAGAAAGTTAGAGAAATGTAAAATATGAAAAAAAAAAAAAAAAAAAAAAAAAAAAAAAAAATTAAAAAATAGTCAAAACCAACACAGAAAATTAATTTATTCACTGAGCAACTATTTTTTTGAGCTCTTTCTTTCCTTTAAATCACTTTTGTATGTTTCTAAGATTAAAAGTATACCTGACAGAGACCATCTATGGACAGGTATGTTGCAAGATACTTGATTGCACACAAGGTAAATAATAAACTATTTGTATTATCATAAAACAGTTGTTATTGATTGCTTAAGTTTTAGTGTTTGGGTGCAGGAGTATATCAGCTGATAAATTGGATTAGATTTTGTTCAAGTGAATGGACCACTAGAAAAGGTACGAATTTCAGCATTCTGATACATGTTTCATAACCAAAATTTCACGCAAAACACGATGCGCACAACGAAAATTACCGAAATCAACTCCTTACGAAGATATAAAATAATTTTTGATGCGTGAATTCAAACCACCTGCTCATGTAAACTCATGCTCTACATGATTCATATCGCGCGCTAAACGTTTATCATGACAAGCTTGTTGAAACCGTTGTAGTGCGCGATTTGACTCATGTAGAGCTTTGAGTTTCTTGTGAGCGGGCAGTTCAAATTCCTCATAACCAATGTGAAATAAAAACGTTAATATATTCGTTAGGAGTTGGTTTCAGTAATATTCGTTGCGCGAATCGTGTTCAACGTGAAATTCTGGTAAAAAAACATGTATCAGATTGCTTAAATTCGTACCTTGTCTACTGGTCCATTGAAAAAAAAGTTCAAGCGGTGGAAAACAGAGATAGGGTAGACAGAAAAATTGAAAATGCTTATCATCTTGAGCAACTTACGAAGGAGCAGACTGATTAAGTGGAATTGGCTGAGACCAAACTAAATGTGGGCAAGGCGGCAGAGGTCTCGTTTGAAGTCCACTCATATGATTTTCCAAAACTTTGGAATACCTGTTAAGTAGAAAGACAGATTTAACTGTTAAGATATTACTAGAATTTTAGGCAAAGTGAAAACAAAAAGAGCCACATCGTATTTTAAGTTATACTTTGCGAAAAGTGTGTTCTTTTATAATGCTGCTACCATGGCAGTGACCCATTCAGAAAAGCTTGCCACATTTGTAAAACTAACATTGTAGAGAGAATGGGTCAGTAACTAGTCACAGAATTGAGTATTAAAGGTTTAAACTTATAGATTAGCGAAGGATAATAAGATCCAACCAGACGCCTAATTTCTAATTTCAATATTAATGAAAATATTGCCCTTCGAAAAAAAGTTATACATCATCCACCACTGCTGTACATCCCATGGTTTCTTCCACCTTGGATTCGTGTGATACTTACATGGATTGCTTGACTTTCAAACCACCGGTAAAGCTAAGATGGAACGAACCATGGTACGCACCACCATGGTGGATGGTGTCATATACTGTGTTTTTCAAATTATGATACATATCTTCGTTGATATTGGGCGTAAAAACTTCTTGTTCGGACGGATCTTAATTTTTCTGTTCATCTATGATCTTAAATCATCACGACAAGATTCTGCGAATAGCCCAACTAACCCATTCAAAATACGGATGGGAAAATAGTAATTCCATCAGAGAGTTGAAGAGTGCATAACACATCTGCAAGAAACGAAACTAATGCCATAACTTTAAATCTAATGCAGCCAGCAAGCTGGTTGTGGTTGGATTCGAAGGAACAATTCATTTGTTAACAATTGTTAATGGGCTGAGTTCATTCCATCGAAAATTTTCAAATTTTTTACAATTTAATCACAAGAACAGAGGCTAAGAGAAACAGTAAGAAAGATGGTTGGACAAAAAAGAGGACCGAACTGGAAAAGGCAAGAGCCATTATGTATTTCATTGGGCTGAGCTTCATTTTAATGATTGATTTTTGTTATTCTTAGGCTTTCCATCTTTGAACGTGCATAGGGAGGAAGTTGGTGAAATCCACTTCCCAGAGTTTAAGTTTCTATAGCTTTTTGAAAAGCAGAAGATACAAGGAAAAAAGATCATTTTTCCGGTTTGGAATATTCTCATTATTATAAAGAACTGAAAAGGTAACCTTCCTCTAAAGAGAACCTTCATTTTATCATTAAAAAATTGAAGAGAGAGAAGGAGGAATCCTTTTTTTGAACATTCAAACAATCTTTTGAGGATACACCACTGGAGATGGCACTGAAATGGAAAAAAAAAAATCATACCTGTATAAATGATTTCCTTCCATTCTTTGAGGCAGTTCATGAGATATAGTTGAGAAAGATTTTACTTTGTTTGCACTGAATACTGATGGCATATTTCCTATTGATGAAAATTCTAATATTGCATCTAACATCCAAAAGCAGTCTGAAAGAATGACAAAATATCATTAACAAATCTGCACAAGCTAGAGGCCTCATTGTAAAACCTCTTATTATTCAAACAAAAGGTCAGACTTTGCCTAGCAGTCCATCCTGCCTCAAAGCAGAGAAAGTTTTTTGACAAGACTCTGACCACATCTTGCCATTGATTGCAAGATATCGAAAACCTATCATTGAATGCATTGACATGAATAGAAACTATGAAACTACATGTAAAAGAAGTTTTTGAAGACAAGCGTTTCTTTTTTCTTTATTTGTTCTTTTAGTTAGTTCAAATTTTCACAATATGATTTGACACAGCATCAAGAAACAGGCGCAAGATTAACCCTTCGGTGGGCACGTCGCGGTATCTGGACCGCAATTTTAAATTTTTCCTCTGCATGGGTTGAAGAACTGCAAGGATTCGAACAGGGCTTCCATTATCCCTCAATGACGCTCTGAGGGACATGAATCGCACAATTTAAGAATTTCCTCATCTCAGGAATTTCTGGAGAAAAGGCTCGAATTCGAGGGTGTCAGTATTCGCGGTCCGATTGCCGCAGTGCGCCCAGTCACGTTGCCGATATTAAACTCACACATCTTATTCTTCTTTTATCACAAATTTAACCAAGAAAGTATACCATTTTCGAAAATATTGTTTCTCAATGATTCCATAATTACATTTATTTAGAACAAAAGCACATTTTGACTGGAATAAATAAATTCTTGAAAAGGCTCTCTTTAAATGATAGAAATTTTAGAAGCCAGCCTGTGGTTTTTACGTCTTTTTAGTAGTACTCTCCTTTGAGAGAGAAACTGTTCATTTTTATGATTACCAACAATTCTAAAATACAAACGTAAAATATCTTGGAATAGAATACCTTTTTGTAAATGACTATTGTCAAGGCAGTTTGAGTCACCATACACTGTAATTCTCCCACTTTTGTTTACAGCTGTATTCTGCAGGAGACCGAGGATAGCTGCTGGTTCAGGTTCAGATTTCACTTGATCAAGAATCATTTTTCCTGACAAAATTAAAACAACAAAAAATTAAAAGATGAATATGTACGAGATTAATGAATGATGGTCCAATATTAAAAAGATAAGTAATAAGTTCTAAATTTTCTGGCAGAGGGCTCGCCTACTTTACTGAGACAACTACTGTTTTTTTTCCTTAAAGAAAATATTCTCCAAAAAGCAGACAGTACAGGGTCCTCCTCTCTAATTGTAAAGCACATTTTTCCCCTTGATATCTTGCTAAACAGACAAGACAGCTAGCAATCAAAATTGGCGTTATTTGAGGGGCTAAGAAGGGCACTTAAGCCCCTCTTCAAGTATCCAGTTGGCCTTCAACTGGAAATTGATGTTTTTCTGAATACGAAATTTGGTTTATCAGTCCCCTTTAAGAACATGAGAAGAGTCAGCTGTACAAACATTTTCTCTTATGCTGCTATGATAAAAATCAAATTATGGTCATGAATGACAGTTTGCTGGTAATAGAGAGCGCCTAACCTTGATCTTTCAGTAAAACAGAGATAACTGTTCCCGATGCAGGAAATTGAGCAATGTGGGTTCCCGATGAATACATCATTGAGTGCTCTCCGAGATGAAATTCACCATCAAATATCTTTTCACCTAAAGCAATCCCCCATGGAGACAATAGGTCGTTCAGGGCAGGAACATTTGAGCCTCCAGTGTCCGGCATCCACCATTGTCTACATTAGAACAAAAAACAATACCAATTTGAAAAAAAGAAAAAAGTCTTACCTTATTTTTTATTAAGAGAGATTTACTTTCCTTCAAATTGGAAAGACTTGGAGAGGGCTTTGATGAAACAGAGGGTCAGTCGCACATATCACAGAATTATGTTTAAATAGTAGTAAATTTTGAACCAAAAAAAAATGATTAAGGACCGTACAAATGCCAAGTTCTGAGATAAAAATTGAGGCCCCCGCAACACCATAGGAACTATAATTTTCTTAAAAGCATTATGGTTGGACAAAAACCAAACATGGAAGTTATTTTAAGTGAGGGTAGAGGCAAAAAACAGATTATGGCAAAAAATCCCGACTAAAGACAGACATATTAACCCTCATTTGGGGATTGAGAGATGGAAGGCTAGGAATATGTAGTTTAATTTCACAGCATTCATGGAAAAGTCTTACCTTGTATTTTCATCAAAAAATTTGACTTTTTTCATCACAGACACATTGTACCAATCAGCAAAAACAATGACAGATAGTCCGTTGTCAACATCTCTCTTAAGTTTAGCTATTTCCTCTGGGAAGAATTCCTCTTCAGGATCTACAACTAGTAAAGCACCATATTGTGTTGCATCAAAACATGTATAGGGAGAGCCCAAAACCTCTACATAGTATCCAGCGTTTCGTACATGTTGATACATATCCTGGAAAAAAGGTAATAATATCAAATTAGATAACTAATGACTGAACAATCAACATCTCCAACAGATTAAAATAATTTTAGAGGTTTAAAAAGCCCAAGTAAAGAGATACATAAAATACAAAAGACCATATTTACCTTAAAATTAGTATGTATATGATCTCCATTCCAGTCTAGGGGATCATTTTTCATTCTCAAATTGTCTCTTGGAAAATAACCGGGCGGATATCGCAAATTGTGATACTGATCCCACAACAGTCGCTTGCTGAAAAATAACAAAAAAACACTGAGTAATGAATGGATCATACAAAGAAGAGGGGAGGGAGAAGAGCTGTGACAGCTAAATATTAGAGAACAGTTCAGACGTCAATATATTATAAAAAAAAAAACGTAAATTTCTTTGCTTCTGAGAGTACAAGGGTCATTCATACAGTTTGGCACATTTTAATCTAATTGGATAATTATTCAAGATATATTACAGCTCAATCAAGAAATGACTCAGATAGCAGGTACTCATTTCTTATGATTAGCAATCGATATATTGAGGTAGAAACTACGTACTGTCTTGGAGGTGTTGGTATGATGCTAGCCTTCAAGGCCAGTTTCACTGTTGACCGACGAACACTAGTTTCTCCTTCCTCAGGAGGGGATTCAACCGTCACTTCAATGTGACCTTGGGCAATCCCTGTCCATGTAGCAGCACTTCTTGCGACAGACAAACTAACAGCGAGCCAGCCAGACCAAGGCCATAAAACCTCAGAATATGTCAAGCACACCTGATGAAAACACAAACACAGAAATTATTCAAAAACCATGCAAAAATTGGAAGCAAAATAAATAACTGTTAGGTAGCAGAGTCTTTGGTACTTTACCCCTGAATAGCCGATTAAGACGAAGAAGAATTTTTGACTTATGTGTGAGCTAGTAAATGACATTATTTCTTTACTAGGCAAACTACGCAGCAGGTTACACACTTGGGACAATAAGACTTAAATAAAAATAATTTAATTTACGAATATTTGAACTTGGATAAAGAAAATTGCAACTAACATAGATGAAAAATAATTAGAGAACTCAAAAGTCATTCACATAATGACTCTGAACCAATGAACTATCCATCTTAACCCCAAAATCAAAGAGACCAGACAAATGGCTTTCAGCATGAAAAAGCTAGTCATCTGATATCAATTGCATTAAATAGAGCCTGAGTCATCTAAAATAAGTTCATCGAGTGCAAGATGCAAATTTTGATTTTTAGTTTTATGTAATATTCTTGAACATCCTTCAATTATTCATACATCTTACCTCTAGTGCAAGTCCATCATGAGGCAAGTAAGGATACCAACGAGGTTTACCAACAATTTTTCCTGAAACTCCAAGTCCATTAAGTATGGTTACATTCACAATAGTTGGCATAGCTCCATAATATAGTGGCTGTGTACAATACGGCCACATGTACTGACACTCGCTCAAATCAATATAACTGAAAACAAAAACAGGCGATCATGAGAGACAAACGTAAACCTGATGAGATTATTACGAGCAAGAGGATTGTGCAACACTTGAAATAAGAATGTTAATCATAAAAAATATCGATTGAATTTTTTTTCTTTTTACCACCATGAACAAAGCTGGTTGGAACTCGCACGGAATAAGTTGGCAGATTATTTACTTTGGGCTATGATGCACAATAAAACCACATTTGACACATGTGTGCGATTGTGTATACAGCAGCATTGTTGCATTTGGCAGTCCTAGATCACTATTGGGCAGCAGTGGCGTCGCGTCGCTTACAAACAGAAATAAATAACTGCCAACTTATCTGATGTGAGCTCTAGATATGCAGTCATTAAATAATATAGGCTATTTTCTCATTTTAAATTATAACTCCTATCCGTGACAACTTTGATAATTAGGGGTCTAATTATCAGTGTCTTGAGTTATGGATGTTTTGCTTACAATTAATGGAGGTGAGTATCACAATTCTTTGAAGTGCAGCATCCTCTCATATGTATGAGGAAGGCAGTGCCTTAACCTTAGCATTCTGTTTCTATCCCTTGCTATGCTTACTTACATGGCTACTATTATGTTATACCTTCTTCCAAGAGAAATACGAAACAAAGTCACCATATGGACATATCAGATTTTCAGATTTTTTTAGATTACTATTGCCCTAGTAATTTTCATAAATCCACAAAATTTGAGAGCTTAAGAGAAGAAATGATTTCTTAAATCAAGAATTCATTCTATACCTTGGACTGAAGCTTGCTTGAGGCTTGTAGCTATTTAATACTTGGTAGGCTTTTAAGAGATCCAATTTGCCATGCCCTTGTTCGAACATATTGACTCCAGGAAGACGTCGCGCTGAAGCCATCAAAGCTTGCTTCATACTTGCAGGATTGATAGCATTGCCTCTATGTAGGACACCACTATAAAATTTGACAAAATTATAAACATTTAATACCTTTATACATGAGAAATTTCTGAAATCATACATCTTTCAAAATAATAATTGGGCTCTAATATATATATCCGCTACCTCAGCGCATTAGAGCGCTCTGCAACTCCAAATCGCCATCGGAATCGATCCTCCCACAAAACATCGCAGATTACATCGCCTGATTTCCCCTTCCACTCCCTCCTGCCAACCGTTTACTGAACCTTTCATTGAGCTCTAATAACAAATGCAAAACCAATCTACACATGTCAGTCATTGCGCATCTTTTTGAAATCCACTTCCCCGCCTGGCCATAACTCGGCTGCAGCCAATCTGAAGTCACACTGGCTGCTCCTGTAAGAAATACATTGCAGACAGCCAATTATATGTCATTGCGCAGTTGAGTTCCAAAACTCATCGTCGGGAATGACTGACCTGTGTAGATTGGTCTTGAACAAATGGAATTAACGGAACAAGCAATCGTCCGCGTTTCAAGAGAGCTGATCAAATGGTGCTTCTTTGAAATAAAACGTGTTTCACATCTACAAAATAATATTTCCTGGGTTTCCTTGAAAAAAAAAATTTAGCTTGAAAGTTGAAAAATTCAGGAATATAGTGTATGTTCAGCACTGCACCTTTCAAGATCAATGGAGTGACGGAAGAAAAATGCAAGGAATCAGCACTCAAAAACCAGTTTTGTCTGTTTCAGTGAATTTGTAGAGTATTTCAATAGTTCAGACGAGTGCTTTAAAGCTAGTGTAAAAATTGGCAAAACTCATAGAAATGTAAACAAAAGAATACCTACACCCCATGTCATAACCAGCAGCCGTTTGGAGAAAGATGGGGAAACAGAGGAGAACAATGTTGTGGCAAATATGTATGTGCAAAATCATTCTCACTTTTCCTGACTGGCTTATCTACTGTACTGAGTTATGAATTGACAGAACGATTCACTCCTAGATATCGTTAAGCCCATTGTCTTTACTGGACTTTTAACTTATTGGATAGGTATTTAATCACTTTAAAGATAAAACTACAATGGGCAGTTTTAAAAAAAAATATAGCTTGCACTTGATGCATAAAGCAAAGTAAATCCCAATTTTCATTAATATTTTCACTTTAAACTCCTTGTTAAAAAATTTCCTGAAAATTACCGAACCTCACATATCACAACCTCATACAAATAAAGTAAAGGGGAGGGGGAGAAGATTTCAAAAGGCCTTCAACCTAACAACCTCATTCTTACAAACCTTGCAAGGAGAGTAACCGCTCCTGCAACTACAGGTGATGCAACGCTGGTGCCAGAAAGTGTTCGACAGCTGCCTTTGATGCTAGAGCCTCGCACAGTAGAGCCATATGTTACTATATCAGGCTTTACACGGCCGTACCTACAATATAATACAAATTAACAATGTATGATTTCCTTAAAAGTAAACAAGCAACAAAGACTGTCAACAAATACCGATGCGTGGTAATTTTTTATCTTTCTTGGATCAGGCACGCTAATTCTACCTAAGCGGAAACTTTGCGATAAAAAAGTGAAAGGGCTGCAAAATGGTAAAACTAGTAATAAAAAGTGAAAAATTTACTTTCTTTTTTTTAAAAAAAGGAAAAATGCATGTTTTTCGCAAAAAAAAAAAAATTGCTTGTGGTTCTAAATGTTGTGGCACATTAGATGTGAAGAGAAAAAAAAGTAAAGAACAAAAAATAGGTCATTAATTTAAAAATTTTAGCGAGGAAAGGTTTTATAATAAGATGACCTATTTAGAAAGAAATGTTTACATTCCTACTCTCCACTTTCTGATGCTGCGAACAAACTTTAGGGAGCAAAAATAGACTGGGCATTAGAATTAATAGACTGCTCAATAGAGGAATGCATAATTCACAACTTACCCTTGTGGTAGTTCCCATGTTGACATACCGCGTGACGAAAATTTTGCAATTTGATCTTCAAAGTTGATTCCACCAACACCAATTACATCCATTTGATCTGCTGGGTTGTTCAAAGTTCTGCGAAACAATATTGGCTATTTAATAAAAAACTGTTTACATTGATTAATTTATTTCTGAAAAATTAAGCATTCATTATAGCACTTAATTCTGGAGCACTGATCATGAGATATCTGGTGATGCCGCTGCAGGCATCCATGGCCTGATTCTTGCGATGAGGCAGATGTGGTCGCAATTGAAGACTTTGCTTCTCCTCGGATTCTTAAACATTTTTTGCAGGCACAGAGCTCATCTAAACTTGGGTACATGTAACGCCACAATTTCTGTGCTGCGAGAGGCTTCAAACACTAGTCATTACAGCCAACATCTCAAGGAATATGGAGGGTGCTATGTGTTAGTGAGGACATGAACTACATTTTTCGACAACTGAATGTTTTTTGACAAAACCTCTGAATTATTTTAAAACTCTTATTCTTAATCTAGTTCAACAGGTACAGACAACACATTCTTGACTCGGTTTGACTGAAAAGGTTAGCTTCTGACCCCAAGACTTCTGTAAATTTGTATTTTTTTCCATTAAGTGTAAAATCTTCACACATTTTAAGTTGAAGGCAAGATAATTTTAAAAAAACTATTTAATATTCATAATTCAATACTTTCATGTGTACATTATCATTTGAGCACACACAAATGAAAAGATTACTTACCCATACAATGGTCCATCGTTTCCAATCGCAGATATCATGATGACGCCATTAGCAGTCAGTTCCCAAACTTTATCAACAAATGGATGATCCATGAAGTCTGGTCCTCCAATACTGAGATTCAATACATTAATTTTCTTCAGTATTGCATAATTAAAGGCATCCAGGAACCAAGAGGTGTAAGAAACCTACAAAATAAAAAGAAAATAGCTTGATTTATAAATCTGAACAAAAATTAAAGAGAATCTACGGGCAAAAACACTTGTCAAGCAGATACTACCATACCAATGTTTATTAGGTATAGACCTGAAGGTTTTTTTTTTTTTTTTCATGGGATGGAGTGTTCCCAAAATCCCTTCATCTTGTTGGAGAGTTGCTGATGAACTTCGATATAATTGTACTGTTTTTTTTTATATATTTTAACTCATCAAAACTTTGATGAAATTTCTGCCTCAGCAAACTGGAACATGTCTTTAAGGTGTCAATTGATTCATAATTCAGCGCTCAATTCCTTCCGAAAAAATTCTTGATTCCTAGAGAAATTGTTACCCTGCTGATGATTTTGGCAAGTTCAGTCTTACCTGATTATTGGTGAATACTCTGAAAACATGGAGTTCAGCATCAGGAGCGAAGCCAAGGCATTCTTTGCTTGATGCTATCACCCCAGCAACGAATGTTCCATGACCTAAGCCATCTTCCAAAGTCCGTTCGTTCGTCCAATCAGTACGCTCTTTGATTCTCTTGAAATGAGGATGGGTTTTCGACAGGCCTGTATCAAATACTGCTACCTTCACTCCCGTGCCTAGGAAAATTCAACAATTTATAGATAAATATTCAAACTCACAATTAAAAAGGGTAATCTCATACACATTAAAGAAACCAGCACAATATGACTTGGAGCACATTATTATAAAGGTATTTTTTCAACTGCTCAAATGGTGGCTGCTCCGACTCACAGAATACATATTCCTATTCAGTAAAATATTGATAAGTTGATAATTCAACAGTTTGAGTTTTTCACGGGTCTCATTAATTTTTCCTCTTATATCATAGTAACTGCTTTTGCAATGGATAAGAATTTTGGATTTTGCATGATTCAGAAATTTACTCCATCATTGCAATCTTCTGAAAAAAGTCAGAAAAAGGCATACGGTTACTGAAAGTGAAACAAATTGCCAGAGTTGAGACAATGCAGCTATCCAAATTGTACTTTCATAATATCTTCAGGATACGTACCATCCTTTTTTTTTACCATTTCTTATATTCAAAGGAAACGCTGGCATTCATTCTCGCAATGAATGACAACACCATCTTTTACATGTCTGTAAATAGCGAAAATAGAAACAGGAAATTTGGACAGAAACTTAGTATCTTTCGCTGCACTCCAATCTTAGCCTGAATTGCAACCATAAAAAGACAATTCTGGGACTATCGCAACTTACCTATTATGCCACAGTGTACATGACAACCTTTCACCAGTTCATTTGACATTACTCTGACTTGGGATCAGGAAATACTTGATTAGTGACTAGCACCAACCGTTATGTACTTCTTACTCAACCTTCAAATTAAACAGAAGAAGAAACAAAATGATGACTTACCTACTATTCCCATACCCCATAATGCATCTGCTTGCATGATTGTGGTGATCTGCCTGGGAATAGCACGTAGGAGCCGACGGCTAGAATGTTTACCAGTCGCATGCCAAAACTGATTGAACTAGAATTGAAAACATAAAATTATTATTAATATCAATAACACACTGCTGATTTGTTGAGAGGAGATGAACTATTTATCCTCACTGAATGACTTTCTTTCTGACATTCAAGACAACTTTTTTCTCAGAATATTTTCTAAGAGAGCAGCAGGACCCTAAACTTATTTTTGCTGCTAAATAGTCTATTCTGTTTTTTATAAAGAGTGATCAACCAAAAGATAAAGGACCTGAATCCACAAAAGTAGAGTATTTCATGAAACAATTTTTTTCTCGTGGAGTCCAGAAATTGGATTTTAAGATTTCGAAGAAAAGTCCTTGCCTAAGTCTTAAAGAATAAACTGCGTGAAGTCTTAATTTTGCCCTTTTAAACCAAAAGAGGGCATAAAGCAGCATCATGATCCAGCTATTTCGCACCCTCAACATGGCATATTGGAATTTTAAAGTTATTTTCTCGAAACTACATTCTTTAACTATTTATGCCCATTGAATAACCGACACCACTTTGGCTTAGTTTGATATTTCTGCATGTTTCTTACCCAAAATGTATGCAGACCTCCCCTCCATGCTTTGTTACCAATTACACATTCTGAGTTTTATTCGACTAAGGTCTCTTTTCCTATGGATAGTCAAAAATGAGTAAAATATGAACATGAATTCACTGCTCTGTTTACTCCCTTTGGCTTGATGACCTGGTGTATTCAACCCTTTTAGCAGCAGGAGCTTACCAAATAACCATACGTACCATACCATTGTACCATACAATCTAGACCGTGCATTAGGAAATTTCGGCGAGACGATAGGCAACCCGGATTGCAAAGGGTGCTGAGACAGTAGAAATGCCAGTCTTGCCTATGCCATTGCCTGGCACCCTTCGCATATCCCGTTGTATCGACTAAGCTGAAGGCGGTTCTTTACCTGCACACCCTGCTTTTGCACCCCTAGCTGTCTTACCTCCCCTGCCTAAAGTTGGACCTAGTGCATGGTCTAGATTGTGTTATAAGTCAATGATTCATACTTACATTTTTCCCTGTGAATTCTTTAGGCTGATGTGACCATGTCTCATTTTTGTCCGTTATATTGACAAATTTAAGAGATCTATGAACAATATGCTGAGGAGTTACACGGCGAATGAGAGGATGCTTATTTAATGCATCAAGTCCACTGGTGCCGTTCTGCTCTTCCAACTACAAAATAAAAAAAATATTAAGGTAAGTTACAATGAATTTTGAAAATACTGGCAGAGAAATAAGACTTGATTTATTATTAGCTCTAGCATGGATACCTTGCCAACTGTCTATTCCGGAAAAAAATTGAGAATTTTCTTCAGGAAATTGCCTTTTTAGAATTTTTTGGAAACTTCTTTCAAATTTAAGACATTTGCATGATAATCTATTTTGATGGCACGGGGCTCTTCGACAGTTTTCCACACTGTCTGAAAATTATATGAGATGGTCATCACTGCTTCTGATTGTTTAAACCTTAATTGCTCTGTATTTGTGGTGAGCAAAAAATTTGGAACTAACAATAAGATTGAAAAAAAAAGTGAGAAACAGGAGAAAAAAAGATTACCAAAACAACATCAAAATCACTGGGAAAGTCTTGGGCTGGATTGTTTCTCTTTAAAATTTCCCACTTCACTACACCACAGACATTTAATGCTGCTGATATATATTTCTCTCTTGCTTTTGTTCGGTAGTATCCTTTAAATCCAACGATGTATTCTAGAAAAACAAAAAAGGCTATAAGTAATACACCTGACTAGAAAAAACTATAACGATGAAGTACAATAAGAAGGGCTTGTTCATGCTAAAACTCAGGTCTCAGATAGTGAGGAGATTATCTTCTTCATGAAACATGTAGTAATGATATCAAATATTAATTGAGCAATTTTATACAGATTAGTTCCCCTCCGTCCCTGCAACCAGTCCCAGGCAACCATTATTTGAGACCATCAAACTCGGGTCGCCTGGTCGGGAATCAAACCTGGGACCTCCCGATCATAGAGCTAGCGCTACAACCACTGCACCATAGGAGGCCGACAGGAGGATTTGACCGATATGACGCCTCTCAATTTTCGTTCTCTCTAGGATTTGGCTGGTATAATGTATCTTAGTCCATTGCCTATCTTAGAGTGAAATTTTCCACCACAGCAAGTCCATGCCTCCATAGATTAGAATGGAGTCATTATACTATCCGTGTACAACTGTGAATTTTGATTGATTAGAAATTGTTCGCCGATTCAGATTTTTGTCTAGGTGCGTAAAATTTAGGATAAAAGAAATTCTCTTCACTTAGTACTGTAGGCTTCTAAGCAAATTCTAGTGCTAAATAAGTATGTAATTCTGGATTGACTACCAACATCCAATAGTTAGGGCTCAGCAATATGAATTTCGAACAAGTCCACTTTCTTTTTACTTGATTGGTGGTGGTGCTAAGTGTTGTAAGTTGATCGCTTAAGTACTAAATCAGTCTTTCCTAAGTAATGAAAGAAGACAAGCTAGAGCTCTTAGTCCTACTTTCTCCGACTGTTAACCCAGCTTACTTTTCATACTGTATCTTGCAATTGCAGTACAATTTAGCACCTGATTTCTAACGTGACAAAAGTTGATTACACTGATGTTATTGAGTATTGCAGGATCCATCCAGCACCACAGGCAGAAAAACATAATTTTGCTACAACAAAGGAGCTGTCAGTCTATTACATTACATATTAGAAATACCTTGGTGAGAATCTGCACAAAGCCTCTTTGACACCCTAATCATAAGGTGTAGGATAGGACGGACAGAAGTGCTGATGCCTTGATATTGATAAGTAATAGTATGATCTAGAAATTCAAAAGCGAAAGAAGACTGTAGGGACGCACATATTTTGATTGCCTGCGTTACTTACCATTTTTTACAGTTTGGCTGTCAAATTTGATATCAACAAATTGAGGGCCATCACAAACACTCATGCAGCAACAAGGAGTTATGAAACTGGGATTAAAGAAAAATAAAATCAGTAGAAAAGGTGAAAAGAACTTTAAGCATAACCTAAACTTGAGTTTCATGATGATGGAGGATTGAAACCTCCTCATAAAAATTACATTTTGTAAAACTAAAAGGAAGTCATAATGTCAGCAACTGGACACTCATCACTAGTGAGAAGAAATAGATAAAATATAACAGCAAGAAAACTGATTCATTATCAACTGTGATAGCACACAAAACACAAGATCACAGGAACACCGAGCGCCATGAAAGCTTCAAAACAAAGCAAGAAAAAGTTCAAAAACCAAAGATTATCATTGGCTAGAATCGGTGAATAATCTTTGCTTTATGGCGACGTAAACAATCAGCATTAGGTTATGTTGTTGCTGAACATCCGACTTCTGCTTACCGCTGTGGACTATAATTATTTTCGGTGCATTTTACATTCTATTTCGAGTTATAATTCTCACAGTAATTAGCTTATTCACTTTCTCAAAATGTGGTCAGCATCTGAATCAGTTTCATGTTTTTGTAGATTTAAACTGAGCGCTCTCACAGTAACATAGATCGGCCATTGGTTCGGTGTGCTTTTTAAGCGGTGATCATCTTTTGGAGTTTTATCAGTTCATTTAATCTTCAAGATGGGTCGAAGATCAATCAATACCACCAAGAGTGGTAAATACATGAACCCTACTGATCAAGCAAGTAAGTATTGCAGTACAATACAGCTTAGTTTTATTCCAACTCATTGGGCACATTGGTTTTCTCCCATAAAAATACAGCTTCGTTATATTGCCCTGAAAGTAATGACAAATCAATTTCTGCGCCAAGCTGTGTTGCTCAGACGCTGTTGTGATCATGACTTAGTGTTCTGTCAAAACCACCTACTATTTGAGGATGTGCTACCCGATGCAACATTCAGGTTTCACTGGACTCCAAATGTACAAAAAATAGACTCCAAGTCCTGTAGGGAACTCACGTCAACTATTTCGGCAGCTATTTACTTTCCAATTGGAAGCGACTGGGCTATGGTCATCCAATAGCAACCGAGTATTGACAAAACATTGTTGCACATTCATAGTAAAAACCAATAGGTACGTACCTTCCTCTGAGAAGATATTGTAGAAGTTAATTACATGTGACAGAATAAATAACTGCCAACTTATTTGATACGAGCTCTGAGATTTCTTGTGCAGGGTCGGATTTAGAGACTTTCTTTTGTTTTTCTCTGGTTCAAATGGCAGGTTAGCAGCTAATTAGACCGTATTGACGGTAATAGAAAGTTCTATCCTGCAACTTGAAAGTCTGTGAAGCAACAAAAAACTGATTTTTTGCAGTAATGGGTATACTACTTAAACTGGAGGGTAAGGAAAAAAATCATGTTGAAGTATTCATTCTTAACACAGGATAACTAACATCAAAGCTCGTTTTAAAAACCAGGTAGTTTGAAGGCATCTTTAAGTCGTTGTTATGTCTTAAATCAATGTAATCAAGCATACTTTTTCAAAAATTTCAACAAAAAAATTATAGTGACCTCATTGAATCTTTTAATTTTTAATGCATATCATGTTATGTTTGTTTCCAGGAAAAGAGGCAAGAAAGAAAGAACTTAAGAAGAACAAACGCCAGAGACAATTGGTCCGAACGGCTGTTCTGAAAGGGAAAGATCCTCTGCAACTCATCAATGAAATGGAAAAAATTGATCAAATGGGTATGTGACTAAAATGAAGAACTAAGTCGCAAACTTTATTTTACTTTTCTCAAATGCCAAATCATCAGCCCTTTTACTTTATGAATAACTTAAAAGCATGCCATTAGCCATGGATAGCAGGAAGCTGACTTTCTCCTCAAAATAAATTATTTTCTTCTCAAATAATGAAATGAAACCAACCCTTCAATTTTTGTTAGATAGATAGATAAGGTTTATTGTCAAAAAATTACTATTAAAATTTTTGACGGCGTCCTAGATACAGCTGCCAAGCAAGCAACAAATATCAACAATAATTGGCTCATTCTTTGGAATCTCTTGTATTTTAACATTCAAATTAACTCTATATCCTCCGATGGTAATTTCTATGCCACAAATCGTGTACTCTGCAGCAATTCTCCTATTTGGTTGCTAATTTATCAAAACTTTGCCTTTTTAAAGTGCCAAAAGTAATATTTTTTCATATTTTTTTTCCCCATCAGAATTCAATGTTCTGCAACCATCACCCTTAAATGAAAAAGTGCTGAAAGAAAAACGAAAAAAATTGAGAGATACCCTTGACCGAGTGATGAAGATGTATGTAAGTATCTTTTTGTGCTATCATCACAGCTATGCCAGCTGTTGCCAGCTTAATTGTCTGTCGTGTTAATCAGTCACAGCTTAATGCATAAACAATGCCCCTAATTTCTCTCCATATCATCAAGATCGTTAGATCAATTTTTTTTTATTTCAGTTTTAAATAACAGAATGGTAAATAGTGCTAGGTCCACACTGCTAAATTTGGACCACGTTAAACAGAAAGAAACCAAGCCACATCAGCTATTGCCAAATTTAATTTGGCAATTTAATTTTTTACAAGAAAACAGTTGTGCGGATTTTCAAGCAAATTTCAGTGAATTTTCTCCATAGTATGAAGCAAATTCCTCTAAATATTCAAAAGAATCCATACACATGTTCTCTTGTAAAAAATTAAATTACTCGGTTAAATTTGGCAATAGCTGATGTGGCTTGGTTCCTTTCTGTTAAACGCAATCCATTTAAGCCAGAAAAAGCAACAAATCAAAAGTAAGAATTGAAATGAACTCTTTTGAGTGTAAGACTGAGGAGAGAGAGCATTCAACAGAGTCAGTTGCACTCAAGATGCTTTACTGGGGTCCTATTGAGAGGCAGATACCAGCTTGGCTCTCATTAGAACGTTACAGCTAGACACATCCAATCACCTTCCAGCCGAGCCTTCTTTCAAATCTGAGACAGGACTAAACGCTAGCCTGGATAAGACGCAAGGCAGAGAACCATAGTGAGATCCTCACGTCATCTTCAGTCGTTAACCTATTCACGATCACCCGTTTCAAGCTTTTAATGTAATATATTTGTGGTATAATTTTAATTAAAAGTTATTTGCAACTTTGAGATAGCAGTTGAGACTGCTATGACTCTAATTGAAGAACGAAGAAAAATTAATCAACTGTAAGGCTTGGAGGAAAGGTAAATTAGCTCAATATTATAAACCTATTGAAGAACCAAAAATACCTAAAATGTCCAAAGTGACACAGCAATTATCAGTTTGAATCTCTAATGTGACTTGCATGGAACTTTTCTGATTATAATTTCAGATCAAGGATGACCCTGACCGGTGGGAAGAGTTGAAAAGGGCAGAACATGATTACGAAAAACGCAGGAGCACTTTGCTGGCCCATTATGATTCTGTGAAACATGCCCAACAAGTTATTGTTGATGATATTCCTCTTCCACAATTGGGGACTGATTCTTTGGCTAATTTTGCCGGAGGTATACCGTCACAAATTCCTTTACCACCTATGATGACATCACTTCCAGAAATTGGACTTCCTCCACCCCCGCCTGCTACGGGGATTCTAAGGAAGCGCTCTGTTTACAGGTTTGCATCACAAATTGTACTTTCACATCTTTTGTCTGTGTACTAATTTTCATCTTTATTTACATCTCACTGAAACCTATGCTCCTCAAACTGAATTTGATTTTATCTTTTTGTGTACATACATATACTTTGATAAAGGTGGACTAAAATTAAAACTTTTGATGGCTGTAAAATTTATTCAAATCTTTCGGAATCATGCAGTTAACTCTGAAGCATGCAGTAAATTTATCTCGTAGAAAAATCTTTACTTTCGAATATTTTTGCATTGTTCAGGACCTAGAGAAAACTTCAATTACAGTGTCTGCCTTATAAATTGAACATTGTTACTCTTCTATTGTTTCACAATTTTTATCATTTATTCTCTATATCCTACAAAAAGTGTCTGCGTTCTTTTGTAAATATGTATTAATTTTTCTGCTTGCATTGTTTTCAACATAAAGTTTAATTGAAGTTTACCTTTCTTTGTCCTTCAGCCCTCCTCATCCAACGAGGTCCAAATCACCTCCAGGTGTTCCTCCTGGACCTCCACCAGATTTTAGCGATGATGAGATAATTGATGCTAGTGCACAAGATGAACCAAATCTGAATAAAGGTGAAGATAACACAATTTTTGTGTTCTGTCTTAAGTCCTCTTATTTTTGTCATTGTCTGTTTACTTGAAGATCTTACCCTCTATACACACTCTAATGTTTGTACTTAAAAAAAAATTGAAAATTGCTTTTTTCTTTTTTTTAATAAACATACTTGTGTCTGCAGTAGCCTTATCTTATAAAGAGAAAATTTAAAATTTGTCGATCCATTTGAATCTGTACAACCATTCAAGATAAAATTCCTCTTAATGATGTCTAAAAGTTCGATAAAAGTTTGTATCCCATCAGTTTGAAAAAGAAAAGAGAGAAAAGTGGAATTAAAACCCATGAAATTCTGATTATAATTACGTTAATTAATTATTTACAAATCGCCTGTTATTCTTCGTTAAATTAAGACAAGTCACAACAAAGTAGAATCACTGGAAAGTAATTTTAGATTAAATTTATCAATTTAAGTTACCGAACATTTTCCACTTCAACATTTTTTTTTCTGATTTACTTTACAGATACCAAGAAAATCAAAATGAGACGAAAAATAAGGTTTGCAGGAAATAACGATGAATCCGACTCAGAGGATGCTGATGAGTCAGATGAAGAGAGAAATGAAAACGAAGATGATTCCAATAGATTGAGGCCCACAAGTTTGCAGCAAAAAATGTTAGCCATGGCTGGTCAAGATATTGATTCTTTTATGAAAGAGGTATGGTTCTCGTCGTTGTGATATTTTCCTTTAGAGTATGTGACTGAAAAAGTACAAGTACAGTGGCAGTATTGCCTCTTGGGTCATTGTTGCCCTTGCAGTTTTATTTTAAGTATGGCACTAGTAAAAGGTTGCCTGAAACAGAATTTATGTAGATGAGAACCTGTTGTAGTGTGTTGCTCTGGTGGTATATTTCTGCTGATTTGGAAAAATATTCCCCGAGACCTTCCCATGTTTTCAAGTAAATTAATTGTATTCTGGTGAAAAAGGAAATTGTACACAAAATGAAACAATTCAGTACTGGTCGAGTTTTGTTATATTTTTTTTTGTATATATATACATATATTATACATTTTATTGCCAAATTTGGCCGGCTAAGCTGTATAGAACATAGTAATTGATTTAAAAATTGAGCTACAAGCCAAAATAAACAAGTAATATTTCAAACTTGAAAATAAATATGAGAAAATATTTAAAACTTACAAGAAACTCATCTGCATGTAGTTTGAAATATTCCCTGTTTATTTTGGTTTGTAGCTCGATTTTTTAATCAATTACTATGTTATATACTATATGATGGTCTGAAAGACGATGGAAAATCTATCCTCCTAAGCATGTTAACTTTTTAAAAATAACTTATTATGTGCTGGTCACAAGGAAATCAGAGCTTAAAAGACCATTTTTCAGTGTCTTTAGACAGTAATTTTTTCATGGAGATGTTGCGCTAATGTTTTGTTGATTCTCAAACAAGCCTTTGATCAAAACTTGCCAGTCACTGTTTTCACTCATGGGAATTTTGGTTCTTTTCAAGCAAAGTATTAGTAGAGTATTGTATTTTTTAAAGTAATCCAAAAATAAGATTCAGCATAAGTGATTGCTGAAGTAGAAAGTACCAAAAACCATTTGTAATGTTGACAAAATTAATCAGAGATCACATATTGTAAAAGCTGAATCTAACATGTAATGGTTGGCAGTGGAATTTACTCTCATCAGTGCAGACAATACGCACTTAAAGATTGTTCTCACTTTTGAGCGAAGAGCTGATAAAGGAAATTCGAAAAAACTCAAGGCTAAGCAATGTTTTTTCCCTCTCTCTCTTTTCCTTGACCATGCATCAGCAATTTTATACGTAATATTTGATTTGACTTGTGAGCTTTAACATTATTTTCTTTTTACAGATTGAAGAGGTCCACAAAAGTAGATCATCTGGTAATGAAAACTCAGATCAACTAGATTCACAAGATCCATTTTTGTTCCCTCCAACTGGTTTACTGCCACCAGGATTACCTCCAGGTAAGTAACTATGGGCAAAATAAGTTGAAACGACAAATTATAAGGTTGGATTTTGAAGAGGGTCTATACTTAGTTTTCTCAAAAACCACTAATGCCAGAAAGCAAACCAAAAGAACATAGAATCAAGGATACTCTCAGTTTTCCATAAACCATGAATTTTAAAATTGGCCCAAGAGCTGACCAGCAACAAATTACAGACTTCACAAACCCTTATCATTGTCAAATGTGCCATTAATTTTTACTGCACCAGTTTATTGTAGAAAATAGTGGTGTCAGATGGAGCTATGAAAGTGAAAATCTCCACACTTATTTTTGCTATGCATTAACCAAAGTTTCAAAAATCTAGCTTGTTGAAAACTTTAAAATACGTACATTTATTTTTAAGAAGATGTGATTTACTACTCTGAAATATTTTTTAATCCGGTCTTTTATGATGCCAAGAGTGGGCGTTTTTAAAAATTCCTTTGTCAATGGAAAGTCCAGTATATGCTTGTGTGAGTGCTTGTTTGGTCTTTCTCTTTTTTTACGATAGGATTATTAAAGTTTCCCGTTAAAACTTATTTATCAATTTAGTCGAAATAATTGACTTAAGAGTGGAAATTTGAATACGTTTTTGTCTCTTTTACTCTCAAAAATTGTTCCCCTGTCGGGTAAATACTTAATCATTGATGAGGTGAGCATTCTCTCGACTTTCCAAAAAGCTGTGAGTTTAAACTTTGACTAGTTGCCTGGGAATGCATCTGATGCAAACTTCAGCAACAGCAATAAAATAATCAACTCCTTTAGAATATGGCTCTTAAGGCACATTGAGTGACTCGGCAGTGTCTAAAATATACTCATTTTTCCAAAAGACCCAAAAATTATATTTTTCTCCAGACTTTTTACCAAGATCTATGGCCAGATCTACATCAGATATTTTGCGAAGGGAAAACTTCACCATTTTAATCTTTTAACATGAGGATAACATGTTAATACAATCGTTGCACTATTTAACTTTCTCTAATCTACTAATATGACTCTTCAATCTCATTTTTCAGCCCCTCCACTAGTAGTTCCACCACCTTTGATAGGTGGAATGATAAGATTACCACCAGGCCCACCGCCAGGACGGCCTCCTACCATGCCGCCAGGACCACCTCCTGGTTTACCTCCCTCCAGATTAATGAACATTCGATTACCACCTGGACCACCACCAGGTAAGTTACAACTTGGAGTCATAATTGAAAAAAAACTATTGATGAACAGCTGATTGTGCTTGTCATAATCTTCAAAGACTCCACTCCCAGTTCTGCTCTTGTAGAATCAAATCAAAGGTCTCGGACTAAAAGAATTCTGTAGTACTCAAAAGTCTTGACCATTCAGTTAAAGTCAAGAACCAAAAACCAATTTTTTCCGCTTGATTTTCCCTCCAACACATGCACGGTCTTTTTTGTATCGGCCAGTCATTTTTCTCTCTTTTAATGGCATATGATACGAGCAATTTTCACCCTCTCGTAAATTAGCAGAAATTGAGTGCTGTTTTCAACACAATCTTCAATGTACGTATGTGTACAAGATGCTACTGGTTCTGCTGCAATCATTGATTATTCTATGCAAGGAAAAACCAGCTAATTTAGCAACGGCTGTTTTCCTGCTTTAGTAAATGAAAAAACTAACTACATAAGCTGAAAACATAATTACTCTTGTTTTTTAAATCTACCAAAATAGCTTAAAAAAATCTCTGCATCACTTAAAGTTATTGCCAGACCAGTAAATGAATCGCAATTGCTGTTTTTTCGCAAACCTTGTTGCATCTAGATGTAGACCGGTAGTTATTAGTAAAGAAAGCTCAATCAGTTATAAACCCAACTAACTGGTTGCTTTACTTGAAACAGGATTTTCATCCTCAAATTTTTACCACCAACAATAGAGAATTTGCAGTTGTCTTAAATTTTGTGAATTTCATCTTTGAAATGATACCACGAGGATGTTCTTGGTTTCAAAATTGGACAATTATTAGAGGAAATATGACAAGATAACCTAATTTGCTAAAATACACGTGTTTAATTGGATAATGCCGCCAGATGAAATCATAAGCCGGCACATTTTCTCACTTTTATTCCCCTTTTTATTTTCCTCCAATTTCCCATGTCAGAAAAAAAATTATGAAAAATACTGCGAACTCGGCTCATTAGGCACTCTCAGATGAAGCAATAAAATTTTTGTGTGCAAATTCTTCATTTTTATTTTTATTTTCAGGAATGCCTCCAAGGATGATAAGATTTCCCACTGGTATTCCTCTGCCACCCATGGCTGGGCCTCCTCCGTTGTTCCCCATGAACTCGGTCGGATCTGCATCGACTGCAACTCCTAACGTTCTGTCAGCGGCTCCGCAGCTCATTAACAGATCCTCTGAAAGTACCGCAACAAGTAAATCTGGCACAACTATTGAAGCTAAAGCTCAAATAAGGTATGATTTCTTTATCCAAATGAACAACCATGCAAGCATATTTCTCAGAAATTATTCATGTACTGCAATTTCTTCACAGATCTCTTTTCGGCACTCACGCAAAGTCTACATTGTTCCGTGCCATAATTTTCAATCGAACAAGACTATTGCCTATAAGAAAAGTGAGTTGATAACTAGCCTCAAGGGAGTTTGTAGCAGTTGCTCGCTGTTGCAACCTAATACCTGCCTATGTGAGAGTGCATGTAATTCCTGTCCATTTTTAGGCTATGGAAGTATGACCATACGCAAGCAGCAGAAGGCATTAAACATAAAATATTAATAAACGAAAAAAAAGGAGAGATAAGTAAAGTAAAGTAATCATGGTTTCCTTTTTCTTTATTCATAAACTGTCTAAATTCGTCGACTAGAGATAATTACTCTTGAGTTGTTTTCTAATGCCCAAAAATTACCAATAGTCCTCTTCAAGAGGTAATCTCCCGCAGAGATTCGAGCAGATTGAAATAATTTTTAATGTACACACTGGCATTTTATTTTGTGGCATTTTATTTTAAGCACCAAGGGCAACTTGCAGAATAACGGACTGAGTGGCACCAACATTAGGCTAATGCGCATAGCCTGCAAAAGGTAGTGTTAGTCGTGTGTACCGCAGCAGTCTTCAGAACTAAAAACACCATTAACTTCAAATTACTTTTTTGGCACTTTAAGTATCATTATTGTTTTAAATGTTCATACATGGGCTTTATCAACGTAAAGAATTGAGTATAGTCCAAGTTACCCTGTAACCTTTAAATTTTTAAGTTCTTGTGCGAACCCGAACATCAATGTTATATTTTACCCTCTAACGATTGGGACTATTGTACAACATTAACTCTCTATTTGCTTTCTTTTCAGAAATCTAAGTGCTGATGTAACAAGATTTGTACCAACTGCTTTGCGAGTGAAGAAAGATGATATCAAGTCTAATGCCAAGACCAAAACAACGGAAAAATCGAATGTTAGCAGTGTGCTCCAGTCAACAGAAGCCAAGTTTGAAAAAGCGATACCTAGTCAGAATGCAGGCAAAAACACTCAACAGACGAAGGATGATGCTTACATGCAGTTCATGAAAGAAATGCAAGGTCTATTGTAAATTATGTATTTCAGCGATTCAAACTAAAGCTCCCTCGTTTGAGTGTGTGACTCTTGAGAGAGATTGAATTCAAAAAGTGAGAATTTTGGGAAGGAGGCACTTTATATCGTTCTTTCATAACACTGAGTTTTGACTAATTCTTGAAAAATTCATCCATTCAATAAAATGCAAATTGATGTTTTCATCATGTACACATTTTGTAAATTCACAATTCAAGGAAACTTGTTCTCGTCTTATCTTGTAAATTAATTGTAATCGATGAATTGTACTAAAGTTTTATCTTCGAGATTTTGAAGAATTAGACAAAGACGGATCAGCAGCAGGAACAGAAAAGGCATTATGATTTTTCCGAGGATTTTTGGAGGGGAATAATGATGTTGCCACTCCTTTGTCACCATTGCAAGGCTTTCATGAGACTCCAAAGGATGGCCAATAAATCCTAAGATAACTATCTGAAGACCAGAAGATGAGCGGAAAGTATTAAAAAAACATCAAGCTGTTGATAAAATTAGCTCAACTGAAGTGACTGAGCCAAACCTGCGGCTTCATTTATATTCTGTTGTACCCTTAATTCTATTCCCCACTCAACTGTTCATTTGCAGAATCTAGCGCTTTCTCTTTTGCACAAATACTACCTGTCCATTGATCCTGTGACCCAATGGTTCAGAAATCTCACTGGTCTCCTTTTTTAGGTATAAACAGGAATCGTGATCTTGAAATTTCAATTTTTAAATTGATTCCATCTTCTTGTGAAAGGACGAATTTTTTAGAAAAATCATCTGTCATTGTCCTTTTTCAATTGATTATAACATCAAAATGCTTAGTATATTCATAACTAGTGCCTCCTCCAAAGATTTTATTTCATGTGATTTTCACAGTGACCTAGGTACCTAAACATCCTCCTGGATAACGCTTTGTCTCATTTTTAAGAAAATAAGTAAAACATTATTTTAAAAGTTGTTCTATTGAAAAACTTATAGAATGCCTGATTCATGATTACAAATTCCTTGTCATTTGACTGTTCAAATCCTTGTTTGTTTTCTTTTATTTAAATGCATACAAGCCATCACACACCAGCACCATACCATGTGGTTGCTGGTTCAAGTGTGTTGCTGAGGTCATTTTTGTCCCGTATTCCCGAGACGATTGTGCAATGAATGACATTGGCACTCCCTTGGAAGTTCGGTCTCCACTAGAAAGTACATCTGTGTGATGATTTCTAGGCCTCAGTTTATGCAATTTTCAGAAGCTCTGAAGATCTGCTTTTCAAGATGTGACTTCAGTGGTACACCAGTACTATTGGGACTGCAGTGTGTTTTATGTTGTGAACCCTCTTTAGGACCTTCTGTCCATGATGAAGACAGGGAAAACGGGACTTTTTGTAATTATCAAGGAGTTTTTAACCCAACCATACTTTACTATGAAGAACAATTGGCTTTCTATCCGCTACACGGAGCACCCAAAAATTCAGGAGAAAATTCCAAAATGTTTTCAAATTTTAAGTTTTTGCAGCAGCGAACAGAGCAAAAACAGTTCCTGTAGGCTGTAAAATATTATTATGTCATATTCAACTGCTTCATTTCAGTCCCCCTATCCCCGGCTCATCCCATTTTTACCATCTCAGCATTAGGTTAAAGAATTCAATAAAAATGATAAAAAATCCAAAAATTGGGTTTATTCTTGTACGTTTTCACAATAAATATTTCATCCAAGAATTTTGCCAAAGATTCTTGACATGCAACTAATCTGTTGGTTTATGAACATTTTTCACCACTATAGGAAAGCATCCTAGGTGTAGACTGACTTTTGGTGGAAGAAAAAACTTACAACGAGGAAAATATTTGTTGTAGAGCATTTCGTTTTCTTAAAAAAAATGTGTGGTATTTCTGAATTAGACTAACCTCAGTGAATTTTTCCGGGTAAGCTTGAAACCCTCATTTGTAAAACCTTGTTCAGAAGTATTACTTGGAACAAAAGTGTAAGTTAAAGTAACTAGCGGTGTAGTCAGCTAAGTTAGCAGCTGTTTCCTTTTGGTTTGATGAATTTAAGTCTCTGCGCTCAGCGGCGATGTTGCTCGCGATCAAACCGCGGTCAATTCTCGATCACCATTAGAAAACTGTATCGCAGTTATTTGCACACAGAAAGTGAACAACTACCAAATTATCAGACAACACCCCTATTTACTTTTGTCTGATGTGACTTTAGAAAAGCCACCAGTTCTTTAATCAAGGAGGGAACAATAAACTCCTTTGAACCGAATCATCATGTTCATAAAATTATCTGTCAAGAAGGCACTATTCGGTAATCCTTTATCTCGTTCTGAAGCCACTGTTTCCAGTCCAAATCAACAGGGCGGACCATTGTAACTTCTTGAAATACTTCACTTTTTGATTCCTAAAAATTAAAAGAAAACTGATAAATTTTGTGGAATTTGCCATCTAAAAAGGTCACACAATTGGAAATGACAACTATGCACTGAAATTTAAAAAAATTATTTTTAATACAAAGAAGATGGAAATTTAGAAAGACGTAACTCTTGGTCTCAAGCCATTTAGATACTGAGACAGTGTATTATTCATCTATCATTTCATTTTTCTGGGCTTTTGTAGTCAATCAAGTGACATCAAATTGGCATTTGCGTACTTGAATAATGGGTCAGAGGCGATTATCTTTTTAAATTCATCTTCTTAAAGTAAGTACTCAATGAGTTGAGCTATCAGTAATTTCTTGAATGTTTTTGACTCGAAAAGATAGAAATAATCGATTTTGAAGTCGCCATAATCTGGACCCATTTTGGCGGTCTGTCATGCTGTAAGTAGGCGAAGGAGTCTACATTAGTCGATGAGTTGAAGCTCAACTAAAGACATGGCTTAGTTGAATCATCAGGACTGTCGGCAACAAGTTGGTCAGATTTTAATCCACTTTTTTTCTTCTTTTCCTCTCCACTTTTTAATGAACCTTTTGGTTTTTTCTACAATTTTACAAGGCAGTTAACTGTCAGGTATTCTGCAGAGACGTTATGCCACTGACCCATTGAAGGAAAAAAGTCTCTAAAACAGAAGCTATCATGATACAGATCACCTTACCTCTGTAAACCTCATTTTTGTAAAGAATCTGATACTGACTGAATTGGAGGTCGAAATTTTTACAATATACTTCTTTATTCCTAGAGCATCAATCCCTGAAAATGAACAAAAACTTATAAATGATCGATTCTACATAAAACGTTTTAATTATGTTTTCAAGTTCTGTCACAAAAGTAGCTGTCGATCCAACCTTCCAGAACACAACTCAAAGTTTCAGTTGAGTGAAAGGTTTTGGTAAAAGAGCCATTGGTCTCATTTAAAAATATTCCTGACTCACCTCCCTAGAACAACCATCAAGGGAATTTTTCTCCTTTCTGATAAAAAAGAGCAAATCTGAACGTCATTTTTTTAAAGCTGCGACAGCTTTCAAATTGGACCACAGATTTAGATTTGGAAATTCTCAGCTTTATTTTGCAAAGTTTACATGCAAATTTGCGGCCCCATGGGTATGCACAACCAATTTGTTAGAAATAGGATGTGTGACTTTTAATGCCTATATATATATATATACCTAAAAATGAAACAATTTTCACTTTACATGATGAAAAAATCAGTGAGACTTGACTAACCTCCAACACTGTTTTTGCATAGGATGTATTTCTTTGAGTATTCAAAAACTCATTTAGAATGATAATGAAACTTCCTTTTTTGTCTCATTCCTCTTAACCCTATCAGAAAAATACACTCACCATGCCATTTATGGAAAACGGCATTATGGTTACATTTCCATTTATTCTATGGGTACATTTAGCTTTGTTGTTATCTCAGGTAACTTGCTATGAAAAACTGAATAACTCAATGTGGACTTTTTCGAAGCATTTAGATGTAGAGAGCTTTGAGCCCATGGTAAAATTGGAAGTTTGAAAATTATTTAAGTACATAGGCTTCAAAAGCTTTCACTGGAATCAAACATCAACAAAAGTGCTCTGGTAAAACACCAAAAATTAGCGTTCAAATGAAATGCCTGTCAATTTTATTTCAGTATATAAATAAGTGCATTCAAGTTATTTAAAACTAGACAAATGATTGCTCAAGAGGATATACATTACCATAGTTTAGCATTAGGAGCATTGCTTCCCAGCCGAATCCTTTACTTCGATAATTGGGATCAGCAATCATCACAGCAGCCTCTGCTGTCTTTTCTTTCAAGTCTTTCTCAATGATGTACAGATTTGTGTCTCCTATCATTGATGCTTTAAAAAAAAAAAAAAAAAAAAAAAGGGATAAAACATTAAAAATAAAAACTTGCACTTTCCGCAGCTTCTGCGGCTTTGTCAGCTGCACAAATCATGTCAAGCATTTCTTACATACGGATGAATTCATGAGGTTCATGATTCAAATGCAATCTTTATTTCAGATTTTAATAATGTAAGCTTTACAAGTGTCGAATCATTGTCAGCGTTTTTTCATGTAAAAAATAAAGTATGACAGGAAGTCTATGGTATGGCAGACCAAAATATGCATTTCTGCAGTATTGCTGTCAACTTATCATTTAACAGATCCAATTAAATTTTTGAAGTGAGAGATTAATGTGAAAACGTAAAATAGTACATACTGCTGAAGTTTAGCTCAAGAAAGTAATTTTGTTATCAGGTTGTTGACTTAGACATAAATTCCACAGTACGGCCTAATCCAAACAGGGATCTGGCGTCGGGCTGAGGAATGTGGTTAATGGACATAAATTCCAAACTCAGGAATATGGCACTTCGGAGTAAAAACAGCAGACGGTTTGTTATGGAATCTCAGGAATAGACATAAATTCTACAGTCAGGGCATCCGAAACCGGGAGCCTGCGGTGGGCTGAAAAGTGTTGGCGATAGAGATGAATTCCACACTTGGGAGTTCTGGCATTTCAGCGTAGAAACAGCATACAGGTTCTTACGGAAATTCGGCTTTAGAAATAAATTCCACAGCAGGGCATAAGTAATCTGAACAGGGAACCTGCGTCAGGCTGAGGAATGTTTGCGATATTACTGATGCAAGAACCTAATCAGGAATTTTGATCGCCATAAAAACAGCTTGCAAAGAACTACCGAGAGTTATTTCTTCAAAAACTTGATCAACTTCTTCTCATCTTTTAATTCATTGGCTTCATTCAAAGAATCTAACCATTATTGAAGGTGACTTAGTAGCCTCACCTCGTCATTAGAACTGATACAGGCAGTTGGCATGTTAGTGCATAATGCTAAACTGAGTTTTACATCCCTGCCTCTTTGCCTACTTTGGCAAATACTGTGTTAAGAACCAATACCAAAAATGATTCTCAGAGATATATTTGTAAAATATATTTTAAAAGAAAGTTCAATGCAGTATGTAAAATTACCTCTAAAAATAATTATCTCTAAAATTAATTATCTCTTGATTACTTACCAACCTCATCCTGAGATTCTTTATGTTTTGCAGAGTCCAGAACTATGAAAGTGCATTCTAAAACAATATTGAAGAAGAAAGAACGTCATGAGATCTAGATTTTGAAATGATTGAAGTTTTGGACCATGAGAGAGTGATGAAACTAAGATTCAGTAAAATATAGAGTTCGAGGAATGAATTTCAGGTGAAAATATGAAGTGTCAAGCTCTTCATCCTCATCTCTATCATCAAACATTATAAGAGCAAATAAATCAAATTTAAAGAGCATTCAATTCCTAACAGAGATCCGTACTCGACTTCCGATTCTCTGATATTTTTGCATAATGTAGTGAGGAGCCCCAAGCTGTATTTATAGTTGTTCCTTAAATAGGTCCTTTCCTACTAGGTTTATGATTATGTGAATAAGAAAATTTTGAAAAGACTCTTAATATAGTATCATAAACGAGACAATTTTAACGAATCTTGAGTAAAATTCAACAAAGTACCTTCATAAATATACCCTTAGAAGGGCTTATAATGATTTGATTCGACATACCTAAAATAAATAAAAAAAAAATTGAAAAAAATTTTTTTCAGGTTTTGAAAATTTTAAGGTAGGTATCTGAAATTGTACTTAAGTACCTAGGTATCTTTAAGTTCATCAAAATTATCAAATTATTTTCCTCTGTACTTCTTATTTTTGAAAGTGGCAAATGAATGTTTCTTCCTTGCTAGGTAGGTATGGTAAATTTCCTGAGTGATTCTGTTGAATTTAACACAAGATTTGTCAACACTTTGTTTTCTATGATTCTGTGTTAAAGATTGCTCCTTAAACCTTCCTTGAACACATTGTAAACCATGTGGAGCCTCTTAAGAAAAGGAGCTGTTTATGGAATGCCTATGAAAACCATCTGTATTGTACTTTTCGAAACAGGAAAAGGATGATAGCATTGATGCGTTACCTGGTCCCTCAACCATCTTACCAGTATTGTACTTATTTTCCTACATCCATTTAGTCTTCAGCGTAATTTCAGATTTTCTTATTTAGGTATGGTCTGCAGAATCATTTGTGCTCAGACTTACAGTATATTACATAATAGATAGGAATAAAACATTCATACTCACTATCTTCATCTTCGGCCCATGATTCCTGCATCTCGTACTCATCTTGAAGAGTGAGAGGTTCCGATGCTGTCAATTTCTGCAGTTCTGCAGACTGCATAAATTGATTGTACCTAAGAAAATTGATCAATTTACATCAATCATTCCGAATGTGACAAAGAAAGCTTTTTGATTTTTTATCCTGATGGTGTAATACATTTTTGAATCCCTTCCTTCTGTAGTTTTCTTTAAAAAAAAAGAAACTATAGTTTCTTTTTTTTACTATAGTTTCTTTTTTTTACTCTGTTTTCTTTTTTTTTCTTTTTTTAGGTACTATAGTACCTAATTAGGGGAAGCTTAGTGATGAGATATTAGGAAGTGCACGGTAGGGCACAAATCGTTGAAAAATCTTCTCTCTTCCTGATAACATTTTGTTTTTCTAATGTGGGTACCTATTGAGGTATAAATAGGTTGAAACTCTACAGAGCTGGGAAAGATTGCTAAAATCAAGAAAAATTTTGTGGAATTCTTAGAACGCACAAGATAAAATATTAAAATTAAATTTTACCCAATTACTTAATATGACACATACTTTCACATTCAAAATATTTTTTCTAGACATCAAATTTTTTGCTGGCAAAAATGCGCTTCTAGCTAAGCGCAAAACTACTCGGATGAACCCTTTTTTCCCAAAATGTAACTCTGCTCCTTTTTGAATGGTTCAGTCCAGTTAAAACTGATCATGATATATATCATGAAGATCATGGAGTTTAAAAATTTAGGAGGGATGAAGATTGCATTAAACACCTCTCATTTCGACGGTGTAAGTCGGCAATCACATAACTCGTTTGCGGTGTCTGAAAATCTCCGCCTCTATGTTAATTTTTTAAAGGAGAACAAATTGACATCATTCCTTGAAGTTTATGCAGAATTTTCTTCGCACAGGGAAGAAAAATCCCGGCAGTTTGAAAGAATTGCCGTTGAGTAGTTTTCCGTTTAAAAAATAAAGTATGACAGGAAGTCTGCGACGTCGCAAACCGAGTTATGTGATTGCCGACTTACACCGTCGATTTGCTTTTACTCATAGTATGCATGCCCTTATAGCGTACATATGAGAGTCTAGTTGTACACGGTCGTACATTGAAACCTGGAAAGTTTTAACTCCTTCAAAATACCTACTTCGGTACATGAATCTTCTTGTAAGGAACCAGCGAAACAAGTGAACCAACCAATGATATGTTCTGATTTATTTTCATTCTTCACCTGAAAATAAAAATTTTATAATGTACTCTTAAAATGTAATGTTTGGTAATAAATTAAATGCTAAAAGAGACCTTATTCATCATGAGCATGATATATTATTTGATTTGGCTGTATTACGTAAAACAAAAAAAAAATCATTAAGTACTTAGGTACCTAGTGAGATTTTTATAATATTTCCATTTTCCCTCTCACAGAGACTGGACTTCGGCCTGGCACTGGATTATTCCCTACATAGAGTGGGAAAATCAGGGAAGTTTCACAGAGGTGACAGTGAGTATTTTGTAATTTTAAAAAAAAATAAAGTATGATACTTAGGTAAAGAGTACTTTAACAGTGTAAACTAAATTTTGCCTGCAGTTTTACCGTTGATATGTGTCTCTAATGAGATCGTACAAAAAATGGTGAACTTCATCGAAGGAAAAGTGGTATATACCTGTACTTGAGAAGCTCTAAAGGGTTGATGCTATTACAGACGATTCATCACAATCCATTGCATGGTCATCAGGACTCGTACTTTCGGTAAGTATGAATTTAAGTTTCCTCCTTATTTTACTCAAGTTATTTTGGAATGACCGGTTTAAAAGAAGAGTGAAAATAGATAGATAGATAGATAGATGGATAAATACACTTTATTCAGAGAAAAGAAATTACCCAAGATGTTGCTGAACACATGGATCCAGTTCTGAGTGAATGCACATGCACTTGGAAAGAATGGAAAGCTGAAAAAACACTCAACTCCTGAAGGATCCGAATGTTTTAATTGCTAAAACTATCCTCTATTTTTGTGAAACCAGCTTACCGTAATGGTGCTATTCTCAGTGATTTTAAATTTGTACTTAGATTAGGAAGAAAAGCGCCGTGGACAAAACTGTCACCCTACTTGCTGATAAGAGATAAGACGGATCGTGTTGTTGCTGTTGTTGTTGGTCGTTCATTGAGGTTATGTTGTGAAGAACGCAACAAAAAGTGGTCAGGGAAGTGATAAGTAGTCAAAAGTCTTAGTGCTCACAAGAAAACGAATAAACCTAAGAATTATCAATTTACAGTCAGACTTCAACATGCAATCGAGTCTTCGTAAAGTGTTCAGGACATTTGTAAGTGGAGTCTTGCTTTTAAATTATCTGATTGTTTCTAGGTTTTAACCTTCAACGCAATGGGCCATTAAAGTTTGCTCTCCGTCTTTCTTTTAATTTTTGCAACCTTCTTAAATCTTTAAATCACACTGAAATTTCTATATTTTCTAATATTACAATCATGACTTCAAATTCAGCGGCTCCACTGTAAATGCTATGTCAGCGCAACAAGACAAGACAACGACATTTACTATGTAATATACCGCATTTCGATGTCTTATTGGGCTGCCTTAAGACATCAATAATCAGCCCGCAGGTTAAGTTCTATTTCAGACACCCCACCTGTATTGAAAGACCTCTCTTTTGTGGTCTGAGGAACACTGGAGCGTCAACTCCCTACAAGGATCAAGCGTTGAAGTAACAACCTCAAAATGGCAAATGCTGGATTTTAGTGGAGGCATTGTGACATGTGACGAAATTGCCTATTTCATCCTATTGTCAATCAACACACTTATACCTAAATATTTGCCACCGTAAACTGCTGTCATTCATGAATCTCCCTAAACTGCTAGCCATTATGGGCTTACATGGAAGCTGAAATTTACATGAAGCTGAGACTGCGACGCACAGGTGGTGATAAAAATAGTTTCTCTTGTTTCTCAATCTCATTTAGCATCGTAGAAGTTTTTGTTTTATTTGTTTTATTTTGAGAAACTGGCACCATGCAAGGATATACCTGTAGGACCCAAAAAATTAAGCGAAGTATTCAGGACCATTATGTAGTTATTTTGTTGTATACTTATTTTTAATTTTCACTTTGAGCATCAGTCAATGTTTTTTATTTTATTGTATTTTTCAGGTATGTCCTACCAGAGGTTTCAAGAGTTCACCGGCTAGTTGTCACGATAGCTTATTTGTGGTAAGTATCTTTTCATCATATCTTCAGTGGGTGCAAGTCATGTCTAAAGGTACCTAGAGTCCGCATCAAACAAGTTTTTGCACTTGTAGGTAAATTGATACAAAATTTTTGCCCTCTCAATTTTAGAATTTTTTTTTCAATGGTAAACTGATGACAGCTGATCTTCTATCGCTCTCCGTAAGTGCGTCAACTTCTTTGACGTAGACTTTACTATTGGCACATTTTATCGCATAAAAAATAGGTCACCTTTATTGTTGCATCGGATTTTCTAAGGCAATTATTGACAGCTTATTTCACTGGATCAGTATGTATCTAAAATGTACTTTTTAGACTCCTTATTCATGTACCACAGGTTGAAAACCTTGTGTAATTAATATAAATTGTTCGAAGTATGGTGAAAGCAAAATATTCCTAAAATTTCTCACCTAGACAACTGGAACAGGTAACTCAGTGAAATGCTGCTACGAATCTTGAGTTTATTTCACAGTATCTAATTTGCTTATATCTTTGAGTTAAGGTAGTATTTTTGTTTGGAGAAGCTGGATTAGTCAACCTATGTGAAATTAGTAATGAGGTTCGCCAAACCTTTCAGCAGTCTTTGCCACTCTTTTTGAGGCTTTAACTTCAAAGATTTTCTGCAGATAAATATACCTAAATTGAGATACAACCAAGAAGTATAGAAAGATTCTGAATCTTTCTGGTTGACTAACAGTTTCTTTTTTAAGCCCCAAACTGAAAGTGGAAAGTTTTCAGTCATTAAAAAGTAATTTTGATTTATGATGTTTAACTGCAATCATATCTACATTGGTGCGTAAAATCATTTTGAGGTTTCCAAAAATTAGAAAAAGTAAAGTTGCATTTTAAATCAGAAACTTAATTTTTTTATTTAGTTCTTAATTTTTTTTTTTTTTTTTTCAGCATCGAGATTCAAAGGAGGACAATTTAGATGTCAACTTTGAATTCACACCTGAAAATAGAAAGGTGAGTCAATTACTTTAAGTTTATTTTAGTCACTGCACCGCAAAAAAGAGAAAAATAGGTTTTGGTGAAATTACGAATTCATTTTGTACAAAGTGGGAGCAGTGACTTAGTTTCGTAAAATTTACAGACTGATTGCAAATTTTACGCAAGGTGTTTTTCAGGTTTGCAGATCATGAAAATTTTTGGAAGGAAAAATGTCACCATTTTCTATAAAACAAATTTATAATTTAACAAAACCTTTCTCTCAGTGTATGTACTTGCTGCTGATCAACTTCTTGTCGTCTGAAAAAGAATAGTTAGGAGCAAGGTCAAAAATGTTGTCAAAGCTATTCTCTAGTAAGCTACACTGCATGGACTTTTTCTGAAAATCTGACAGATATTAGGGTAGGTAAAACATTTTCGAAGAAATTCAGTAAAATGATGAATTTTTGATGAAATAAATCTGATAAGATCTAATTGAGTTAAGAGCTTTTGCAGACATGTAGAATGTTCTCAAGCCTGCCTGACAAATCTCGCAAAGGAAAGGAGATAATCTGCTGAAGATTATACTCTTTTCTCAGCAGGTGCTGTCCAAGAATTTTGCAAATAATTCTGAAAATACTGGGCTCAAAGCATATCTAAGCTGGCATAGGCACTTCTTGTCATGAACACCGGCCTCATTAAGTTACCTCCGATATGCCCAGGACAGTTCATTTTACTATACTACATCAGCAAGTGGCACAATCTCAAGTCTAGAAAATTAAGTATATGGACTGTCAAAAAAATCCATGAAGCAGGTACGGTTTTGAAAAAGAATAACCCAATGTCCAATGGTCTTTGTTGTTTGAGTCCATTTGATTTACCTCTACTACACTCCTACGAGCAACCATTACTTTATTTTTTCATATTTTATCGCCAATTTTGACAGAAATTATTAATCAAATGACAAATCTGAGAACAAAAAAATGCCTTTACTTCAGAATGGCTGAATGAAGTTGAAGAAAGGAAAATAAAAATAGATGATTATATATTCCAGCAAGAGCAGTTTAGCAAGAGCAGCATAGTGAAATGAATGCAGCAAGAGGACATTAAATCAAAACTAACAGCAGAAGATTGGTAACAAAAAAAGTCTCTTATATGCTCGACTAGTGCCATTACTTAAGACCGACAACCAACAATGATTCATTGTCTTAGCTAAATTTATTTCTTCTAAGGTAAGATATGACATTCTCTCACTATTTTAACAACTCCTTCTTTCCTCTTGCAGAGAGCTGATGCAATTATCTCAATCTATCCAGAAGGTCACCAAAGAGCAGCCGTAATTCCGCTCTTGGACTTAGCTCAAAGACAATATGGTTGGCTTCCGATTTCTGCCATGCACCATGTTGCTGATCTTCTCAACATGCCTAAAATGAGAGTCTATGAAGTAGCTACCTTTTATACGATGTTCATAAGGTACGTTTTACGTGAAACAGTGAAGACTATCATTTTTCAATTTTGAATAAATTTTTTAACCTTGTTCTAAACTTATTACCTTCCCTGAATACAATTTAAAATTATGATACATAAGAATGTTTGGAAAGTATACCCCTCCTTGCGTGAAATTCAATATTCATACCACAAATGATATTTTGGAAGGCCAAAGGAAAGGGAAAGTTGAGGGTGGCTTTTCCAGAAGGAGGGGGGGGGGTTGACACCAGACCATTCGTGATAACTGAAAATCACCTTGAATTCAAATACACTTAAACTATTTTTCACTTTAAACTGCACTAAACTGAATGGTGGCTGTTTCTAAACCTTCCCTCTCTGATGATAGTCAATTTTTCCTTTGTTCTCATGTCAACCTCTTGTGGTGTTGTGATTGTAGTGCCTTAGTCCTATGATCAAGACGTCCTGGGTTTGATTCTTGGGAGGATTGCTGAACCTAAAGCTTGAAATGAACACATTCCTGGGAAAAAGGGTTATAGGCAAGAAACGAGTTCAAAAAATGGCGTTTGGAAGGTTATTTTGTTTCTACAGACACTTAAGTGATAAAATTATGCAACCTAAGGTCAATTTCAAAGTTGAAAATGTTAGAGTTTGAAATAGTCATAACGTTTAAATGGCAATACGAACATGTGTTCTTGATGCGATTGTGTTATGTCTTCTTTCTTCCAGCAAACAAATTTTAGGAGCGGACAATGATGAATTCTTCAGGTTGAGATCAAATAAAGTAGCAGCTACCTAATTGGATTCTATTTTTTTCAGAAGTTGCCCGTTTATTTTTACCTCATCCTATGTTTTGCCTTCTTTTCATTTTTTTAAAACCAGTAATTGGAAGATGAGCCTCTTTTTGTTACCTTGTATGAGAAAATCCGACTTTCTTTTTTCATGTCTTCAGAAAACCAATTGGAAAGTTCCATGTTCAAGTTTGCACAACAACACCTTGTTGGCTTCGCGGCTCCGATGAAATTGTAGACTGCATTAGAAAGAAGATAGGTGCTGATGTTGGTGGAACAAGCAAAGATGGTCTTTTCACTTTGTCTGAAGTAGAATGCCTTGGAGCTTGTGTCAATGCCCCAATGGTTCAGATCAACGATGATTATTATGTAAGTATTTTACTAACTTAATAAAGTTGCCGTAACAGTTAAAAGTCATTTCTATCACCTCGTGTAGTGTTCGTCCTGTAACCTGTCACCAATTTTAATGAAGAGAAGTCAATACTGCTGGTAAAGTGAAGAAGTTCTTTGAGGGCTGTTGCTGAGGTGGTCATCTGTATTGACAGCACTGGGAGAAAAGGTGTTGTCTACATGTAAGCAAAATTTGAAAAAGATGTATCAATTGTATGTATCAAATATCAGTTGATTGAAGTTTCAAAGTTGGATTTAGTACACTTGCATGCAAGAACATTTCCCAATATGAATGCTGGGAATTCAAAATATGTTTTTAGCGTTTTTCTCAAAAAATGTTTGTACATTCAAAAATTGATTAAGTACATCTTTTACTGAAGAGTTAAAAAGTGAAATTATTTGAGGTGTGTGATAAATGCTAGACGTGATCCCGTTTCACGTTATCATTGACCCGCCTATAATTAGTGAGTGAATATTGCACACAAATTAAACAATTTGAACTGTACTTTGTGAAGAAAATTTCTCAGCTCCATACAGCTAATACTTCTCTTTCATTTCTTTCTCATTTTAGGAAGATTTGACTGTGCAAGACACGGAAGAAATCCTTGATGATTTGAAGAATGGCAAAAAACCGAGGGCAGGACCCAGGTAAATATCTATGAGAGTCATCTAGAAATGAAGATTTTCCCTAGTATTTTTCAAAAACCCATGTATGCAAGAAAAAGTCAATTAAAATTACCCTCACTGGTGTACAAGGCTCTTAAAGCAAAAAGTATTCAAAATTCAGTAGTAGAATGGGTCTGTTGTATGCAAGAGGTACAGCCAATTAAATATACTCTTTACAGGTACAATCGCCCAAAAATCAAGCTTTGCACATCAAAAAAGTCTAAAATTCATTTACGGCGCAATCTGCGCAGTTGAAAACACACTTTTCAAGTTCCTTGCATGTGTGGGTAATTTTTCTCAGTCACTTCTGACCAGGTTTGCACTGGCAGAGGAGTAAAAAACTAATCTGACAGTAAGTAAACAAACGATTTCACTAACTTTTTCTATCATATGATTTCAATCGTTTTCAAGCGTTTATGGCCTTTTACTTTTTTTATTTTGCAAAAAAAAAGCTTTGAATCAATTGAAATCTTTTTATCACAGCTTGTGAGATTGTTTGTTTATTTACGTTAGGTCTCTCTCCTGGCAAACCTGATTGCTCGCTATCAAGAAAATCTCCCCACATGTGTGGTAAATTTGAAATAGTGTGTCACAAACTATGCAGATTCTGTGCCAAAGAGTGGATTTCAGACTATTTTGATGTACCCATTGTGATTTTTGAGCCAATTTACTCTATGAACATGTGTTTAGTCGGCTGTATCTATTGGGTGTCAGGTGTAGTCTAGGTATTGGGAATCCACCAAAGTTGAGTTCATAGGCACCAACCTGAGCAAGCAAAAAGTAGCATTGCCGCTTTGTTGCAATAGCACTGCTGTCTCAAAGCCAAAGGCCAAATTTTTGAATGAATTTGAATGCACTCACACCAAGTATTAGATACTAAACTTTACCAAGGATTTTCGGCTTCTGGCTGATTTTGAAAAGTTAAGCTCAAACATGCGAGTCTGATGTTAATTCATCTCTAGTCCAGAGATTTTTAAAAAATTCATAACATTTGTTCTAAGGCAATTTTTGGAACATGCATCAGCCGTAACATGACAAAGATTACCATTTCAGACGAAACTCTTCTTTTGGTCTCCATGATCAGGAGCAATTTTGGAGCAATTTTAATCATCACTAGCCCATCCCTGCCTCTAGGATCAAGCCAATCAAGTTTCTCTATGATCATGCCGTTCAGTTCAAAATAACACTAAAGCTGACTGTCTCTTGAGGAGTTGTCACTCAACTCAGAAATTGATTTTTTAAAATTTCTTCGTCTTTATTTTCTTTACAGAAGTGGAAGGTATGCAGCAGAACCTGCTGGAGGTCTGACATCATTGACAGGAGAACCCACCGGTCCAGGTTTCAAAGTCCGCCCAGATTTGTAACTTTGTTATTAGAGTAGCTGATAGTTTACTGTTATTTCTTCTTAAGTTTTACTTGTTATCATAAATTATTGTAACAGCCATGCCGTTTTCGCCTACTCCTCCTGGGTTTTAACATTTCTGCGGACATAAGAACTGTAACTAAAGCTTTGCAATTTATGGCATAATGCAAAAGAGTTTCATAGTTTTTTCCATGGTCTCTGGTCAGTGACATCCTCCTTAGTTATGTATTTATTTTTTATTTTTTTCTTTTGCAAAATGTACAATCGAAAAAATCATCCGATTTTTTTTTTTTTACATATTTATTTGAATTTCAATTAAGTACATAACGATAAGTAACTTCAACAAAAGTTTTACAGTGACATTGTTTGTCGCAGACTGTTATCTCAAATTGTTAGGCAGGATATGATGTTAAATTACATTGATAATCAAATCCGTAAAACAATTAGAGTTACAAACTTTTATCGAATCACTGCTCCAGAAAAGAAGTTCCCAATAAACCAATACTGACAGAAAGATCAAGATTGTTTTTGACCTTATTTTACCCAAATGTAAGTATCTATAGTAGAAGATAACTCTCCAATTCTTTGAAAATAGGACCTAGCCGGTTCGTAAGCAGTGAGAAAGCACTCTGGAAAGTGTTCTTAATTCATTTCACCATTCGAACAAAGTTGATGGGTTTTGCAGGTTTGCTTAACCATCTACTGGATTGATGCCAAAAATTCCCAAAGTGGCCCATCTCGATCTGAAATACTGACTCCTGAAGGTGAGTGAGTAATGCTCCCCTTTACAAAATACCATATTGCTCATTGATCTAGAGGCTTGAAAAAAACCATAATGTTCAGAGTAATTGTTGTCAAAGAATACAAATTTGATGGTCCCATGGCCCCTTAATGTTTCACTGATGAGGTACAGATGGATCCTAAACTTGTAAATTAAAAACATTTAAGGGTTCCCCATACTTTATCTGTGAAGTCAAAAATGGCCTAAGACCAACAAGTATTCCTTAGGGCCGATTACCTAGAAAAATATTTTTTCCCCAAGCTATTACGTCCATTCCGCAACCTGGTATTTTGTAGAGAGCGGTACGGCCACTTCCCCCAATTGGGTTGAAATTTTCTGTACTTTCTGATGTCACTGGAATAATTTCGAAATTTTTCCTAGAACCCTGACCTTTAATCAGGGCCACCCTTTTATCCCTTTTTCCTTCTCCCCCTCATTGCAGGAACTCAGGTGGAGCTTTTGGGAGATGTAATGTAAGTTCCTTGGGGGGGGCCCATTCTCTATTTGTTCTTGCGCTCCCTGACTTTATCCACCCAAAAATAACTGAGAAAAAAGCCTGCTAGGTGGTTTTGATCATTCTGTATAGGTAAATTATTTTTTTTTTAAATTTGAAGAAATGAAGTTTACAGAGATTGCAACAAAATAATTTTATTGGATAAAATTTAGAAATTTATAATAAAAAACAAGGTGTTAACAAAGACAATGTGCATAATATTAACTTGTCACTTCAACCAATGAACATACACAATGAAGTATCAGTTCAAATTTTCCATCACCCATACAATTTTGGGATTAAAGGTTTCCCAAAGACCTTACATTCAAATTTTGAATTTTCAGTCTATCGATAGAATTGAGTTAATGGGTGCAGCACAGCCCTTTCTTAGAAAATAATCCTATAGATCACAAGAAAAGACTTAGATTTTTGTTCCGATTGATACCTTCAGCTAGAGTCTTCTGGATTGTTTTTGTTCATCAGAATGTAGACTTAAGAGATATAACAATGAGCAAAATTATAATTTTAAATAATTTATCACTTACTATTAAATGAACAAAGGTGGAAGTGTGCTGATCTGACACAGATCAAGAAATTAATTGCTGGGTGCCCAGCAACGTAAGTGCCAAAAAAGAAGTGAGAAAAGTGACTTAATATGCAAAAATGAGAGAAATTCTAGAAAGAAGTGAGAAAGTATAACTTCCCCGAAAAATGTTCCCCTGCAACTGAAGGACTCATTATAAAAATGCAGGGGTCGCAGCATTGCGACTTCATGTTCTGTGCGTTGGTTGGTAGGGGAAAAATGAAAGGGGGGGGGGAGGTGCAATTGACTCGAAATTCGGCAGTTATAAATAGGAGTCAACGAACAAACTATTGATAACTAAAGCCATGACCTCAATTTTTTTCCAAAATGGTTGCTAGTGGTATACTGGAATTCGACAAGTGGCAAGTTTACATGAAAATGAATACGCAATCGATATGAAATTAAGTGGCTGGGGGGAGGGGAGGGTTACATATGCTTGGTTATTTGATTTTACTCAAATTAGGGTTGAGAATTTTTTTCCTTCCTAGAACTTAATTCTATCATGGTTGGATAAATATCTGCGAGGGATACCCCAATGTGCAGACATTATTACAGTGGGAGTTTGAAAAGTAGACAACTTTAGATCTCTTAATAATTAAAGAGAGGAAGGTAATTGAATTTTTCTGTGTATCCTTCAAAAAGAGCTAGATTTTTAAAAAAAGTGGGTGAAAGTGAGTTTTAAGGGAAGGTGAAAATTTTCACCCTCTCTCTTTCTACTCATTGTTAACAATGAGTAGAAAGAGATGACGGGTGCCCTGTGCAGCCCGCCTAGGGCGGAGCACAGTGCTAGACATGAATACTGTTCAAGGAAAATCGACTTAAATGTTGACTTGATTACATGGCTTCTTGTGGACCCCCCTTATTTTCACCTCACTTCATTTACCCTCGCTTTCACATTTAGCTATACTTCAATTTCTTTCATATTGTTGTGCCTTTATTCGCGGACCATACAGCAAGAATTAAAAATAAAACAACAAACAGTAAAAGCTTGTCTTTTCTTCGAATACCGTGCTCATTCTTTGCAGAGAAGCGTATATGTATAGACTAGCCAATTTCACTCAGCAAGAAGTTTTTTTCCGCTGTATAAGACAGGACCAACTGGCATCGTTAACAAATCAGTATCTCTTCTACGTTCTAGTTAACAAGATTGAAACTAATCAGAGGAGAATAAAAAATGTAAAAAAATGGAAGCCCAAGCTGCTGATGAAAGATGACCTCCCATAGCTGGTCACAATGTCTTAATGAATACCTAAATAGGTTAACAGTTTTTTTTTCTTTGCTATTTTTTCAAAATTATCAGAGGAAACTTTAATTTTCGGCAAGCTATTAAACCAAGTCAAGGATACTTCTGTGGAAGCGCTACCTCATGCAAACTTTCATCATCATATCAACAAAGTAAATTTTTATGGTGTCCTCCAAACATCTGGGCACCAAAAATTTTTTAAAATAACAAATTTACTTAAAAAAAAAAACAAAAAAAAAACAATAAATTAAATGGAATGGAGTATTTCTTTTATGGAATGTAGCTTTTCATTTCATTCGCCTTTTATCCGATCAATGGAAAATTCATAATGTGGAAGTTGCTAATAGTTCTTCAGACTTCTTCGGAAACATCCTGCTGAAAAAAAACCAAAACTGTATTAATTCTAAAATGAGAAAAATATATTAATTTTAAATCATTTGACCATCTATACAAATTGGAATAGGCAGTGGGGCAAGGGCTAAAGTGAATTTTTTTTAAAATTTATGTGCGCTATCTTTTGAAGGCATGGCACTGCTCATATGGTGGATCCATCAATCCTGGCAGCCATGTGACTATTACGCCTCGTTAGAATTCTGGTTCTTTTTGGTTGAGAGGTACAGGAATTTGAGGGCTTTTTTTACCTTACTAGATAGGTAGCTATGAAAGGTGAGCTCTTTTTCATCGTCAATCAAAGTAATGCGGCAACATATACACTAGAACATAATATTCCAGGGTACTGAAAAATGCATATTTCAGCCCTGCTTTCCTCAAAGTTGGAGGAGGTTTGACTATAAAAGGCTATTGACTCAGCATGCCAAAAATAACATAGGATGAAAAATAACAAAATTCAGCCATGTAGTGCAACTTCGATAAAAGTGACGGATCGACACTAATTTCACCAATGAAAAATTGGTTATTTACCTGCTTGATTTTTACTTCGAATCTCTCCTTAAAGTTCTTCTTTCTGACTGCCAATGATATCCTCTAGACGAGGGCGATCACCTCCAGAATCTCTGATTTCTTCGACTCCATCACAGTAAGGTAACACAGTAGAGCAAAAACTACTCTCGTCTAATTCGTCCGAAGGCGTCCTTTTCAAACTTTCAATTATTTCTTCATCATATTCATTTGTAATTTCTTGACAGTAGTGCCCAAGGCTTTTATTCAGATCATCATCAAGGATCGGATCAACATCACCGATAAGAGGATTCATGGCACCACCAGGAAGCACCAAGGGTATGAGCATTAATTTGTCATCAGATTTCCTTCTTACACGCACATAGTCTTTCATTTTTTCACAGATATTGTCCAATACTTCATTTAAGAAAACGTCAGAGTGATGATACGGGATTTCACGCTGGTTTGTGTTTCCCTTATCATCGAGGTGATAACCACCCACTGCAATCTTTTTTCCTTTCACCTCTGGTTTGTTTATTTCAAGTTTAACTTCTTCGACAATTTTTTCACAAACTAAGCATTTCAAAAATTCGTGGTTTTTACCTTGAGCAATCACATCAGAGGAACAAATTAGGAAAAACAGAAAAGTCAGAGAGGAAACTACAAATTTTTGCATATCTCTGGATTGACTTCTGAAAAGAAGGAAGCAGTTGTAAAATGGGTCTCAACCAAAGTTAAGACTGCACTTGAAAACTGTCACAGTAAAATGTAAAGCACTGATTTTATAATTAGAGGAGATTCGTTCAAAAATACTTCCACATCCTCACAAATTAAATTCGAAATTTTGAGTTAGTTGTCGCCTCGACATTCGGCGATATCGGAAAGTAAACAAAAGAACGCTACGTCAGCTGTAAACACAACAACATTGAAAAAGATTATCGAATGGCCAGGTGCCAAGGCACTAAAAAAATGTAATCTTTTCTCTTTTCCGTGTTGACGTTTTTGTTATCAAATATGAAAACTAAAATCGCGTTATCAATGCGTTATCAGTAAGTTGAGGTATTCTGTATTTCAGTCATTGTAATGGAACTGGTTATTTGCCATGTGATTATTATCAGACACTCAAGCTCAACTTAATCCTTCTCTGGTCTTTAATTTTAAGTTTAGGAATTATCACTCAAATTATTAAGTCAAGTTCACATATTATTGGTTTGATGGTGGTCGTGCATTTATTCTTTTTTCTTTGTGTTAACTAGGTATTCATGGTCCAAGGAATTCACTTTGTATCTGCATCCATAGGAAATTTCATTGCACAGGCTAATTCTGACTGTCTGGAATTTTTATCTCCCTCAATATAAATCATATCGAATGATCAGTATGTGTAAGAAAGGTAAGGACCGATTCCACTTATGGTGACTGAAGGTTCATCAGACTCTGCAACTCTACTACAGACTGAATCATTCAAAGACAAAGCTCATTATACTCACATAGTAGAGTTCACACCAATTAAGTCTATGCACTTTCAGACTGTGAGAGAAGATTTTCTGATGTCAGTTAAGCATTGAAGTAAATGCAATGAAGAAGCAAGGTGGTGGATCTCCTATCGCAGTCTGAAAGTGCGTAAACTTCTTGGGCATGGACTTTAAAGTTATCCAGTCATTGACCTAGTGTGAATTGTGCCAAATTATGTGTGCTGATTGCTTTGACAAGCTAGGTTCTAAATTAAGCTGGTTTCTCATGTAGAATAATCTTAGAATTTTTCTCCATCAATTTGAAAAAACGGCTTAGATGATATGTTTTTTTTTTTTACACAGTCACCTCCTATGACTACTTAGAATGTCTTTAAGATGTGACTGCAAAGGCTTTGTCTCTTCAGGCAGTTTTCATGAAACTGTCATATAATAAATTGCATTGATTTAAAAAAGAAATCTTGGCAAATTTTAAGTTTTAAGGAAAAAAAGATGATAGCCTTTCACATGAGTTGAAAAAATCATTCCCATCAAGTAAAATTTCAAAATTCGGAGAGTAAAGAAAATAGGATTCAGCCTGAAAGATAACATTGCATTTGCTACATAGTTTCATCACTGTATCAAACGCTTTTTTTTTATTTTTTTAGGTACCTATTTTTTTATTTTTTTAGGTAACTATTTTTTTATTTTTTTTAGGTACCTATTTTTTTATTTTTTTAGGTATCTATTTTTTTATTTTTTTTATTTTTTTTTTTTTTTTTTTTAGCCAAATGCTGTATTTATTTCTCTAATTTGCAGCTTAAAGGTAAGCGTAGGTAATAAAGACCAATGTTTAAAAACCACATTTTTTGTTTATTGAGACTGACTTTTTATGCTCATGCGCAGGGACTTTCGTCCTTTTTGGCTAAAAATGAAAAACCTGAGAAGACTTTTTACTCAATCGATGTGATGTATTGCATGCCAGTTTGACCTCACCTAGTAGTTCAGTAGTTGCTCGGGACTAATCATCTCAAGATAATGAAGAGAGTTACCTACGTTCTCGGTACTTTTTACTAACTGAAGAGTGGATACACTTTCATTTAAAGTTTTTAATGCTTTGATTTTCTGAACTTGTCCAAGAGATTATTTATTTTACAAAGGAGCCTCTTATAATTGTCATCTTTTTGATCACAGGTTTACGTTTGGGCCTGATACAATTGAGTGTCGGTGCTAACAAAGCTCATAATGTTCAGAATGCCCTTAAGTTTGTGAAGAAAGCAAAGGAGGGTGGCTCTAACATCATAGTCCTCCCAGAATGTTTCAATGCTCCATATGGAACAAGTAAGTTATTTTTGCAAGAGAATAATCCTATGGTCAGGTCTTCCCGAAATGTTTCCCTTCAATTGTGAATGAAATTCATATCAATGGTAGAGGGTTATTTATGACTGTTAAATCTAGTATTGGTTTTGTGATTAGCCCTTCAAAAGGGACATTGCCAATTTTATGAATCAAAATATATTTGCGTAGTTCTTAACTTTTAAACAATACAAGTTTCGAAAAGCAGTAAAAAGAGCATAACGAAAGCCATAATTTCTGAGTCAGTATTTTGCAAACCAAGGTAGCGTTCCTGCAGTTTCACAGTTGATGTCATTGCCAATCATTTACTTAATAGAATTTTGAAAGGTCATCAGGTTGCATCCAAGTCTAGCGCTGGTTTTGTGGACAGTTCCTTTAAGAGCGGTGTTTTAAAAACACTCAACATCATTTCTTGAAAACGTCCCTGATTTTGTGCTGAAGACACTCCACATCATTTCTTGGAAATTTCCCTGATTTTGTTTTTCCCTGCGTAGAGAATATTCTGTGTAAATTTCAAGCAGTAGCATTGGTTTATTCTCTTTTGATAAAAAAAAAAGTGGGAGTAGAGATTTTGAAAAAATTCAAACAAGATGCAAGTTCTTGCAGTTCCACTGTTGACATGTGATTTGATGTCGACACAGGACTAGCAAGATGATAATACCTGCACTCTTGAAAATATTTCTACTAATTTTTTGGATGCGTTTATTCATAAAAATTGAACCTCCATGAAATGAAAACCAAATGTAGCAGGTGACACCCTATTGCATGAATCTATTCATATAATGATCCAATAAACAGATGCATTTCTTTGCCTATTTCCAGAATATTTCCCTGAGTATGCAGAAAGCATTCCAGATGGTGAGACAAGCAGGGCTTTATCTGCAGCTGCAAAGGAGGTTAAGGCATATATTGTTGGTGGCTCTATCCCAGAGAGAGATGGCTCCAAATTGTATAATACTTCAACTGTTTGGTCCCCAGACGGGCAATTAGTCGCAAAACACAGAAAGGTAAGTACTCTTGTCTGTGTGTGCACACCATCAACCATGATACAATCAGGCAAAAATAATAAGGTGTTTGTCTAGAATACCGGTATTCTAAACACCTCGAGTTAGGTTCTCTCTAAAATTGTGTCCTTAGCAAGCAATACCTAGCAAAAATTGCACAAAACAAAAATGGATTGTTCTGAAACCGAACTGGTTTTGTGCCATTTATTAATCCAATTTTTAATGAAAATTGCTGGTTTAGCCAAAGAAAAAAAAGTTGCATTTTCCATTTTCCTCTCTGAATCTGGGTTTTTCAACATAATTGTCATATTTTTTATTTGGTTTTTAGATGCACTTATTTGATATAGACATCCCAGGAGGAATAACATTCAAAGAATCAGAGGTATTATCGCCTGGGAATACACCTTGCATTTTTGATACGGAATACTGTAAAATAGGAATCGGCATATGCTATGATATTCGCTTTTTTGAATTAGCTGCTCTGTACCGTAAAGCAGGTAAATATGTGATGAAATACTCCCTGTTCTATTTGTTGGTTTATTTATTTTATTTTTTTTTATCAGTAAATGCTTATCAGTGCAAGCACAAATGAGTTGGTCTTGAAAAAGGTAGTAAGTATAATTTTTTTCTTAGAAAGTGATCTCATCATTTGATCATTTGACTCATTCTGTTAGTGTTCGTTCTGTTTATTTTACAGCAGAATTTATAGTTAGTTTTTTGTGATCAAAATTGAACGATTTATCAAAATTTTGCCAATCATACTAAACAAAAGTCAATATGTCCCTTCATTGAGCTTCAATTTTATTGGTGAAAACCCAGCTTTTAAGATGGTTAAACACACCTCATCACTTTAATTCTAACACATAGCAGTCCTCAGAGTACATGAAATCAGAAATTGTACTTTACTCCGTAAAATTTACATTAAGTAAAACAAAGTATCATTTCTTACTTTCAGGTTGCGATATTTTAATCTATCCTGGAGCATTTAACATGACAACTGGGCCACTGCATTGGGACCTGCTTGCACGAGCAAGGGCAGTTGATAATCAAGTGTTTGTGGCGGCAGTGTCTCCTGCACGAGATGAGAAAGCTGATTACATTGCATATGGCCATACATGTGCTGTTGATCCTTGGGGTAAAACTCTTGCTCAAGCTGGGGCTGAAGAGGAATTGCTCTTTGCTGACATTGGTAAGATGACAACATTATTATTCTTTAATTTTTAATATGTATTTTAAGCACTCAATTTGTGAGTGAAGAAAGAATTTGTTACCATCCAAATGATTTGAATTGCCAATTTCAATATTATTTGACAGATCTCGCACAGTATGTATGTGTCATTGATGTATCAATTTAAAAATATACAAAACTTTGGCTGGGGAATATGTACATACTATTTCGGCTTTGATTTCCCGGCGGAATAGTGTGGACTAAGCCTTATTTTACCATCCTGTCATAAAAGTTTATTCAGATACAATTTATGTAAGACCGACGGTTCACATCTAGTCATCTGTGCATTTAAAATGCTTGGACACTGAAACTTTTTTTTTTAATCTTGGATAATATTGAACCAATTTATGTAGGATTGTTTTTGTAATGGAAGTTCTTAATCTGTAGATGTATTTGCATTCTTTGGTTTCCCGATTTTTGTATCTGTTGTCGCAAAATTTCTTTCAAATCAATGACGCATTTCTGACTCGCTCTGCTTGAAATTTTTTTACAGTATTTTGCCATTCAAACTGCATGAAAATTGAAGTCACTTCTAACTCTTCTTTTCAGTTGGATTTCTGAGCTGGCTGAAGGACTGGCATTAAACATGTCTACAAATTAAATTTATGTCTTCTTTTTCTTCTTTCAGACTTTGAAACTATGAAAAATATACGGCAGCAAATCCCAGTCAGCCATCAGAAGCGCAACGATGTATATGATTTAGTCGTGAAAAGCAACTTATAATAATTTTCATTCCATCGTTATCAAGAATTTTATGCTTTTAAGCATGATGCAAGATTCCTCACTGTGTGCTTGAGTTCTTTTCCTACATTTAAGAATAATGTTGTTGCCTTCCAGGACTATGATACATAAGAACTTAAGTTCTTCCTTCCTTATTATTTTTATACGAATAAAGATTTTTATGGTTGTTATTATTGTTAGCTCTTTTCTTTTGTCTCCAAGAATTATTTATTAAATATGCAACAGTTGGCGAGTTTGATCATTTTTTCTGTGCTAATCTCTAGCCTCTAAAATATTTGCACATTGCAGAGCTTGCTATACAAGTACATTTTCACATTTTTGGGCCGCAACACTAATAATTCGTTCAATAATGAAAAATATAAGTTTTGAATCATTCATACCTAACTTTCCGACTTAATTTCTACCTTGTTTAACACCTTATGCATACCATGGCAGCAGTATGTGTATTCCATCTTCAAAACAATTGCTCATCTTGTCGTTGCGATCATTTTTTCAGAGCCTCTTACAATTCTGCATTGGTTTAGAAATTTGGGTCATACAAGCCCTTCTTTAGCTCAGGAGCTAAATTAAAGATGCTTAGTGCTTGAAGTAAGGTCCGATGAATAGAATTTGAGAGGAAAAACTCAGCAATATTTCTTGAACATCTTCCTTATGGTGAGGAAAAGTATCGTCTGAAGTTGAGAAGTCTGACGAGCTCCACAGCACACAAATGCTTAGGCAAGCGGCAGTGAGGTGGGTGCAGAAAAAATGACGTCACTTGCAAAGGAGTGAACCTTTAAGAAACAAGGGCTTCTTGGTGAGCTAGGACTATAACAAAAGAAGATTTGTTTACTGATCCCTATTATTTCTTTTCCAGTTCTCTGATCTTCATCAGTTTTACAGATGATAAAAATTCACCGACAGTGAAACTCCCATTCCACGTATCTCGATTTGCAACATTCTAGACTTCCTGTCATACATAATTTAAATTAAAAACTACTCATTATTAATTCCTAAAAACTTCCGAGATATTTCTTCTCAATGCAAAGAAACCCATGTGAAAACTTCAAGGAATGATGATGATTTGTTCTCATTTACTTAAACCAAATAAAATGGAAGCACACATTTTCAAATATCGCAGACGAGATACGTGGTTTGATAGCTGCACTGTCGATATATTTACTTCACAAATGCCAGTCGCAATTCTACTAGGACAGAGATAACTTACTCATTAGACGATTCTTGTGCAAATTTGACTACCAACGTCATCTCACCAAAAACCTTAAGTGCATTATGTTTGGTTTCATCTAGAGTGGAAATAAAAGTAAAATGAAGTATTTTTTGAATAAAATTTCTATACTTGCAGTACTTCCTGTACTTGGAATGCACTGGATCAAAAATTTACAAACTAGAGAAATGAAGACTTAACAAATTTACAAAGAGATGGAAATAAATAAATTAAATTTATAGTTATGAACACAAATATTTACATTTAGAATATTCCATTAGTAGAAAAATAAATTCCATCAACTGGTAGAAGAAATCTTTGACAAAAAATTGCCCGACTAATACTTTTTAATTGTTTTCCGAATGAGAGCCATTCTTTGCCTATGGGCATCAGTGACAGGCGCTCTTTTGTAGGGCCGCAGTTCATCAGTCCCGAATCCTGGTATCCACATATTCCAGTTGCGCTCTGAAAAACAAAAGTCAAATATTGAGGATGAGTTCATTTCTAAGTTCCATTAATCATTCGAAACTCATGGTAATCACATTAATCAGCCGCAACGTTAATAATCAATCAGGCTTGTGATTTTTACATGCATTTCCGTAATCTGAGGCATTGAAGAAAAATAATTTCGATTTTGGTGTTACTTTTTTGCGTTAATTCATAGTAACACTCCATGAAAAGGAGATCTGCGTTTACATATAAGGACTGCAAAAGTGAGGAAATTACCAACTTTCTCTTTCCTTTTTTTTCTGCCAATAAATAGCGGCAGAAAAGAAAGGAAAATCCCTAGGAGCTAACCCTTAATTAATGACTCTTGCTTGAGACCTTTAAGCTCAGGTCAAAACTCAGTTTGGATTTTTGATGACTCTGAAAGTCATTTTCCCAACTAAAATTTGATCAAATGAAACAGAAAAATGCAGCCATTCACGTTTTTTAAAATTCATTTTTTTAAAAATTTTGAAAAACACATTCTATAAACCATGTTTCCCTCTTTTACTCCATTCATTATTTCTTCTTTTAAAACTGCATTAAAAAAAGACATGTGCAACAGCCTCTTTTAGGAAGATCAACGATTGCATATGATACTGTTTTTTAAGCATTTTCTGAATCTTGGGGTGGAGCAGTACTTATGGTACCTACGGTATACCAAACAGAATTGTAAATTCAGGTTAAAGCTTTGAGAGCCATTTTGATGGGTAACATACATTCTTAGAAACAATTGTTTCTTTTCTAACGAGATATGAAAAATTGAACGTCCATTTTTGAGCTGATGATCATACATCAACAATATGATTGTATTCAGACATTTCCTGACCAATGTCCTCTGTGAAGACCGAATGCAATGCCTCCATTTAGAGAGTAAAGACTAAAAACTTATCGCTCAACTAAAAACTCAGGGCTATCAACTATGAAAAATAATTGGCACCCCCAGCCACCAAATTCAAATTTTGAGTTGCAAATAAGCAGAGCATTGCTACACGAAGTTTTCAGGTTTTTATTTCAAGTGGAAACCGTAGGTGTTTTTGTTTTATGAAAAAGTAAGTGCTCATTTTTCAACTTACCAAGATGTAATTGTACATCCTTAACATCAACCGTAGATGCATGTCTGTGCTTGGCTAAGAGGCAAGCAGAATTGATAGCTGATTCGACAAAATCATCTGCTAACTGAAGCATTAGCTCTTCCACTTCTTCATCCAACTGCTCTGTGGGATCAACTTCTCTCACTAGCTCCTGAAGACGTGGTTTCGTAAGGATCTGGAAAATTTTAAAAAACATAAAGTTATGTAATTTTAATCTTTAAAGTATTTTCTAGGAGCAAAGTACTTGTCTTGATACACCTTAAAAATAGGAATTACTTAAATGTTTGTAAATTTAGAGAGTTTATTTTTTGCCCCTATTTTTTGAAAAAAAAAAACCCATTGTCCGACCTAATCTGTGACTTGTGAAATAAAAAGTTATTTTTGAATTGGAATTTTTGGAATAGTCTTTTTTCCTCTTAAAAGGAAGTTAATTACACACATACACGCACACATCAACCTGCCCTAAAACAAATTATACAAGTTCTGTTCATTGACTCCATACATGTTTGAGTGATCATTTTTTATACAATGGTCATTCAAAAAGTAGGTAAGTCTCATTTTTTTCTCTTACGAGCTACTGAAATCAATTTTTTTTAAAATGCCTCAAACTTACTTTTGTAGCTTATTAAAAGTAGTCTTATCTATTGGTATTCATTTTTCAACCAGAATATCACTTGAAAAATCATGAAAACAACAATAGTACTGAAGAGGTAATATTTGTAACTTTTGAAGCAGCTACCATTTTAGAAAAAAGAAAAAGTAAAATAGATTTAAAACATTACCAGGTTGAAAAGTTGAATTTTCACAGTGAAAAAAAATTGATAAATATGAACATTTAACTGTCAAATATAGAGCACTAAGAAGTAAAAATGAGTGAGATTCACAATAGATGCGTTTGTGATAAGACAACGGAGATTATTTTGGTGAATTACCCGCAGAGTTACCCATTATCCAACTGAGGCCTCAGTACTGTGTCGTGACTTTGTTTACCTCCTCAACGCTCAATGCTTCATTCACCAGCCGCAAAATGTGCTGATCTGTTGCAGTGAGCGTTCAATCGCCATGACACTTCATCCGGTAAAAAGCGTTGAACAACAGAGGTTCAAGAACGATCGTCAAACTCGCAACACCCTCACCGGGTAATTTTCGTTGAGGCCCGTTGTCTATCACGAACGCACCTAATGCAAGATATCAGGTACCTGGTTTGGATGGTCTGTTGAAGATTTTGCTTGAGACATGGATGGAAGATGAGATGAAGAGGCTGACTGCTGAAATGTTGACTGAGTTGTTGTTCCTTGAGGCACTGTGCTTTGGAGTGGTGCAGATGTTGATACTGTAGTTTGCATCGGAGACGGACTCGGTGCAGATGGCAATTGGCTTGCTGCCTGATTCAGGGGACTTTGCACGTGTGTGATTGGACTCTGAGTTTGTAGAATTGCATTAGGAGTCACGAGAGATGAGCTGGCTACGGCAGCTGGGACTTGCGTGTTGACTATTGATGGATGAGGTCCTGTTGTGTTGCTTGTGGTATTCATATTATTTAAGACTACTTGAAGGGAAGGACTATTGTTGACATTTGGATTGTTAAGCACAACTTGTAAGTTGCTCAGAGCTGGAGGAGCTGAAATTCCTTCCACTGCTTGCTGCAAAATGAGTTAAGAACGGAAAAAAGAATTAATAACACAGTAAAATATGCATTTAATAATGGTCAAACGGACAAAGTAAGAGATGAAACACCTTAAGATATAATTCATAATTATGATCAGTTTACGGCAGCGACTCGTAAGTCAGAAATTATCATTCAAGATCTGGTATTGGTATCGACTGACTCAATCTTGCCGCTTGCAAAAAAAAACCAGTGTAACGATGATCTGTCATTAAGAATTAATGTAAACAGTTGGATAATTACATGAGTCCAGTTGCAGAACTTTTCTCTTACTACTTCAGAGACACAGTGCTTATGCACATGCAGAGCTGGATGAAGGAGAAATGATTCCGAACTAATGATACCAAAGCACTGGGTAGCAATTTTTTTTATTTTATTTGATTTTTATAGAGAAAACGCAAGAAAAAAAGGAGGGTAAAAAACTACTGATAGGATTTGAAATAGACCAAAAGCAGCAGCGCAGTGCTGCCATCCGCTTCAAATGTTTTGGATCTTGAGGTATGTCTTCAGATGCATTCCTAAACTTGGGAAAGAGGTCACAGCCATATTCCGGTGCAGGGGAGCAGACTCTTCCAAGCTTCCACATTTTTTTTCTTCGGTTTTTCCACAAAATTTCCCACCAATTTAGAAATAACGACCTTTTTTCCTGTTTTACGCTGACTTTTAGCAGTTGACCCTTCAAAATTGTCCCTCCTTCCACAATTAGGGGGCTTTCCCACATTTTCATGCGCCTATCCAGGCATGTTATCGGGCATTTCCTGCACCCCTGTCCTGGTGATGTCAATTACTGGTCTGCTCACCTAGTCTCTGATCTTTCGAGATTGGAGGGGTAATGAACAGACTGGTGACTGACATCACTGAGTATGGTGGCGAACTCACAGGCGAGTTTAGGAACTCCTCTACAGGTAAAAACCCAGAGCAAAATGGAGAAAATAATGACAATGAAAGAAGTAAAATATTCTTTCACAGAACAGAGAACGGTGACCCTGTAAATGAACCCTCTGTGGAGCGCAATGCCCGCCTTTATAGTCCCTACGTGTCAGAAATGTACTCAGTCTTGTCGCAATACCACAATGCGTAGCATAGACTGAGGTATTTCTGGTAGGGATGGAGGAAAGTACTTTCCGGGAGGAGGTGGTGGCAGCGAGAGGTGATTAAAGGAAAAAACACTGATTTTCCTTTAGATGAACGAACAGATCACCCTTGAGAGGGAGAAAAATCAGGGCGAAGACGCAGGCGAAGCCACAGCTCCCTTCCGTCACGAATTTCCGAAACACTCTGTCCGAACTCTCTCGACCCCGAATCTTCGCTAGTACACGCATGCGATGTTCATGGTGTGTATTAGCGAAAAAAGACGGAGAGTAGTAATGTCAAATATCCTCTTAAAATCGAAAGATTTTACGACGGATTTTCGGAAACGAATACTTCTCCGGCACTTCAACTTCAGCAAATTGGGATGAGGATGTAGACCATTGGAATAAGAGCTAAATAGGAATTCAATGATTTGGATACCTGAGGTAATGAAGGGCTTGTTTCCATTGGCGTTGGCAGAGGTGTTAGGTTCATGGTATCCATGGGTATTCCACCGGAGGTAACATTTGAGGCTGGATTCATTTTCTATGATATACTTTAAATTGATGTTCTTCCTGAAAAAGATGTTAAAAATGAAACACGTGATGTGTGTTTATGAGAGCAAGGGTTGGAGAATCTTAGAGTACAATGTGATTTTTTTTTTTTTTCTGGGGTTCTTGGAAGATACAATCTGCCTAGGTAGGCTTAATTATCTTTTTGATTATTTTGCTTCGCCTCACTGGATCATTAGCTCGAGTATGACAATGTGATTTGCTACCAGATCACAAAAAATCAAGAGGGGGTTTGAAAACTTCCCACGTTTCATAAACTGTCATTATCCGGCTCACTTCACGATTGGATTGGTCAATCTGACCAACAATACATACTCCCAGTCATAGACGGGTCATATATTCCATGAAACAGCACCGCGTTTTACATGGCTCAGTCGCTAGCCCTTGTACCATCAACGCCAAATAGGCTTGGGCACTTCTAGAGTGAAACAAAGGAGCCGTCAACTGAAGTCTTGCGAAAAGTATCAGGAAAGGATTGGAAAAGGCAGATCCCTTGTTGCTCTCAAAAAATGTTCAAATTTATTTGATGTTGTCTCTACTCTTCAAATTTTCATTCCTAAGGACTGATGGAACGGATGGAGGAAATAAAGTATCATTCTTACCAAACTTCACTGATGATCTGCAATCATGAGCATGACATTCAGACCGATAGAAAATTATTAGAGGAAAAAAGAAAATATTTATAATCAGTAACAGTTACTTTTCTTGCAGTTTTTTCACGGAACTGCTAGCTAAACCAGGCTAAACAGAGCGGACAGGACAAGGCTTTTTAGGTTATGTTTACATCGGTGTTAAGAGGAAAGATTCAACGTTGCCAAAAGTCTAAAATTATAAATGTAATGGCCTGACAAAGTTTTATTTCAGAAGTCTAACTTCGCAACAATGCTCGCCAGAGGAGACATTCTGTAATTGAGGTTAGAAACTTGAGAAATATTGATAAGCTTGATAAGTATTGCTAATTGATCTGTGATTCCCATGATATTACACGGATTTTTCTTGTTCCTATTATTTTGATTGATAGTGAGTGTTAGAAAGATTATTGTGATCATGCATTTCGCTCAATCTCACAGCCTGCTTCGCTGTAAATGTCAACAATTTTTTCCTTCTTGTAGAAATTTTTTGAAAACTCGGTACGTATGTCCATAACTTCTCTTTTTTTTCTCTTCGTAAATCTCAAATTTAAGTCAATTCGAAGATGATTTTCCGTGCTCTGATTAAAGTCCTTAAAAATGAGAAAGTGGCATCTCAGCTATTCTTTTTACTCCGGATCTCTAGAAATTATTCTTTGGAATTTGTCGCAAGTTTTTTCTACCATCTAATTACGTATTTTCTTCATAGTTGGAAAAAATTTGTCCTTTCGTTCCGTAAAAATTTAAAATTGAATTGGAACTCAGTTCCATGTTTACTCAGTTCCATTTTTCAACTAACAATTCAACCAGTTCTACGCTCTTACCAATCAAATGAGAAAGTGAACAAGCGAACGCACTTTAATCTTTTGCTAACTCCAAGTTTAAAATTAATCTCAATCAGTTCAGTGGAAAATTCCTGCCATCCAGCCAATACTTAGACGATTTAAGCATTTTTGCCACACATGTTTCCAGTCACTTATTCTGGAATGATCCAAACTTTTCAGGATGATTATGGAAAACAATGTACCTACTTTCATTAAAATTCTCATCAGCAAGCACAGCAATTAGAAAATACAATTAAGTCCTATACTTTTGGTTCATCATCTGAATCTGTTTTTTATTTTGTCTTGTGTTTGTTGCAGAATTTTTGATAAAAATAACTCTTTTGCCAATGTTACCGAAGGACTCAAACATCTGTACAAAACAAAATTGTTACCACTGGAGGAGAAATATTTCTTTCACGATTTTTATCTCCCTAAAATCACAGATCAAGATTTTGATGCTAAGCCTATGATTTTGTTAATGGGACAGTATTCCACCGGTAAAACTACACTTATCAAATATCTCATCAATGGGGATTTTCCCGGAATGAGGATTGGCCCAGAGCCCACCACTGATAAATTCATCGTTGTCATGCATGGAGAGAAAGAAGGTTATATCCCCGGCAATGCTTTAGTCGCAGATTCATCAAAACCTTTCACACCATTGTCCAGTTTTGGAAATAGTTTTCTTAATAGATTGCAATGCTCTTTATCAAGTTCGCCGAGACTTGGTGAAATTTCATTCATCGATACACCTGGTATTTTGTCTGGAGAAAAGCAACGCATTGACAGGGGCTATGATTTTACCGGAGTCCTGGAATGGTTTGCAGAGCGAGTTGATCGTATCATCCTTTTATTTGATGCAAATAAATTAGATATATCCGATGAATTTCGACGATCAATTGAAATTTTAAAAGTGCATGATGAGAAGATAAGAATTGTTTTAAACAAAGCAGATAGAATTGGTCATCAAGAACTGCTGCGAGTGTATGGAGCGTTGATGTGGTCCCTTGGAAAAGTACTAAGAACTCCTGAAGTATCACGAGTCTACGTCGGTTCATTCTGGGATCAGCCTCTGCAGAATGATATGTTCAGAAAGTAAGTAGGCATTCTGGATGCATCAGTAATACCAAGAATGGGTCAAATGAGATTTTTATAGTGAGCCAATAACAGCCATGTCTCAATAGTTGTCAAAAGTACCAGTGGAATGAGAATAAAACCTCTGGACTTAAGTCCTCCAAAGTCCTCCATTTTCATCCTGAAGATGGAAGTTTGAATTTGTGAGGGCTGCATTTTCCAATTTTTCTTGTTTTTTCAAAATCAAATTGCTTTTGGCATCCGCGATAGGGTAAAAAATTTCACTAACCAAGGTATTCGCATATATTGCATCAGCGAATCGATCTTTGCCAATAAAAAATTGATTTATTGCAGTTAAGTAATATTTTAAAAAACCAGATGATTAATTAATCTTTTTTATTATAATTTGCAGGTCAGTGATCATAAAATCTTTCCTTTAAAGAGGAGAATGTAACAAGCCTTCATCTCAACTTTGTACAACTTTATTAAACTTTTGCCTTTCAGGTTGTTTGAGGATGAAGAAATGGATCTCATGAAAGATATTCAGTCGCTACCTAGAAATAACACCTTACGAAAACTAAATGACATAAGTAAACGAGCAAGGCTTGCCAAAGTGAGTTTTTACCCCTAAATCCTCCAATAATTAACTTATGCATTTTTCAGGTAAGGTTGTACAATGCCTCATAGCCGTTTTACTTAAGCTGAGAATTCTTGAAGCTAATGATTTCACCTTCCTTTAATAACATATGTGATCAGTCAAGAGACACCTAGAAGACTTTAAGTTAAAAAAGATGAAAAATCAGTCATCGCTAGCACTGCCTGGAGTATTTTCTGAAAGAAAATTCACTATACTTAAAGTTAACATGATTTGAAGTTTACAGTTCTAAGTACAAAGTTTTGAGAATAAAGGAACCAAAGTTATGATTTAGCATATTCCTGAATGGAGAATGTCATCATCAGCCAATGCAGAAGTTTGTGAAAAAACTGGATGTAATCTAGTTTATTTGCCTCAACTTTTTGCAAGGAATAGGTCTCAAAGTTAACTAAAAAGAATGTACTCCTAAAATATATAAAGACTTTCTCATGGAAAAGTAAACTAGAGAAGGAAACTAATTTTTTCCTAGACCTGAACATCAGGAAAATTTCTTAAAACAACGTAACATTGAGTGACATAAGAGGTTATAACAAAAAAAGTAATTAAAAAGAATCCTTCTATGATGCTATGGAAATATTCCCTACGAAGTCTTTCAATTTTGGATGTCTCTGGAGGAACAAAAAAATGCTCCCCTTCTAAGCTTTACTCTACCTCTAAGATTTGTTCAAACCTGTTGAATGATTGAACCTGATTTGCTCATGATTTCTTGATGCCTGCCTGTTTGTTTGTAGACTCAGGCTTATTTAATTGCAGAATTGGGTGGACAAATGCCAACCTTCAACATTTTCTCGAATAAAGCCGCAATTCAAGAAAATTTAATCGACAATTTGGCAAGTATGTTCCAAACAATTCAAGGTCGATATCGTCTGTCACCAGGTGATTTTCCTCAATTAGAAAAAGCTCAGGTAAAGTTGGTTTTCCTTGCCCTCATTTTATTTACCTCTTCTTGGCTGCTAGTGCTGATTTTTTCTCTAAATCGTGTTGGATGCTCTTATTGTTGGAGCTAAAAAATAGGTAACTAGCTTTAGTTATCAATGAATGCAATACGTTATGCATTTACCCTGCATCTTTCCCTTCTCGCAGGTTACCACTCGCTGACGTCTTTGGAAAGGGACTGAAGAGTTCATACGTAGCTAGCTGTTTTTGGAATTTTATCAAAACTTTGCTAAGTCACAATTCATGCATAATTTTAAATGCAGTCATATTGACTTTTTTCAAGCATATACAGTATTCATGCGATTTAGAGCAATTAGTTAATGACTGGAGATGGAAATATGGAATCCTAAAGTATCTTATACCCTTTCAGAGAACATGCATGAAGAGGCAAAGCGCTTTAAAAACTGTGTGTGCACGTATTTCCATTGATGCACTTGTGTTGAATCCTTAACAGTATGACGGGCAGAGAGCCAAAAATTTTAACTTCAAGGGGTCATCTAATAATTTATAGTTGCAGTTAGCGAATGGTATCAGTTGAATTATAGCACTCAGGAAAAGATTCGCACAAAATACTGTAACCGTCAAAAAGTATCAAGAACCTGAGAGAATACTGTATTAGTCTACCTTCTATTATCATTTTTCAACTCAAGCACTTAAAACCACTTATCTTTTTTAGGAGAAGTTGAGAGCATATGATTTTTCCAAGTTTCCGTCCCTTAATGAAGATCTCATCAATGCTGTTGATGAAATGATGATGAAAGATCTACCTCAAATCATGTCCAACATACCTGCTGAGGAGAGCAAACAAAGTATTATTACCTTATCACTTTTCTCTATTCTCTCTTTTTCTGCACTCTTCATTCTTTTCTCTCAATCCTTGTGGGCGAGATAGCATTTGCATCTTCTAGGGTTTCATCCGCTGCTTTCCTAAAGCTTATTGCCATGTTACTCGGGGAGCTCAATGCCTGTAATTACTGTCTCCGGAAAGCAGGCAAAGATCACTCCTCCAAACAGGTGTAACCCATTTATAGTGTGGTTTTCACTGGAGCTATTCTCGTAAGTTCTAGAAACTTGTGAGCTTGATGGTATGAGGTTAATTTTTTTGTTCCCTTAATTGGAAACATTCAGATTTCGTCAAGTAGTCATCTACTTTGCCTCTGCCTTCACACCAAAAACAAGCCCATTTATCAACAAAAAACAGGAGCTTGCTGTGCATTGCAGTGATAGATTGTACTTGCGCTTAAAATTATAGTTTGTATACCCAGCTTTGGTACTGCGCCCAGTTTCTGATCTGAAAATTCTTAAATTTTATGTCAAGTGGATTGAGAAACTAACTTAAGTCGCAAGGCAGGACTAGGAATCTACTTCAATATTTGGGTAATGTAGTTTTGAAGTAAAATGTTAAAGTTTAATGCAAAAAGCAAAACAAACTACCTATTGCTGGACAGCCAACTAGAATCAGTCTGGCTGCATTCTACACTACCTAATTTCCTCTTATGTTTTATTTTTCAACAGAAAACTTTAAGGCTTCATGAATATTTGGGTATTTTCTTTGTGTTTTACGGGAAATGCACCTGAAATTTCAAGGCATTATGTTACCTGGTTTGTGATTGAAAAAATATAACATGAAAGGAACTTAGGAAGCTGAATCCAGTCTGTTGGTCTTGTTGAAGTGATGCAAATGTAGGTAATAATTGGACTACATTTTGCAATTTGGAACTATAAATTGTAGCCTGGTTTAAAAACAACGTATGTACCATTAGTTGCCTTATGCACATAATTGTTTTTCCAGAAGAGTCAGAATTTATAGTTCCAAATTGCAAAATGCAGTCCAATTCACCTTAATTATTATCTAAGAGGGCAACCTGCCAAATCTTCTTAAAATGACTGTCACATTTATCATCGTTTTCTTACACTGAATGATTTATTTTCATTCTATGCCATTCATGAGCAATGTGTCATTTCTCTCTAGTTTTTAAGAAAATAATGTTCTTTTATGAATATTTTTTTTACTCTGTTTAGATGAGTTCCTAACAAGTGCTGGTCTAGAAAATACACCTTTTGGTTATGATCAAGGCGTTGGTATCAATGAAGGCAAAAGCGAACGTGGATGGGTCGTCGAAAAATATAGACAAAAATATGACAGTATTTATGACTCTTTAGCTCACAATGATAACAAGATTGTTGTATCAGGTACTTTATTTTCCTACCTTATTTTATTTTTTATTTGTAGTTAACTTTAGGCCAACTATCATTATTTTGCCCTTTTTTCATGAGACTTTGGCAAAGTGTTTACACTTTGCGAGACCAAATCTTGATTTATAAAAATCTCTCATTGTTTTTCAGGAACAAAATGTAGAAACTCCTCTCTAGACTTTTTTCATTTTTAGCGAGACCTCTACTGGGTGTTTTTGATAATGCACATTCAGGCAAATCCTCAAAAATACTTGAGAATAGTTTATCTGTTCCAATTTTTAAATGAAAAGATCAGGGTAAAAAGCAATATTGGCCTTGCCCTAAAATGTCAGCTCCTTTAAGTGTTACAAGTCGAATCTACACATTTTGCAATAACTACGAATATTTCTTGCCTAAAACACATGTCAGGGAGCTTTAATTTGACAGTTGCCCAAGTATGGATCTGCAGGTGAGCCAAGCAGGAATTCAAAGATGTGCAGAATGATGAGGAAAATGTTGATGAGTTCCCAGTAATATCTTACTTTTGAAACCCTCCCAAAATTTTTGCTCCCCTGATCTTTCTGCCAGAAATATCTTTTTTATCTTTTCCATATCAAAAGTTCGTGCAAGTGACCTACAGCAAGAACTGTAATTGCTCCTACTGTGTTGCCTAAAACCTGATTGTCTCAAGAAGGTCTGGTGCGCATCAAATTGAAAAAAATGTTCCCAGGGGTTTAAACGTTCCAAACTTAGTTAATATAAGTGCAAAGCTCAGCTGACAAGTCAAAAAAAAAGGTCACTCCTTTTAAAACTGAAGTGAAATTTTTTGAAAGGCCACCTGAAAAAGCCAAAGGGGTGAGATCACGGAAGGCAAGGAACTCTCTGCACCTAAGTGCAAAATTGCGCAACATATTTTAAGCCTATAGTTACTTTCTTTGTGTAGAGAATAGACATGGTGTTAAGCTAAACACCCAATTTCTTGTGAAAAGTTGTTTTCGAATCCACACAACAAGCTATATACCAAGCAATATTTTAAAAAAACAAATGTTCATACATGAAAGGTTGGGAAGAGGGGAGGATTTCTGGGACTTTTCACTAGGTATGACAATTTCTGCGAAGTTAGGAGGTCCAGCTAGCAGCACTACTAATAAACTTTCCATGTCTCAGGGTCAGTCCTAAATAAAAAACCATCATCATTCAACAATCGTTCTGGGTTTGGGGCTTCTCATACTATGTAACTCTACGTTGGGATTTTTTGATCCCTCATTATGCTTTTATAACACACAACACAGGTCTTCATCCTGTAACATAATACTCTCTCAACCACCCCCCTCCTTTTCATAGCATGATGTATTTTATGAACAGCCTTTGGGCTAATTGCTGCTTTTATTCTAAACTTTGCCGTGTCAAACATACCTTTGGGCGCACTATTGATTCTATTTATTTCAGCTTCTAAAGCACAGTTTATGTTTGCTGTGGGATTTGAAGCATACGTCAATGAAAAACTAATTCCAATTTTTCTTCATTTTTCTGCATTATAGTTGCACGTGAAGAAATGATGAAATCAAAACTACCAAGCAATGTCCTGGGCAAAATTTGGAATTTGGCTGATGTTGACGGAGATGGTGTTCTTGATAGGGATGAATTTGCCTTGTCAATGCATTTAATAGACATCAAATTGAAAGGTCATGAGCTGCCTGACAAGCTTCCAGAGCATCTAATACCACCGTCAAAGAAGAACCATGCTCCAAGTAGACCCTAGGAAAGTTTGGACTAACACCCAAAGTACAGAACAAAATCCAAGTATGATAGTTTATCAGTGCTCCAAGTACAATCCAAAACTGTAACTACTTATTTTATTTCTAATGGGTCTTTTATCAGCTGTTCCATTATCTTTTGTAATAATAGCAGCAGACAGTTCAGGCAAACTAGTCTTTCCTCCTCATCTACCAAGTGATCTACTGAAATTCAATATGTATTAGCACATGCATAGAGAGGTATAAAGATAAGTTTTCTGCGTCTATCCTCCAAATGGTTAAAAGGACAACCATTGCACCTTAAAAAGGTTTTTACTCAAATGAAGATTTTAACATTTTTATTTACCTTTTTCATCTTTGGAAAAAAAATAATGATAATAGTGTAAGTGCCCATGGTAGCTACACTAAAAAATTCAACTCAACCTTTTAACTTTGTGTCCTTTGTGGTTAAGTTTGAATCGTTTTTGAAGAATGTTTATGATAGTATTATGAGGCTGCATTTCCAAATAATTTTAATTACATAAAATGAATACATTTTAGCTATTCAAGAATTTTTTAAAAAAATTTTAGGTCAAAATCTAAAAGTAATTTCCAATATTTTTTTTCAAATTTCTGTGGAGATATTCTCAAGTGCAATGTAATGTAATCAGACTTAGTCTCCAATATTTTTGCCTCTCCTTGCTTTATCTCTCTTCTCATTATTTTTCCTGCAATTTTCTCTGTAACCTTATAAAACTTAAAATTTAAAGAAGAACTATAAAAAAATTCTGGGTATATTTCTTCTGTACATGGTATTTTTCCATGTAACCAGATATTGTTTTGCATAATTATTAAATTATGTTTGTTATTTTCAAAATGTTATTAGTTTGTATAAGGGTCACTCCATATCATTCAATTGCGTTGAGACTCGCCATCTCAGAATGCTTCACATTGTTATGAAACTTTATTTCCAAGAAGTTAAACAGGATGTATCTGTGTGTATTGAGAAATCTGTAAAAATTCCATCTGCCCAATAATTTGAATTAAAATTTGGAAACATTACCATCAAAACGCTTAAATTTTGAAAAAAAATATTTTCCAAGGCTCTACCGCCTTTCTACGGAAACAAATGTCTTGTAAATCATCATAATTTTTTCAGAATATTCATTGAAAAATCGATTTCCAGCGTGCTTCTCAAAGCAATGCCCTAATTTGAGATTTTCATACAAGAAATTGTTACCTGGGTTTGTCAATGAAAATTTTGTCTGTCTCCCTCATGAAACGATGGGAAAAATAAAAAAAAAGAAACTTGGAGATAAGTCAAACAAAATGTAGACATTTTAAATAACAGTCGGTTCAGGTTCACATCGTCCTAGAAAAAACAGAGCAATGGTCAGATTCTAAGATCTTCAATTATTCATCTATTGCGGCCTCTAAATTTTTTAAGTCTGGGTCATTGAAGGCTTCGGGGTTGCAGGGCTTGGCGGCTTCCGAGGAGAGATGAGCAATTTTGCCACAGGAACAGAACTATTTTGCAATGCGCAGGTCCAATCTTTCTGAGGGCTGGTATTTCCTTACAGGCATTCTGAGGGTTATTCCACTTTTTCAGGTTTGGGAGAAATTAAATTAAAAAGTTAAAAAACCTAGATTCTAACCTGAGTCCTGGTTATTGTAGCTTGATGCAAACCTGAACCGATGGTTATGAAAACCTCTAAATTTTGTTACATTTTGGAGTTCCTAATTTTTTCATAGCTTCATAATAGAAATCAACAAATTCTGAGTGTTTTAGATTCCATACTCAGGTGAATTATTATATTTTGATGGTGACGTTCGTAAATCGTTTTCCAAATTGCTCGAATTTCAAACTCACCAATTTTTTAAAGCAGGAAGTCCCTCCCCATTTTGCCTCAAGTTTTAAAATTTTATTATCTGCATTATCGGAGCATTCCATGTTTCAGAACGACTTCTGCTCAACTTGTGGCTGCTAAAGAGAAGTAGAAGAGTTGAACGAAACCGAGAGCATCTGATCTTAAAAATTTTTAGAACCAACAATATGAACAGAATGCTTTGTCAAAAAATTTAAAAAGTGAAATCACAAGAAATCATTGAGTTTTGAGAAAGTGATCGCGTGCTTGGTTGGAATGGTCATGAGTAATCCCTGAAATTATTGATTTTCGAAAAACAATGATAATATTTTGTACAAACAAATTTGTTTTGTCAAATAAAATATGTTATAATTTTTTTACAAAAATGAATGTCGTGTAGCATTTGAGGTGTTGAAAGAAAAAAAAATCAGATGATGTCATTCTAATAACATTTATGAACACTTCTAAAAGTCTTTGACAAATAGAGCCATCGTACACACCACGAGATAGATGAAGAGCTGTAAAAAAAGTATTGAAGTCAGTAGAAGTATAAATTCCGTTTTAAATTTTGATGGTCCATGTGTCGCAGGCAATTAGCAGTCGCCGGAAATTTGCAAGCGGTTCAAACGCTGTTTCAATAAATCGCAATAATGCACATCGGCATAATGCAATTTTTAAGGGTTAAGGTCTTCAAAATTATGATCTCGGCTTGAAGCGCCTTCATTCTTTGTGATACTCTACGCTTTGTCACGATGTTAGTTTAGTTGCCTGCCCCAACTAATGTCGCGAAGTTCAATGCACGCTCCTCTGAGTGTGCATATTTCTGTCATGTTTTCGAAGATGGAAAAGTGTCTATTCACATTACAGGCAACACAATCAGCACTCTAATCTTATTCTTTTATTTTTGAATTCTATGATTTTCTATATTTATTCACCACTGGCTTGCAAATTGCCGGCGATTGCTAATTGCCTGCGACACATGCAAAATTTAGAAGAGTTATTCGAAATTGACTTCGTTGCCTGTTCATGGATCCTAATGTAAGTTTGATGTATTTTCTTAGCACAAAACATGTTGTTTCTCTGGAGATGAAGATCAGAAATTTTTTGTCTCTTAAAGTGACAGAGGTGTCAAATTGAGAACTATCACGTTTCCCGGCCAAGCCAGCCTTTAAACTATGGTAAATGAAATTGCAATTTGGACAATTTTTTATTATTATTATTATCAAAGTCACACTTGGTATTTTTATAATAATTCTTACATACCTCAGTACACGAGATGGAAAGAGAAATTTCAAAGAACTTGAATAAATTTCACAAAATTTGAAATTTATTAATCTTTTTTGGAATTAATAATTGAACCTTCGGAGATTTGGAAGCGTTTCAAATGGTCTTCGTGTTGGCAGTATTATACTACCTTACTTAAATGCTACACACAAAGGGGCGGCGGAACAAGGAGGAGTTCAGAGAGAAAAGCCCCAACCTAACCTTCGAACCAAACTATAACATTTGCATGGTTTAGGCTTGGGGTGAAAATTTCAAAATCTAGAATCACTGTTTTTAGGCGTTCCTTGGCCTCCTAAATGCATCCCCAAGAGTCTCACAAAATTTCGTGAAATTTCTTGTAAATAACTTTCATGAATTTAGAATTTTTTCCATCCCTGCTCATTATAATTCTTATTTTAAATTAGTTTTAAAAAAATCCTCAAAAATGTTCTGACGCTTCCTTAATAATTTGGGAGGGAAAAATGAAAAACAAAATTCTGATCAATGTTTTATTGCAACTGGTATAGTTAAAAATGTAACATATCTCAGGAAGGCCCCATGGACAGGCCGAAATTGATGCTTTGAACAACTCTTTTTGACAGGGTTGTTTCTTAAATGACCAAGCATGAAAGAAAATCAAAGAAACTTCATAATCATGCAAAATCTCACCCTGAAATATTCTGGACAAATCGATTCCAATCAAGGATGCAGAAAGTTCCAAGCTTTCTCCTACGTAGAATTGGCTTTCCTCATTTTTACCCAAATTTCCAAATACTTTCCCCTAAAAACTAGACAAAAAAATTTCAACTCAAAAACATTGTCAAACAAAAATTTAAGAAAATGCAACAACCTTCCCCAATTTTATCCCATTACCACAGGTTAACCCCATTTCACATGACCGGGCCATTTGCATGGTTGGAAAGTTTCTGCACCCCTAATCCGAGTGAAGCCTATTGGATAACACCACTAAAAATTGACGTATTTAGTCAGCAAAAAATTGCAGGTTGAAATAGTTTTTATTTAAATGGTAATGACTTTTCTTTGCAGATTGATGATATTGATTTTTTGCAGAGAAGCAGGATGAACTAAAAAAATAAAGATTACATCAGTACATAAAATAACTTCTGAAACTTAACACAGAGTTGGGCTTTTGTAAAACAACATTATCAAAGCAACAATTCTTTCAAAATGATAATTACAGATTTACAAATAAAATGAACATCAAAAGCGATTAAAACAATGATTTTTTAAAATTATTTTGTTCATTCTCTTCTTCCTTGATGCCTTTAAAAGATGAAAAAATTCAATTCTTATCCAATTGAGATCAAAAAGAAACGTGATACTAAGATTGTGAACAATTACATAGTAAAAAATATAAAACACTAGAAAGTCACTGTGATTGAAAATAATCTGAACAGATCAGCTTTTAAAAGAAAAAGTAAAGCACTATCTTTACGAGAAAGTAAAAGGCTTTACAAAAAAATATTGCATAATAGGTACAGAAGCATATTTCATGCCAGCAAACACAACTCTTCGGTCAAGATTACTTTTGACTGAATGGACTTGCGTTTAAAGAAAAACAAATCACCTGAGTGAGAATGGTTTATAACTTTATACCACATTTACAATATAAGAACTGTCAGGGTCATACATGAATTATGTAACGCAAAATTTAAATTTTCTTGACACTTGCTTAAACTCTGAAATGCGCTGAAAGCAGTAGACTAAATACCCTTCTACAGATTAGGCAAAATTGGCTCTAGTCCCCTTCAAATGCCAGGAAAAATTTTAAAATAATCAGGTATTTAGGTTGGCTATGAGTAATGACTGTGAAAAAATAGTCTTATCGCATTAGATGAATGAGTCTCCAACATTTTAGATACTGTCTTTACTTGTAAGAGGGTATGTCCAGAAGTAAGTTTCCCTATTTTATTTCTCAAAAAGTATCGTTGATGAAGCAAATCTGCGAATAAAATTCTATTGGCCATACTTGCAGCTTTAGTTAAAAAGTAGAGCTAAAGTTTTTTAAGTTCAGTCCACGGATTGCTGAGATTTTCAACTATTTCTGAGGGCCTCTCCTGTTGCCGTGGGTTCGATTGAGTCCACTCCTGAATAAGTGCATTGAAGCTAAGTGCTCGTCCCTCTCCTTTTGAGCAAGGGTCTCCGATATCTAAACCTATTATGGATAAGGTGCATGCCTTCCTGCATGGTGAATTTTCTGATAAGAAGAGATTATTAGAGAGATTAATGCCCAAATCATCGTGATTGGAAAATTCACTTGCATCTTTGTTTGAAATTCAACCAGGGTTGGTATTCCCATGAGATCTTTAATCAAGGGATTACAACCCAACGATCCTTCCCAAATCCCCCTCAATCGTGGCAGTGGAGAGAGGTCTAATGTTTCTCCTGTTCTGATGATGTATTTCTGTGTTCTACGTAGAAAAGTGAACGTAAGCATCTTTAAACATAACCAGCATTAAAATTGATTGACGATACATGTGAAGTGCATTACAACTACGCTTCAGAATCGGACCCACAGCTACACCTATCAATCAAAAATCGCAGTGAGAGGGGGGAGGGGCTTGGGAAAAGTTAGCTACCTCAGTAACACATGCACCAAATGTTAAAAACTGTAGCTCATTAGAAAGCTGAAAGTATGGTCACAGAATTTTAATTACTAATTTGATTTGTCTATGATACTTTTTATGAAATAAAATAGGGAAACTTACGTTTGGGTTACGTAAAAAAGATTTCATGAAATTTGAGAAAATTCTTGTCAGTCTTGTAGATTCCTGAAAATAACCCTGCAGGGATTAATGTTGGAATTAAAAGTGGAGATTCTCCTCAATGGCGTTACGTAATTCATGCGTACAGCCCCTTACAGGTACACTCAATGAAAATAAAAGGACAACCAATCTTCCGTACTTAGCTGCTGGAAAACGAATAAAACTTCAGTAACTGAAAAATTAGTTCTAGATAAAAAAATTAATTAAAGGTCAAAACCTCGAACAAAATACAAATAAAACTCTATCAAGAAAAATGATTGTAGCTCTGCAGCACCCCATGGACTTTGAAATTAGATGTTTGAAGCACCCACAGCTCTTGCTGATGTCTTTTAGAGAGTAAAAAATGATGCACAAAGAACACTTTTCGAATATTACAATTTTAAAAAGAGAACGGACCATCAAGAATAACTGATTCTTCCCCAATAATAATAATAATTAAAAAAAAAAAAAAAAATAAAGAAAACAAGGAAACCAAAATATTGCATCATGCCTTTTTTAAATTTACTAATATGAATTTTCTTTCTCTTTAAATCAGGAAGAAGCTCACAGGTATTTTGACTAGTAATCTCATACTTAAAAGAACCTACAAGTAGGATTTTACTGAGCAGCAAACACAACCTTGTAATTATTAAAACTTATAACAAAAGAGAGAGAAAATTGGCACTTCAGTTCAAAACAAAAAATTGATTAAAAAGTTCTGTAATTTTTTTTCAATCAAATCTTTGTTTACATCAAATCGATAAAATTTTATGTGCGTGACCTTTTTCAAAGATCCACAAAATGATGGATGAATTCAGTTCATTCAGCTCATTTGTTTGCAAGACCTTTTTCAAATAATCACAAAATAGTTGATGATTGATGAATCCAAATTCTTTCATCCATATAGCCTGATTGAAGGAGAATAGATTCAATATTTTCGGCGCAAAGTTGGTGCTTCATTCACACTAAACATACCTGCATAGTAAATTTCAAGCTATTCACATTTGGCACGAATTGATTAGTAAAATTTAACCAAAGAAAAAAGTCGAAGAAAAGGAGGATTGCTGCTCATGATACCGATGAGATAGGATTGTGCGGTGAGCCCATTTGTGTGAGAACCTTGTCCAGCCATTGTAACGGGCCATGTAAGTGAATCTCTATCCAACAAGGTGTCGATGTCACATCTTGTCGGTGATATTCAGCTCCCCAGCCTTTCACAAATGACATCCTGAAATAAAAGACCCATTCAAGTTAGAGGAGGTATGGAAATTGATAAGAAATTAAATATCTTGAAATACAGTAAGATCTCAATTTATCGGATTTCACAGGACCAGAGGACGAATCCATTAAATCATAATAAAGGGTCCCGCTGAAAGAACCGCAGGATTGATCCGTTAAATAGCGGAGTCCGTTAAATCGCAATCCAATTATTCGAGGTCTTACTGTAGTAGAGATGAACATGAAAAATGGATCTTGTCTCAAAACATACTGAGCCCTAAATAAAACACTACACACAACTTAAAAGGATTTGGTGGCTTTAGTGCTTTTTATCCTCTCACTAAATTATGAAGAATTCAAAACTTGAATTATCTTTCCTCCACTGCTCAAAGTAGAGGTGACAAAATTTTTTCGGACTTGAGCTCTTGACCTTGGAAAAAAAAGAAAAAAAGAATTAATCATAAATATGTTCATTATGCATGCTTCTTATGATCAGGAGCTAGGCTTTTCAACTTGAACTTTTGGCGCCAAAGTTAAGAATGCTGAATACTGAAATCTGAAATGATTAAATTTTAACATTAAATATCAAGCAATCAGTTGAAAATCATAGAGAGAAAAACTTAAGAAGCGGCGAAAAAGAAGGAAACTAAAAGGTGCTTTGGAATATAAATACCTTATGGTACACATTTTTGTCAGCTCATATACAGCTTCAAAGCCATGAATTACTGATTGCGACAAAAGTTGGGCAAATTCTTGATTGTTGAAAATTTTTAGAGAACATCCAGCAGGAATTTTACAAACAGTTGAAGGATGAAAACCATGATGATGATTACAATTGCGAGATTGCACAAAAATTGCTGAATCAGACAAACATTCAGCATAAACTTCCCCACCAACATAATAAAGGTGAACTCCTGTTGAGAAAAAAAAGTAAATTCATCAATCATGCTACCTAGGTATTAATTAAAAAAATAGCGGATTTTGGATGTACATATCAACGCTGAAACTACCAGACCACATATCTGGGTTTGCAACGACTTCTTGTCGTACTTATTTTTTGGGTGGGAAACTTCTTATCGTCAGCTCTTGAAAACTTCTGTGATTTTCCTTTCCAGTGCAAAGAAAACTTTGTGAAAACTTCGAGGATTAATATTGATTTTTTCTCCTTTAAAAATACATACTCATATACATACATATTTGAGACTCAACCTCATTTTACAAAAATTTACAGTGCAAACGCCTATTTTTCAGGCAATTCCTGGATATTGCAACAGCTCTTTTGTTAATTGATGCTTCACGCCTTACACCGCTAAAAATTTAAACAAATAAAAGTCCAAAAAGAGCAATAGAAAAAGAATAATATTTAAACGTGGTTTTAGGCTAGTTATCAAGTTATTGAAAGAACAAGTTGACTGCGTTGTCATAAGAAGCACATTGTAAGCCATGCAATGTGCAATGCTCCAATTAACAACTGAGGTCAGCGCTTATGATGTGTTCAAAGAAAATCAAACGGCCAAGCACTTGAGGCATGAACGTTGGCTCCAAAAGGTTCACACCAATCATCAGCTCCAATTTGATGATCAACTTGTGCGGCCTCATCTTTGGTACCACACACTGTGCAACTTAAGCGCTGTAATTATGATAACTGAAAGATTACTCACCTTTGCCAATATGTCGTCTGGTATTTTCAATAGTGGAATTTCTGTTGACATTTGAAAGTTGTCCTAAACAAAACCTGTTCATATTGTTACTAGGATTTGTGAAACCATCGACAATAATGGAGTGAGGTTGACAGTGAAACACTTCTCCAACACGACAGTTCAATTCATAGTATGCAATACTTGCCCAATAAGGTTGCTCCTAAAATCAACCATTTTCCAATTAGTAAATTAAAGTCAGATACATTAATTTTGATTGCCAAGTTTAAAAGTTGTATGATAGAGGTAAACACAGTTTGGCGGACCTAGAAAAGCAAATAAAAGAATGCTGAAGCTTTTTTGCAACTCTTAATACTTTTACCCATATTGCCAAATTGTCTCTGATCAACACAGCTGCCACCATGATGATTTTCACAACCTGCTCTTCTTATAAGTGTTTTGAGAAAATAAGCTTGCGGCATGTATGATATATAACTCTTGGGTAGCTCCAGATATTTGTAAGATAATTTAAAGGTAATTTAATTTAGTGGTTCAGTAGTGGTTAGAAATCAGGAATTTCTGATAAAACTTTAGATTTATTACAACAATGCAAAATATTTCCCGTATAACAATAATTTTTATAGAATAATCTTGATGAGTTGAATTATTTATAGTATATTCCAAAATTTAAAAAACAATTAACAACGGGAAATTTAGGATGTTGGACAAAATTTCCTGTCCTATGAATTAGTGTAGACTGATACTGATTTTATCTTATGACATCTGTAAATAAATCTGGGAGTACGAATTGACATATTTGAGACTAAACCTCATTTCACAGATAAACTACAATTAAAATGGATGATTCAAGGACTGACTGTCCTTGACTTTATGGCCGACTTTTCGGTGAGAGATTGTTTGGTGGTTTGTACCTTTTGACTTATAAACTTAATGTGCTGAAGGAGAAAGGACTATTTTTTTCATGCATGACTAAATCTCAATCTTAAATTATTTTTCAGAAATTCCAAGGGAGTCAAAAATAATCTTCTTTTTGGGAACTTTTTGACAAATTTTTATGATGGCTTTTCGAGCGTTCATTTTCGAAAATATGATTTTTGATTGACAATCCCACATTTAGAAACAGGTGCAAGGGTAAAAAAATTATTAAATCTACCTGGTAAGCCACCGGAGCAACTTCAGTCATATTGTTTCCAGTATCCATATTTTCTTGTTCATGATCTGATTGTGGTGAGCGACCCGCATTGTGTTTTGGATCATCTGGTGCACTATATGCAGGAGGAGGTGTTTCTATGACAATTAAAATAGCAAAATAGAAAACATTTCTTTTCTGATACAAAAGGATATGCAAAACAATCTAATTTGTAAACAGTTTGAATTTTGGCAAATGATTAACACTAGAGATTTCCTACTAAATTTCAAAACTCAGAAAAAATTTTAAAGTATGAGGGAAGGCATAAAGTCAGAACTTTGGATAGCTTCATTTATTCAATACTAAGTGCATCAAGCTGCAATTTGCTAGCAGATATGAAAAATAACTTGTGCTTTAAGAAAATGAGGTCTAGGCTACTTAACTACATTACTTGGAGAATTCTTTCATTTTTAATTCATACAAAAATGACAAGAAAAATCCATGTTTTAACATTCATGAAGCTCAGATAAGTAATAAGATAGAACTTAATTATCTAGAACAAGTAGAATTATAATACATCTCCATGGCGAAATATTTCAAATATGAAATCTAAAAGAACTGCCCTTTAAGTCATCAAGAGATGTGCTAAATTTGAAGCACTGCATGCATAGAGTCTGTAATAAACATCAGCTTTTACATAGCTATTTTTTTTCTTTTTATGGACCACCAGACTGCTAATTTGAGACTGTTAATTTCATTTTGACAACGTTGCTGCGATGGCAAACATATTGCATGACAGCAAACTTTGTGGCAACATTGATATCATATCTCAGGAATACAAACAATTTGCTTGTTTAAACAATGTTGGGCTTTTTTTGATAGGTAGAAGTGCAAAATAACAGAAGGAGGAAAAAACATACCGGCAAGACTACTGGATTGGTATGGACTGTGGGGATTTGAGTTGGCCGAGCTTACTGGTGAGGTAGGTTGACTGAATCCAGCAGCAGAATAGCAAACATTGTGCGGCATGCTTGGCTCAGATAACTGTTGATACGGAAGCAATGAATGTCCAGGTGCAAATTCACTATGTCTTGGTACAAGCACTGGAGGCAGAACTGGAGAAAAAAGAAGAGAGGGTTATCTAGCAAAAGACAAAAGACTATGTGTGTCAGCAGTAAGATAGTACCCTTGCCTTGATAATTCTGGCTTGGATTTTTATTAAATCCCAGATTAAGGTAAAATAATCTACTAATTCATGTCCAGAGCTTCAGCTTTTCTTTAAGTGTAAGTTGATATTATGAGCGGCTCCTTAACTTGGAATATCCTTTATATTTCATTGTAAAATGGATTTTTATACATACATATTAGGAACTCTCAAGGAGGTTTCAAGTCAAGGAAATTTCAAGGGGTATCTTGAAATTCTGGTCTTGATTGCAAAACTATTTTCAATTTTTAAAAAAGTCAGCATTCTCTGATCTGTAGGATTTTCAACATTTTAGGAGACTTTTTTGCTACAGTTACTGGAATCTGGACATACTACTTAAATTTCCTTTGCAAAAACTGTCTCAACTGAAAAATAGATTCTTATCTATCCTTCTCATTTATAGATGAATTCCCATTTGCACTAATAGACATTTCAAATTAATCACATTCGTTTTTTAATTGTTTCATAAAAAATGGAAAAGTTTACCTGGACTTTCAACACGTTTATAATGATACGGATTGATGCACACTTCCTTTTGCTTAGCTGAAAATGGGTACTGACAATGTTCAAGAGGTTTTAGCTCATGATGAGATTGCAAATCAGGCCACCGCCAGACGCGACAGTAAATAACATGAGGCAATCCCTTACGATGAGAGACCTAGGAAAAGAAACCAAGCAATTTAAATGTATGGATTGTGACAGAGTCTGAGGAAAGAAGTAACAAATTGGAAAGAGAAGAATGTATAAGACTACCAGAATGTTTACTTCCATTTGAAAACTACGAGGAAAAAACACATATGGTTGATTTTTTTTTTTTACTTCAAATACCCTCAAGGGCTAATCCCATTCAGTTCCTACCTACCATCCCTTCTATCCTAAAAACTGAATTCATTCCACCTGTAGCACCTGGGCAGCAATCCTCCATCTCCCCAATTCGCTTCCTGAACCTGTGCCTTTCCCTGACGACCGTTTTCTTATAACGGTTGATGTCCAGATGTTCCTGCCTGTTACATTCAAACATCAAGTAATCCCTCATTCCTTTGAAAAATAGCACCCTATTGACTATGTAATCATCACTAAACTTAACCTCCATTCGCCTTTCTACTCGCCTATCCATAATTTGTATAATATCCTTATCCACCAGATTAATCATTCCCTCCCGCATCTTGTGAGGTACCTAATTCAACATTATTATATTGAATTATAGTAGTTTTAGTAGTAAGTATATTATTAGTAGTTTTGATTATGTAGTATAAGAGACCTTTGGATGGTGTTACCGAATGTTCCTTATTTCTGGCCTTCCTCTTGCACTCATACCTTTCCAATTTCGTACACCTTAGATATTTGAGAAGAATGTACATTTAATATTTAAAATGATTATTTGCATCCCTATTGCTGATAGGCTACCAGTCCTAAACTATCACTCATACTTAGATCTTCTTCAAAAATCTCAATGCAAAAGTGACGGACTTGCTTATGATTACCCAGTTACTTATATCAAGAATCATACCTGAAGCCTTCCATCTAAGCTTCGAGGAATAGTTACGCATTTGCTTGGCTCGCCAGGACAGCTTAATGCTTTCTCTAGAGCCTCAATTGCACCTTTACTCTTCTTTAACTTTTTCACAAGAGAATCAACAGCTTTTTCTGCCCATTTTTCTTCTTCGTCTCCTTGTTTCCAACCCAATAATTTCTTTACAGCAGGACTTGTAAACGAGAACAAAGAATTCAGAGTTGACATGGGTCCTCCACTTGTGCTCTCTGATTCTTCATCCATGATAAAATTGATACAAATCCTACCCTGAAAATTATACAGAAAAATAGATTAGGACAAACTAAATTCATAAAAAAAGCAAAGTAGCCTTGGAAAAAATACTTCAGGCACATAATTTTTGAGAAGGGAGGACACATTCCCTTAAGCCATTCAAATCTGAACCTTTATCGTCCAACTTCATCGATGCAGTTAGGTATTACCAAAAAGTCAGTCAAATAAACGATTATGAATTATTAGACTTGTGTTGAAACAGAAGGATATTAAAACAAATTTTCAGTAGAATCATTCGGCGTTAGGATGCATTATTATTTATCAGATGTGGTGTTCTGTCATTAACTCAATTCCAAAAAATTTGTTATTCATGCCCTCCTTCTGGGAGCACTACTGTGTAGACTGAATCTAAGTACTGGTAGAATACTGAGCCAACGCTGTTCCATTCAGACGGTAACTCAAAATTTTAAAAAGATGTAGTCATTGAGGAAATTTGGCCCGTTGCCTACGAGAATGGAGAGGCTGTAACTACGTTTTTGTGACGTCACACTAGTAGATGAAACTCAGCCACGATTTAACATGTGTTCTGATGGGAGAACGCCTGACGTGTGTTTCTTTCGTGCCGATATCTTCTCGGGGGTTGATCTGATGCAACAATTCATAAGGACCTTTTCAAAAGAAGATGAAATTTCACTTCAGAAAACTAACTAACCCATATGTGACATTGTCTAACTATTGGGGAAATACTGAAAATCACTATTCCTCTCAGATTCAAACGTGCCACTCATCGCCGATCGAGGGCTACTCTGATTGGTCCACGCAGCGACTACCTCACTCATCAATGCACCGATAACCCAGAGATGCTTGTTGTTTTCGGTAAATATCTACTGGCTTGATGTCACAAAACTGAGTAGTTACGGCCTCTCTATTCTCATAGGCAACGCATGGCCATTAAGTGAGCCTTTGACATGAAGCAAAGCTGTGCGTATTTCTTCTGATCAAAAGATGGACAAAGACAGTCGCTTAGTTCCAAGAGAGCAACTGCGAGAAGTGATCATCATGCAGTACCTTAAAACGAGACATCCATGATGCTGAGAGGCGCTTATCATAAGAGACAAGACTGAAACGCTACAAATACAAGGAAGACAGGGAAAATTATTTGATGTGGAGCTGAGTGAGACGATAGGGATGAATTGAAATGAGCGGCGGACAGCCAGCACAAGGAGCCGGAATTCTTAGAAAAGTTCTATAAGATATGTATATCATCATTATTTAACCTAAAAAATGGATCACCATTTCAATCACTTGTGGAGGAAAATCCGAAAGTAACACACAAGAGCTAACCTTGGATTAAAATGACGCTGAATAATGTGGCACGGTTGAGGAAAAATTCAGGAAAAAACTCGCATGTGAAAGGAATAATTTTTTGCACGTTATTGTTGTGGATATTAGGGTACTATCACAATACACTATCACTAATTCACAAATGTTTACAATATTTACATCTGCTGTGGACAGGAGGGGGGTGGAAGATGCTATGACGGCCATGTGCTGACTGTGCGTGTGAAAAGTACAATTGATGACGTCATCACTACCGACGTAAAATGCGGGATTCTAGATCTCGAGCCTCTCATTGGACGTAAATGGGTTCAGTCAGTCCGGGGAGGGGGATCGTTCATCTAGGTGGTTTCTGTGCACAAAATTTGTGACTTTTTCTTATGACCGACATTATTTTACAGCCGCCACTCCCCCCCCCCCCCCCCCCCCCCNACTCCTTCTCTATAAATAGGCTTGTGCTTAACGGCTACTTTTCGGGAACGTGATTACTGTTACTGCTACTCAAAAATCACAGTGAAAAGTAGCAGTGATTTTTCCAGAGACAAGAGACCCTCCACTGGCCTCCTAGCGACAGGTGGAAGCTTTTACTTTCGGGGTTTCAACAATTTCTTATGGACAATTATGAGCGAGCAACAGTCATCACCCTATTTTCGGCTGTTGACTTACCTACATGGTCGATGATGAGCTTCGGATGACGTCATAAGCCAAACAACTTTCCCAAACGTCGGCCATTTTCGGTTTGTTTGCAAAACGAAACTGCCAACACGTTGTTGAACATCAACCATGTAGGTAAGTCAACAGTGGAATGCTGAAGTCCCGAAAGTAAAAGCTTCCACCATGGCCAAGTTACTAGTGGAGGGTCTCTTGTCTCTGGATTTTTCACAGGATAACTGACAAACATAACCTAAAAATACCGCCGTCTCCAGCAGTTCGTTGGCTCTAGTCGGATCACATGATTCACATGTGAAAAGTAGCAGGTGGCGTGGCGGTTATGCTGTGATTTATCACAGGTTAACCTTATCAAACGATCCTTCCCAAATGCTTTCTACATCTTCAAAATTAAAAGTACCACTGATTTTCTACAGCATAAACTCTTTAAATCACTCGTTCTTCTCATGTTTAATCCACAAGTCATAATTTCCGGAACTATCTGTGAATCACAGGTAAAAGTAGCAGTGAGGCCACGGAGTTATTTATCACTGGTTGACATGAAAAAGAGAATTTAACTTTAAAAAAAAAACTTCTCGTAGTGATAATCTAGGTGAATATTTAAATAGCTCTCAGTTTTTATCATAATGCCATGTTCTTTAAAGTTAAATTCTCCTTTTTAGGTCAACCAGTGAGAGATCACTCCGTGGGTTCACTGCTACTTTTACCTGTGATTTATGACTGGACTGGTTGACGTCACTACCTACAATGCATTGTAATATTCGGAGATTTCACGTGATTGGCTATCCGCCCTAGGGTGCTACTCTGCTCTGCCACTGTTATCATGCTGCTCCTTTTAAACTGCTACTGCTCTTTTTGCTTCGTTATCGCAATCGCAGTGTATCCAACAGTAACTATGATTAACCATGTGCAAGCTCATTCATACATTTTTTTCGCCGTTTAACACTAAAGTTTTGGTTACTCACTGTTTAACTATCCGCGACTAACTTTTGATGAAAACTGCTCAAAAAAAGAGCAGAATAACAGGTGTTCCTCGCCAGTCACAGTGATCGATCACTGCTACTCAAGAATCACAGTGATTTTTACCTGCTACTGCGATCGCGGTCACAAGCCTACAAATAAACACAACTGATAATTTTTGGGGGAAAATAGGTAGCTGGCTTCAAAATTAAGGCAATTTAAATGAATTCTCCAACACTCTTACAGCCCTGCAAATTCAGGGGGGTTTGATTTTTTGACCAAATTTTAAGGAACGCCATCTTTTGAGAAGTTTACTAAAATCATTCCAAGTTTTTGACTGCAATCTGTATTAAGTTAGTACAGTAGAACGTAGGTAAGTTTAGATTCTAGCTTACGAGTAGTTTTTTTTTTTTTTTTTCTTTTTTTGGTGTGAAAACTTGACAATTTTTCTCAAGCGCAATTTTTGACAGACGCTGAAAGCAATAATGATCGAAGATGGATTCCTGTAATAAAAGTCAACGCAAGGCATTCAAAATTTTAGGAGCTGCAATACTTGTAGAGACTACACAGTTGGGCACTGTAGTAAAAAATTAAAAAATCAAGTAAAAAATTCTTGAATTGTCAACCAGGATCAGGATGCATGGAAAAAATGAAATTGCTGGTTTAAGAATTTTGTAGTTAAAAATGTGTCAAACTTGCTTCAAAGTAGATTTTACAATTAAAAAATGCTAGTGAAGCTACCCCTGTAGTTAAATTAGCTTTCCACTGGTGTAAAATGTACATTTGATACAAGTCCGATACTTATTTTTTATCCATTTAATCATTAAATCAGCAATCCATTTTCTCCGTGTGATGCCCGTTCTCTCTCCAGAGAAGTGCAGAAAAAAAGTAATCCCCCCCCCCCTTCCTTCAACAGTTTGTCGCTGGGTCCGTGCACTGTGCTAGCCAACGTTTTACTTATATTTTCAAAAATATATTTTTATACAGATTTTTTTTTCTTTTGCTAATGTAATGCGTGAAAGTACAGCAATTACGAAACACCTGTCACATAGTACGTGCAAAATTAAAGTTTTGGGGATAAAAATTTACTGCCCCCTTGGTAAAAGGGCGCCAATTAATTAGGAAGGGGTACTACGTCATAGCCCGGGATTTTTTCCCACAATCCCCTGTAGCCTGCAGTGCGAGTCGCGACCGTATCATATCGTTAGGGACGAGTTCTATGAGGATGCCGAACTGTGGTGAGCGCTGCGTTCAGCGCATTCTCGCGTAGGACCTTCGTAAACTCAGAGGATCCTTCCCCCCGAACCTCGACTCATCCATCGCGAACATGATTAAAAAATAATTAATCAGACGGCTGAATTCTTGAAAAATAAGTATATTTATGCTATTTTCCGAACCTTTTCGTCCTCAACCTTGAATGGTGCAAAATTCGATTTTTGGCAGTTATGGCAGTTATACAGGCTGATCCTACCGATTTTTGTGAAGTCCAACGCTCGATAAAAGTAATAAGTTGCAGGGGTCCTACGCGAGATCGCAGCACTAGTGATTGCTCACGGATTTTTACATTGGCTCTTACGGGAGTCTAGGGTCCAACAGTACTGGTGCCTGATGTCGTCCCCTGATTCATCGCCATCTTGGTTATCCTCTTGAACTTGTTATCGTCTCTCGTCCAGGGGTTTCCCAACTCTAAAAGTGTTTATGATTTTTATTTACTGTTTTAAATTTCGTCCGGTCGCAGATGGCTTGTCTCAATACTTTGAAGCAAGAAATTAAGACTCTAGAAGCTGCATTCCCCAAAAATCATGAAAGATTTCAGATAGTGAACGCGAGTGTAGACGAGTTGAATTGTAGATTCGTGGGCAAGAATGGCAAGAAATACGAGATACACGCCAACATTACTGTAAGTAGGGTTTATTTTACCACTACTTTCCTTCTGGAATATTCTGTTTCACCTTTCGTCGTACTTCCTTCACCTTTCTCGCCTGACTCTGAACCATTTTGTCTCACGACCTGGTTCATATTTCGGGTACCCTTTCGAGTTTACCTGCAGAAGCACTTGACTTCCTTTGTTCTCAGCATGCACCCTTGTATGATCAAGTCCGGAATCGTATCTTCTATCCTTTTTCTGGATTCTTTCCACTTTATTACCTTCAAAATTTATACAATTTGATCAACTTAGGTGCAGGTGGCTCTTCGTTTTTAACCTGTTCCAGAAAAATTATTCTCTCCTTCTAGCATGAGCTCCTGAGGAGCTGCTTACTTTTATATCAACACCCTGAAGCAGGTTGAAGTGTTTTCAGAAGTTCAAGTTGCAATCAAATTATTAGTTTACAGTCTTATGGTCCCATCAAATAATCGGAATGAACTTTTTTAATTTTGGTAACATGTGACTCTATATTCTTAGGGTGTAGTAAAATCTCAGGCTTCGTCTATCGTTGTGCTGGGACGCTGTTTATAATCACATTATATCCATCGGCACTTAGCATTTAGATTTCTGACATGAATTTCTACGATCCCTGGTCTGAAGAGCTTTCCACCTATTTTTTGCTAATAAATTCTCCCATGTGCTGAAATTTTATAGGTATTAAATTTATGTTGAATGTCTAGGTACATACTTGGATGAAGTCAATTGCGCAGGCAATATTTCTATTTTGATCGTAGGAGAATGAGGCCAAACCCACACAAATTTCTCCCTATTCAAGATTATGTTCTAATAATAATACAACTCAAAGATCTATTATTTACAAATTTTTTGTATAGCATGTCTCGTAACTACAGTGAAAGATAATGGTCTCCTTATGCCCCAAGGTCTTGCCATTCTTTAGCAGATTGTCATGATTATAATTATTATGAACGCCTTAAAGAGCTTGTCTGCCAATCGTAGGTGACAAGTTTGCTTTAGACCTTTCTGAATGTGGAATGGGATTCATCAGGGTATCTTGGCAAGAGAATAACATAGTTGAAAGCAGGAAATTAAAGGCCTAAGCGGAAGAGCTAACGGAGAAATCAGCCCCATAAGTTTTCTAGCACAATTGCATGACGGAGTGTAAAGTCTTTCCGTGTGAAACGCAACTAGAAGCACATTGTCTTACCCACAATAAATTACGGATTTAAATATCCATGCAACAATGCATTGTGTAGAACAGAAATGTGATCAAGGAAATCATCATCTGTGACTTGCCATTTTTCTTCTTCGTAATTTGTTAAAGCCTTGTCACAAGCCATGTGTTATTAAGTTCCTGAACTCAAACCTATTCTTTTTTTCAGGAAACCTATCCTGGAACACCGCCTGTATGGTTTGCTGATTGTGATGATACCAGTGTAACCAATGCAGTGCAAATTCTTAGCAACACGACTGGTTTGGATAATCATGTAAGTATTTGAAAATGATGCTAAAAGGTCAAATGTTTTCACATCAACTTTATGAGACCAAATACTCCTAGAACGATCGTCTGTTGTGAGAACATTTACGTATCAGCATTCCACAGGGTATAGAATATGAAGCATCGTAGATTTCCTGCCTCATTTCTGGGTCATTCTATATCATGCAAGATCCATGAAATTAACAGATCCTACCAGAATACGATGGAATTTGACACTTGTTTCCCTTCCTAGAGGTGGTCTAAAGCTGCTCTAAAAAAATTTGTCCGACTATCCCTTACCAAATTTGTAAGGTTAAAATTATGTAATTTTTGCGGAGATCTGCACATTTCTTGCCAAAATCGTGCGATATCTTGGGTACTATGTACTCCACAGCAACCGCTATGGTGCTGCCTAAAATTTCTTGATATCTACTTTCTAGCCATGCGCAACTAATAAACAAGTAATCTAAAAAAGAGTTCTAGTATTCATTTGAAAATCTTTGGCTCTCTTCAAGCGGTCTGTGGCCTTTCTTCTGGCGACACTGATAGGTTGGCAAATCCTCGTAATCGATCTTCGCTGTTAGAAAAACATTCCTTCAAATTTCACTTGTTAATGTCCAGTAACACTATTTCAATAGAGAGAAGCAAGGATAAAAAATTTAAAAGAGCTGCAATCAGGCTAAAAGTTTTTATAGTATCCCAGTCACAGTGTTGTTGAAAAGCACCCTTTAAACGTCTGTATTGCCGCTCACTCAGTCGTGTATAGTTGAACTAACTTTGGAAACTAATTTTTCAAATAAATCATCTATCTTATCTAATTGCTGGTTTTTTACTTTGTTGCAGGTCATAAATCAAGTACCAATTTTAGTGCGAGAATTATGTCGACTCCATATGGTGCAAGAGCCCTCGAATCTGGACACAGTAAGAACAGGAATGCTTACCCCACCCCCGGACGTTTCCATGGACGAAGACGATAACGATGATGAGGATGATGAAGACAATGAAACAGAAGATGAACTCCATTTAGAAATGGACGAGAGCGAAATAGTGTCCAAAAATAAGGTAGCATTTTCACTTAAGTAGATTTTCCATTTGCTCTCACAGACATTTCGGTTTCAATGATAAAACCACCTTGAGCCCTAAGAAAAACTAGCAAACTTTCTGAATCTCCTTGAAAGGATTTGTGCTCTAGGAAAGTATGCATTTTGCATAGTTCACCTGCTCAGAAACCGAACCTAATTTTTAATCTTCGCAAACTTCTGACCTCTCAGTAAAATTTCCCAAAAATTAGAGAAAGTGAAGAAGGAAAATTTGAGGATCTTGGGTGAAGTACTTACTCACAGAAGGAACATTTTTTATTTTCCATTCCCGTTAAGTATTACCTGAAGATAGCCTTGAAAGATAGGTATCCGAGTTTGCTAATAGAAGAATAAAAAGTCCAGAAAAAATCTAAGTTACCACAGTGGCAAGTTTTTTAGACTATCAGCCGTTCAGTGTATTCTCTGCATACTTTATGCACCTGGTTAGAAAACTGAATCTTAAAGGCTTTTTTTACTTGCATCGTAATTGCACTATTTCACTCCTCTAAAGTGTTTCATGGAACTCTCAGAGAAGTGTTTTACAAATCAAACAATAAGATGCTGTCTGTTGGAAGGCATAGCTGTAATAACAATTGACCACAACTTTACTCCAGAGCCCTGTTGTGTTGAAAAAAAGAGACAGATTTAGAATCTCATGAATGTATTTCATTGACAATAATTGCAATTCCTCTTTTTTTTTCCAGGCTGATGAAATGGACATGGAACATTTAGCCACCCTCGAAAGATTGCGCCAAAATCAGCGAGAGGACTATCTCAAAGGATCTGTGTCAGGATCTGTCCAAGCTACAGATCGTCTTATGAAAGAACTTAGAGACATATATAGATCTGATAGTTTCAAGAAAGGTATAGTACAATCGGTTTTACAGTATTGTAAGGTAGAGTTCAATTGTCTAGTTAATGTTGTTAAATATAATGTTTACCTCTATCTCATCATTCAACTCCAGCCAACTGTACCATTCAGCGAGTAGTAAGGTTTGGTTTCCGAAGTAAAAACCAAAATACATGGCATCATACAGAGAACTGTTGAAACAGGAGAGTATTTGAAACAAAAATTACGCGTAAAAATTTAAACACAAGTTTACCTAAAGACGCGTACTTTACTATGAAAGACTTAAAACATAATGATTACGTAAAATGGTAATAAAGCTTCAATTCAATATAAGCTGGCCCAAGTGAGTAAATCTGATTTTGATTTAGACTTTGAAATTGAATTTACTTTAACTTGCCTTAAGACTAGCATTGCAGACAATCATTCACCAAAAAAAAAACTCTCACTCACTTACCTCAACTTGGGCTGAGTATTTTCAGGAAATTACCTGGATTTTCTGGATATTGCTTTGGTTTGAATGTTTGGCGAATAACCTTTAATTTTACCAGATGAACCTAACCTTGCAGCTCACTTGTTGGCTGTGAAAGGTATAGTCACACAGTGTTGCTTTATTGCTGAAGAGGTCAGGTATGATCAATGTAAATTTTCCAAACAGTTAAGAACGGTCATCATAATCCTATCAATTTAATATTTGTAATATGGGCACTCAAATCCCAATGCATCATTATCTGATATCCTTTAAATGGAAACCAGATGTCATATGCTAGGATGTCTCCTCTTTCCTCCATAAAAAGGAAAAAGAATGATGTTTTTGTAGAAGGTCATGAAGGAAGCAAATCTCAGTTCCAAGTACTCAGTGTGTTGAATTTAATATCACAACCGTGTTGAGTAATTTAATTAATTTATGTTTCCAGGTATATACAGTATAGAACTTGTAAGTGATAGCCTTTATGAGTGGAATATTCGACTGAAGTGTGTTGATCCAGACTCGCCACTCCACCATGACCTATTAGTTCTCAAAGAAAAAGAGGGCAAAGATTCCATCTTATTGAGCATGTTGTTCAAGGAAACTTTCCCCTTTGAGCCTCCCTTTGTTCGAGTGGTCCATCCAATTATCTCAGGAGGTATTTTTCCATCATTCACTTCATTCTAATTTTAAAGGTCCATCAGAAATAAAACAAAAAAAACAAGTGTTAATCCTGTTCTCATTAAGCGAAGGTGATTAGCTACAATCCACCCTGATGTTACTGCTAAAGTGCTCTAACAAGGGTAGAACGCTGGCGGTGAAGTCCAAGGGACCGTAGCATTATAACTGTCACCTTGTCCTGAAATAAAGTTGAAGAGAAATAGAGACAGCTTAAAGTGCACTTAAAGATTTTGCTCAAAAATATAAAGCATCTGAAGTTCACTCATAGGAAGAGTTGTCTTGACTGTGGCACTCATTAAATAGTCCACCAGTTTTAGGCCGCCTAGGGGTTCTCAGGGCGAAACTTAAAATAACCTGATCCACAGAAGTGAGTAGTTTTTGATGAAGAATTGCATGATACCTACAGGACAAGTTGAACTCTCAAAATTATCTGTTGAAGTTTCTTTAGAATCAATTTCTAAAATTGAGAACATTATATTAATTTATGATGTAATTTTTCTTTCACTACCAGTTTTATTACTTTTTTTCTGTTTAATTGTATTTCAGGCTACGTATTGGTTGGAGGCGCTATTTGCATGGAATTATTAACAAAGCAGGGCTGGAGTGGTGCATACACAATAGAGGCTGTTATAATGCAGATAGCTGCCACTCTTGTAAAAGGGAAAGCACGAATTCAGTTTGGTACTTCCAAAGTAGTTAATCAGGTAATTAATTATTAATTGAGACTCAATTCTATCATTTTTGTTTTTTAATATCCTCTATATACATACAGTAAGACCTCAATTTATCGGATTTCATGGGACCAGAGGCCGAATCTGTTAAATCGCAGAATCCGTTAAATCGCTCCAGTGGGTCCTGCTGAAGGGACCGTAGAATTGATCCGTTAAATCGCGGAACTGTTAAATTGCGGAAACTGTTAAATTGCGATCGTATAATTCCAGGTCTTACTGTACACATGAGCTGCTTTCACAGCATTCTCCTGTGCTTTGCGGCATCTGACCGCCACAGTTCCCTGTCCTCCTTCAATCCCTCAGGCAATATTCACTTTCTCAAGTAATTCACAACCCTCTGTTGCCGCCCTTTCACTGAGCGTCCCTTTCATCTCTTCTCAGGAGGAACCCAATCAAGCATTTTCTTTGGCAGCCTCTCTTCCATCCTCCCGTTAACATGACCTTGCTAGATGAGCTGTTTGGTCTTGATGTTGAATATGATGTCATTCTTGACATCCATGATATGACGCTCTCTATCATTACCCCATCAAATTCCCACTGACCCCCACCAAAATTCCATCTCTAGTGTTTAATTGTTTTAGTATATGTATTATTTTAAGCCGCTTTTCGCTTTTTTTTAAGCGAGCTCTAGTTCTCGGTGACACCTAGGCGCCAAGGCACCCTATTCTCCCAAAGCCCCTCACGGAGTTTGCACACCCTCATTTCTTCTAAAACTCCCTGTCGCCACCCTTTCACTGGGTGTCCCCTTTGTCTCCTCCCAGGACGAACCCAATCAAGCATCTTCTTGGTAGTCTTTCTTCTGTCATTCCATTGATATGACCATACCAGACAAGCTGTTTGGACATGACTTCGAATACGATGTCATTTTCGTCCCCCATGATCTGGCGCACTCTTTCATTGCGGACCTGATCTCTCCTAGAAATCCATCTGTTGCTCTCAGCATCCCCTTTGTTCGTTCTTTCAGTTGCCAAACTTCACATCCATATGAAAGAATACTTTTGACTACAACACTGAAAATTCTCCTCTGGTTGTCTCCTCTAATTGTTTTAGTTTATTTTTAATACTTTAATTTCTTCTTCCTAAGTGCAAGCTGAAATGGGCAGAACACTTGAAACATATTGTCAAACCTGTAAACAATAGCAAAATAAAGGTCTAAGTAAGCTTTAAGCTACTCTCAAGAGGCTGTGCAACTGAGATTTTGGACAGGTCTCCGTAGTTCTCTCATTCTTTTAAAAAAATGTATGTGCATTAGTTACTCTAGAGAAGAATTTTCACCTGCTTTACATCCGGTTGTCATCTTTGTAGTGACACCTGTTCTTGTCAGAGGCTAACAGGGAGAAAATATTTTTCCATAAACAGCTACTTTCATGAGGAGGATCATTTACGTACCAGCCCAGGAGGGCATGCTAGCCTGGCTTATTCCAAAAGTCATTCCTCAAGTCATTTCCAAAAGTCTAAGAATCTAAGAAGTTCCAGAAAAAGCAAGGGAACGGGCCTCAATTTACTAATCTTTCACTCGACAAAAATTAGAGAGAGTTCTGAAAAGTTGCAGGAAAACAATCGTCGGTCGCCTGTTGTCAACTTCTGAAAGCCGGGGAAAACTCCAAAAAGTCCTAGTGATATGCTGGGGGGAGTCAGGAGCCTCCTTAACATACCGCTGCTGTGCTTGTAGAATGCAGAAAGTGACAGGAGGAATTGGAGAAACCAAGACCAATCCGCACAGGTCAGGCACTCCCAAGGACTAATTGTAGAGTACTAGTAACGTTTGTAACCAATAGGAAGTGCAAGTTGTAGCGATCGGTAGTGCAAGGAAAAATATTTTAGTGAAGTTGTTTTTATCAGTTGATATTGGTTAACCTTTGTTCTTGTTTTTTCTTTGTTTCAGGGTGCGTACAGTTTAGCTAGAGCGCAACAGAGTTTCAAATCTTTAGTTCAAATCCACGAACAGAAAGGTGAGGACTATTTTCTTATCAGGTATTTTTCGCCAGGGTAGTGGGGCTACAAAGTGTAACATGCTCATCCCAGTTGATTCCACATGCATGCGCTGATTTAGTCCCGGAAATACTGAGAAAATTCAAGACATTCATTGACAAGGTCTTGCAAGAATTTCTTGTTTAAGAACACCAATACAACACTGATTAAACATGTAGTAAATTGAAATTGGAGGTCTGGTACTGCTGTATTGGAATTACCAGAAAAAAGATGCATTTACATGCTACTGATTTGCTGAGCTTACTAGCACCTAGAAGTAATGTGCACTCCGTGGATTCTGTGTTTTCATTGTCTTGAGATGGAGTCATGTTCTTTTCAGCAGTCAAAAATCACTGCTCACCTCAGACATAGGGTGGCCTTGAAGCTCTGCAAAAATTGTTCTGTATCCAGCTTTTTTGGTGAATTTTAGAAGTGTGCAAAGTCCTGCACAAATTCTTAAAACTTTAAGTCCCCCATTTTCCCAAACAGAATCAGCCATATTGTCAAGCATTACATCTCCTTGAGGAGGTCATTTTGAAAAGAAATAAAAACTGGCCCATGAAAATTATGAGTCGAACCATCATTGAGCATGGTTAAAACATAAGCTTGCATTAAAATCTCTGAAAAATATTGATAATGGAACCAGAATCTTAGCAAAGAGGAATTTGTAGGATTTATTCTGCTGTATCCCAAAGTGCCATCCATTTTCTACCAATACTCAAGGATTAGCAGAAAAATCAAAGCTTCCCTGGGGAAACTGGATTTTCTGGAGAAGATACAATTCTCTAAATTTCATTCGCATGCCGGGATGAAACATATGTTACTTATGGGCTCAGCAACCAATTAACCCTTTCCGGTCCAATGTCGGATATATTCGCCGTGAAAAATAACGCGTTTAGGTCCGATGTCGGATATAGTCGCCCAAAAGTTTGAACCTCTGTGCAGGCCCGATATCGGGTATATTCGACTGCTCCAGCAAGTGGCGGCCTCTGGTGGAGCCTTTGGAAACCACTGTCTTTGTTGACAACATCGCTGCTACCTTAACCTCACTTAACGACGGCCGTGGAAAACTGCCGCGGACCGGAAAGGGTTAAACATAGTAATATGCACATTGCATGCCGAAGGAATTTTCCTTGGTCCGACTGTTCCATCTCTAGATTCTTGTTAGCATTCCTAAAACGTGCCTCTCTCTTTAATGTAATGCCCAGATAGTATGGAGGATTAGAGGCCCGACTCAATGATAGAACATGAAACAGAAGTTGTAGAAGTTGCATACGTTGACACAAAAGTGTGCGAGCATCTACAGCTCGTTCATTGGTCAGTGATGACCTAACTATTGCAGACCTATTATAAATGAGTTGCAGATGCTACCGCGCTTTCGCGTCAACGTACCCAACTTCTTGCTTTCACGGCAAACTTGTGTCTCAGGATTTCCTTATCCAGTCAGGCATCTAACCTTCTATACTCTCTGATAACCCCCCAAAGCATCTCAAAGATTGCCTGTTCCCTCCCTCTGTACATTCCAACCCACTTGTTGAAAATGAACCCCATTCACTCAGAGGTCCACAGCAAAAGGGAATATACAGTCGCTGAAACTCACTTGGGCAGTAAATGAAGAATGTGGCAAGTTTCAAACATTTCAGCAAGATGCCTGGATTCTCTGAATGTTCGTGCTTGAGATTTTCAGCTCTAAAAGTTGCAATGAGCTGTGGGAACTGATGGTAGTGGTGATTTATATTACAGTTTGTCTTATTTTACCTAAATGACCATCAAAAATCACAAATAGAATGAGTTTGAATCAATGTTGTAGTCTGTGTCATTGTCTCTGTTCTTTTTTGACTGTTGTTTTTCTTTTTTCTCTCCAGGTTGGTACACACCTCCCAAAGAAGACGGGTAGATCATATGAAGAAGTAAAATTTTCTTATCCAAACGTGACTTTCAAACGCAACTTAGGTTGGTTTGATGGAATTATCGCAAATAATAGACAATTTTTGTGGTTTTTTTCTTTTTTTTCATTTTTTAATAAAATCGGTTTTGATGATATCTCATTAAAGGTCAATTAAATATATTCGTATATTTGAATGGTGTCAAAATGTTCTGATTTGAATGTAAATGAAACTCGAAAAGCATTCTATTCCTTCGTGTAAATTTATTCGTTATTTTAAGTGAAATCGAAACTTATTTCAATGTTTTTGAATTAGTGAATTTTTATTGTTTGAGCGCGTATGATAGTTTTGTGTAAACTTAATTTTGTATCGGATTATTATTTTTATTTTATCGTCTAGGCTCTTCATGCTGAAGAGCTTATACTTTATCGTAAACTATTCCACCTCTTATGTTCCCAGTTCATTATATTTATTTCTTTAGTTAAGTTCTGTTACATAGCGATTATTTTGTAATTTTTATCTTTTTTTCTAAGGCCCATTTGGTCCAAATTTCTCCTCTACTGATTCTTGCAACTTCACTTACCTCTTGAATTCAGATTTTTATTTTATTTTTTTTTTATTTTGACAGGTCTCTGAATTTAACTAAATATTTTCTAATTGGCATTTTATCCATCTGTTTTCCTCATCTTAAATTTTAAAGAATTCAGAAACTGTTCTCACACCGTGATTCCTCAAGGAGAGATTTTTCTTGTATAATTCTCTCCCCCCTTTCCTATCTTCCTGGTTTTTCAGTAAATGAAATTAAAAATATGGAAGATGTTGGTAGTTAGGAATATGAAAAAATTATAATCTCCCTATTTCTAAAAAAATAAATACGGAAATGTAATTATATTCTTTTTATATTGAATGGCACCTTTTTGATAGAGAAGTGTGTGATGTAAATGAACATCAGGTATTTTTTGAAAGTTTTGGGAAGTTTACCCAAATTAAATTTTTATGTACATGGTTCAACAGTTTCTATTTCTCCTAAAAGCTCCAATTAAAAGAAACTATTTTTCACTAGATGTGGAGGTGGCCAGTTGAAATTTTAATGATACACACGCACAGTTATTCCTTTTTTCATCATGTACATCAAATCAATGTTCAAGTCTCCAAGTCAACCTTGTTTTTAAAAAGTATGATTAAAAATGATAATTTGTTAATAACATATTGTTACATAAATGTCTCGTACTTTACCCCATCAAATTTTTTTGAGAGGGTATAAAAGCATTCATAAATTTCTCAACACTTCAGGTGGTCTCATGTAATTATTCTTTTTAATCATAATTGTCTGGTTTTCCCCTTGGGTTTTTTGTTTATTATTTTTTTTTTTAATTCTTTTATTTTTCCTTCGCCACTTTTTCTTCTTTACATTTCCTTTTCTCATTTTAGCTTGATTCAGTCTTATTAATGAATTGATACATCATTTTTTTTTCATTTTTTCCCCTTTTTTCCTGGAAACGGAAAGCGCTCCTTTTTTGGAGTTTCCTTTAAGAATCTTTTGAGGTTAATATCTTTATAACCCTGGGAATCTTTTTGCACCATTCCAACATTTTTAAATCAGATTCCAGTTGTTGCTGGAAAGAATTTGATGTGCAAAATCGTAATAATACATTTTAGATTGTACATACTTTTCCTGTCATAATCCATTCTTGAAACTAATGTTGGAATACCAACTTTACTCCTAAAATGTTATTTTAGAACTAAAGGAACAGAGAAAACAGTAGAAAAACTTCTTTTGTTTTTTCCCTTTAACCACTGTTTGATCCTGCCAGTTATTGTTTGTTTTTCTCTTTGTTTAAAATTTGTAAAACTTGTGCAATTTGATTGAATAGAGAACCATGCCACACAACACAACCATGTTTACAATATTAACCATTCAGTTACAGCCTTTTGTCTCTGTAAAATAAAACTATCTAATTTTAAAGGAATTTAGTTGTTGATGTTTTTCCCTTTTACAGTCAGAAATAAGTAGTTTTCATGTAATTATCTGTGAATAATGTGTTTTTTAAACACTGATTAATTGTATCGTAAATTCAGAAAATAAGACATCAATTTATCGGATTGCTATTTTAAGGATCGATCTCCCGGTTGCTTGCCAATTAGCTAATTAATCCATTGACTCTGTATCAATTTGTCAGTCCTGTGAAAGCTGGTCAATTAAGGCCTTACTGTATTAAAAAGCTCATGAATTTATTCGGTGGGGGAGCGAAAGAGAGAGGGGGGGACTAATGTTGCTGGTCAAAATCCGAAAACCCCAACTTTCTTTATCAAAAGCTGGTACCTCAAGAGGAATAGCAAGGTCATTTTCGAACTCAGCACCCAAAATATAGGGTATGGCTCACTTGTAGCATGTCTGAGAATTTTCCCTGCTTCCTCTGCTGGGAAAGTTCCTTTTCTTAGACGGCTTTATTTGCCCATTTACCTCCGCTTAAAACTTGCTCATCATGTCATGGGATGTAATATCAGTTCATAATCTTTACATCATTAGGGTAAAAGTGCAAAAGCGAGCATCAAATAACACGGATTGTCACAGTCAGTTTTTTTTTTTTTTTTTTTTTTTTTTTTTTTGGTACTTTTTCTACTCTTCGGGTTGTTTACTTTATGGGCAATAAAGTTTTGGATCCCCTTTGATAGTTCAAAGGTACCTATTCACTCACTACTCTTGCTCCTTTTTTAACGAAAGTATATAAACAGACTTGAATGAAATAATTGGTATTATAATTTTTCATAATTTCTCGGAAAAATATCGGCAGATTTTAGAGTGCTCATTCATTGGTTTAAGTACTTAAAGTAGGCAGTGAAAATCTCGCAAATTGAGGCATGAACCTTCATTTATCTCAATGTCGATGATGAGAAAATGTGTCACCGCGCTAGAGTGTTGCAGCGGAAATGATCATCTCCTGCCACCCAGTCGAGGCGATTTTCTCGAAGGCGCTCTGAGCAACTATTCTGCCACAGGAGTATTGCACAGTATCAGATGAAAATGAAGGCGCACAAACGTATGCAAATTGAGTGGTGTCGTTTACCACTGTGTAGAGTCCTGCTGATCCTACGATTTGCGGCTCCTGTTCGATCGATTTCTATGAAACTTTGTGTCTGGGGTTATGTTTTGACGGGAAACTTAAATTTCAACTCGAATTTTCGAAAATTCAAGATGGTGGATGTAGCCTAAAATGCTGTCTTGACACCTCCGAAAATTCGAAACCATTCAACTTTGCAATCGAGGTATCTATTCTTTTTCTACCTATAGGTTTTCAGTCCAAAATCAATGTAGGTATTCTCAACTAATTTAGATCTCGGTATCGCCGCCGTCTTCAACTTTTTTGTCTCGAAACGGCTTGCTTATTTTATTAGTGTATTGATTTTTTTTTTTTTATTTTTTCACTTGATTTTTCGGAGGATTATAGTGAAAGTTCAAAGTCTTTATATATCATCAAGGTAAAAGCGCAAAATCGAACTGATAATCACGCTGATAGTCAGTCGGTTTTTTTTTTTCGACGCTTTCTCAACTCTTCGGACCTGTTTAATCCATGGACTATGAAGTTTTGGATCCACTTATGATAAATTCTAATGTTCCTTTTAGAACAAAAGCATACAAATACACTTGAGTGGAACACGAACATTATAATTATTATAACTTCTCGGGAAAATATCAGCAGATTTTCGAGTGCTCATGTTTGTTTACGCACTTAAAATAGGCTGTGAAAAACTTGCAACGTCGCAAATTGAGGTATGAATGGTTTTAATATGGACGTCAATAATGAGAAAATTTACCCTGGTAAAAATTGGAGATAGGAGCTGCGCGCGTTTCAAAATACCATAGGAATTCCTATAGCCGGCTAAAGAAGGCAATAGAAACTCATATATCTGGCTGTAGAAAGCGGAGCAAATCATATAGCCGGGCTATACGAAGCGATAAAAAAGTATGCAGCTGGGCTATAGTTCCTATCGCCGGGCTTTACACTTTATCGCCATCGGCTATAAAAGGCTATAAAAAATTGTGTAGAAATTCGTGTGCTTTGGAAATCATTAAGTTTGATACGGAGCCAACATAATATTCACAAAACACACATTATATTTTCCTTTAATACATATTTTTTTTTCATCAATTAAAATGAGAATAATCCATACAGAATGTGCAAACATTTCAAAATCATGAGTTGAAAAAAGCTGACTCCGCAAGATTATATTGGAGCATAACACAGAGCGGAGCGGCGTGCTGCCAGTGATAAGCGCGCACCAGCGCCTACAAACCTAACTGGGATACTTCACGCATGGCGCAATGCGTGAAGTATCCCTGTTAGGTTTGTAGGCGCTTTTCGCGCTGGCTGCCCGCCCGCCGCGCCGCAGCGTGCCACGGCGCTTGAAGCAACTATTTCACACCAGAGGTATTGCACAGTATCATACGAATTGGAGGCGCTCCAACATATTAGGAATGGCAGGTATCCTTCAAAAGTACGGAGCTTTCCGCGCAAAATAAATCAAGATACTACGGCCCAAAAATAGAGCGGTAGTCCAAAAACTCACTAAGTCCTAGCATCCGTAAGTAACATGTAGCATACACTTTATCGCCTGGCTGTTGCTTAATCGCCATCGGCTATGAAAGGCTATAAGAAATTGTGCAGCCGGCTATAGAAGCTATTGAAAATCTTACAGCCGGCTTTAGGTCTATGATATTTTGGAACACAGATTCTACTGCCAATTTTTACCAGGGTAAGTACTTATCACTGCACACGTGCCAGAATGTGATTTAGGTGGAAATCGCGATATGCCATCAAGTCGAGGCGACGCGATACTCTCGAGGACGCTCTGAGCAACTATTCCGTCATAGAAGTATTACACAGTATCCGACAAAAATGAAGGCGCTTTAACGTATGCAAATTGATTGGTATGCCCAAAAATGCAATGGTGCAAACAGTTCATGATAGATCATGGAAGAGAAACCTTTCAAAGGATTTCAAGAGACTTACAATTAATTTTAAAATAGGATACTTAGCTTCTTTTTCTCTTCAGAAGATTTTTTTTCGTCTGGATGTTCGGACAAATTTGAAGCACTCAGGATCCGCGAGGAATGTTGTATGATGTGTTATAAAAGAGGGTTTTCTATGAGGGCAGGGTGGCAAGCAAAAGTTCCATACAAAATAGTGGATATTTTTAAAATACCTATCTATATCATTTAAAAGATTTAAAATACGTAAAGATGTAGCCTTTTTAGAAAAACCATATTAAAAAAATGAAACAATAAAAATAAGTATGCGTGAGGAGAAAAATACTTGAATCACAAAGTACCTACTTGTAAAGTATTTTAATATGCTCTCGACCAGAGGTGGATGATTTAATGAAATTTATTCGAATGAAATTTCACGAAATTTCATGAAATATATTGAAACTTCTGGGGATACATTCAGGAGGCTAAGAAACGAACGCCTAGAAACAATGATATTAAATTTTGAAATTTTTTTCCCCGCAAGCCTAAAACATTCGCGCGTTGCAAATGTTTTCATTCAGTTTAGAGGTTACGTTGGGGTTTTTCTCTCTAAACTCCCCTTTTTGCCCCCTCTATGTGCCTGGCACCTTCAGTAGAGTAAAACATAACACCGCAGCATCAACAGAAAGACCATCTGAAACGCTTTAAGATCTTCAGAGGTTCAATCAATAATAATTGAAATAGCCTCCATACACGCTGGGCTTGTGGATTTCCTTTGACATTTTTGCAGTGGTGAATGCATAGCTGAAAAGTGGTATTTTAAATTGTTAGTCTACATCGCTGCCAACCTTTTTTCTCATCAAAACATCAATTTTACGTTTTCCTTTACAAAATTCTCACGATGGTTATCATAGCCCCGTGGCCAACATAGCCCCGGTCTCCCCTAGTGTGCTCCAGCTAGAATTGTATTTAGCAAATGGGTGGTTTTTATACGAGGATTAAAAATAAACACGTGGTAGGAAATAAACATAATAATAAGAATTTTTCAAAACGATAATCCGAGTATCGGGACTTGGCTGTTTCAAAACGCCTTCAAATGCGGCGTGATACCTCACGCATTCCGGAGAGTTCAAATAGTTGTATCATTGCGCCGGTAGAATGTGACGGAAGATTAAAATGGAAATAGCTTCCATGCACGCTAGTCTTTTCGATTTCCTTTGACATTTTAGTAGTCGTGAATGCATAGCTAAAATGCGCTCCAGCCAGAAGTGTATTCAGCAAATGAGTCGTATTTTTAGGAGGATTGAAAACAAACAAATGGTATAGGAAATAAAACATAATAATAAGAACTTTGCAAAACGATAATCCGGGTATCGGAACTTGGCTGTCTTGAAAACGCCTTCAAATACGGCGTGATACCTCACGCGTTCCGGAGAGTTCAAATAGTTGTATCATTGCGCCGTAAGAATGTGACGGAAGATTAGGTACAATTGAAAAGGCCTCCATTACCGCTGGGCTTGTCGAATTCCTTTGACATTTTTGCAGTGGTGAATGCATAGCTGAAGTGCGCTCCAGCCATAATTGTATTTAGCAAATGGGTGGTTTTTATACGAGGATTAAAAATAAACAAGTGGTACGGAACAAAACAAAAGAATATGAACTATATAATGGACCGTAGGTTGATTTAAATTTCTGACCGAACTGTTTTCTAACGCTTCAGTCAAATAAAACACAAATTTATTGAGTAGCATTAGCTCGTAAAATCAGTCATTCTATTGATTTTGTGCTCCAATTTCTTGCGAAACTACAAACCTGATATCGGGACTTAGCTGTTTTGAAAACGCCTTTGAATGCAGCGTGATACCTCACGCATTCGGGAGAGTTCAAATAGTTGTACCATTGCGCCCTAGAAATGCGACGGCAGATTACAATTGAAATAGCCTTCATACAGTCTAGTCTTGTTGAGTTCCTTTGACATTTTAGTAGTCGTGAAAGCATAGCTAAAATGCGCTCCAGCCAGAAGTGTATTCAGCAAATGAGTAGTTTTGATAGGAGGATTGAAAACAAACAAATGGTAGGAAATAAAACATAATAATAAGAACCTTGCAAAACGATAATCCGGGTATCGGAACTTGGCTGTTTTGAAAACGCCTTCAAATGCGGCGTGATACCTCACGCATTCCGGAGAGCTTAAATAGTTGTATCATTGCGCCGTGAGAATGTGACGGAAGATTACAATTTATTCTAAAAAAAAAATTAATAAATTTCAACTTTTGTGAAATTTATTCGAGCCTCATGAAATTTCATGTGAAATTTCGCTTTCCATCTCTGCTCTCAACAACTCTGCAACCTTTTTCTATGATAAAAAGACCAATCCACAGTGTAAGTTCGCAACCACGTATCTCGTTTTGTGACGTTTCAGATTTCCTGTCTTACTTTATTTGTAAATGGAAAACTACCCGATTTTCTGTGCGAAGAAAATTCTGCGAAACCCTCTGGGAATAATGTCGATTTGTTCTCCTACTTTGCAGCTTACAAGACTGCATGAATACTTTCACCCATTGCGCCAAACACAGACAGTGCGGTCAGGAGCGGTTCGCGTGAAACGCATAGCGCCAACAAGACTGCAGGAATACTTCACGCATTGCGCCAAACACAGTGCGATCAGAGCGCGCGGCGCAGCGCAGCGGCGGAAGTTAAAATTATTGAACCACATTCATTCAAAATCATCCTTCATGCCATACGAATGCCATGCGATGAATGAATCATCCTTCATTCATTCATCCTTTCAAAATTTTTTGGTTCATTTCTTATAAATGGAGGACCTTGTCCACAGAGATAGGTTTACGGAACTTAACTTTCGCGCAAAGTTCCGTGACATTTTGCTAGTAGTGTTGACAGGAGTTTCGCAAAAAATGTATCCAGCAAGTAATCGCGTCTTATGCACCCCCCCCCTCCGGCACGTTTATTTGATGGTTTTTATTGATGTTTCAAAACGAACGAGGAGGGGGCAGCAAAATACAGGCGGCCCATTGGCGGCAAGTAGGTAAATCCGGCCCTGTCGCACGTATTTGAGTGACGCTTTTCCAAGTAAGTATTTTGCTATCAGCAATTTTCCTTTTTTGCCTGTTGAATCTCTTGATTTCTATGCTATGGCGCTAATGTGGATGATCAATATCCATTAGTTCACAGTGGTCTTAAAAGGGAAAAATGCGACACAAATGTACCGACGAACGGTTTGCAGNGGGGGGGGGGGGGGGATCCATAATCTATATCACGTATAGACTTAAAATCGCGGAAAATCAAAATCATTTGATTTTCCGCGATCTTAAGATTCAAGATCAAGATTTTGATTTTTTGCGATTTCCAGTTCTCCTTTCCATAGATTCACCCACTGCAACCCATTTTTGGATACATTTTTGTCGCATTTTGTTTTTTGTTTCAAGACCACATTGAGGCATTGCAATAATTAACGCAGACTCACGCATAATTTCAAGGAATGGATGTTTCTCTAACTATATCTATGGGTTAAAAATCAGTATCTACACGATGGGACAATCAAAATAAAGGACTGTCGTTCCATTATCTTCGAATCTTTTCAGAATCTACAAATGGCGAGAAAAGTAATAGTTTGGCCGGACCTTCATTAGCTCTTGATTAGGGGAAGAAACAAGGGCGTAGGTATCAGGGCCAGATTCGTAATCACTTTAACGAAGGATTATACTAACGTATAATACAAAAACTAATGAACATTGTAACATCGGTAAAAATGCGTAAAAATTTGAATAATATTTTTAAAAAAATATTTACTTGAATAAGTACACTTACGTAATGAATGAAACGTATTAAAAAATATAAATTAAAGGACAAAAGGGCAAAAAAACCAATTTTTGTTTATTGTAACGAATATATCAACACATTTACTAAATTAATCAAATTTAATTAATAAAATAAATGCAAAAAATAGGCTGTGATAAAAATGACAAGTAAGAATGTTTTGATTTTGCGGCAATATTAAGCTGAGTGTTTTTAGAATATGGTGGCAAATTGATAACATATGCAAATATTCACCATACCGCTCGCTAAGATCTGTAATTAAGTAAAGACTGAGGTCTTTCAAGGCTCATGCCTCGATCACAAAATTCAACTGTATGGCACTAAAATTGTTTATTTTTTCAATTAAAGATAGTAAAAATCCATGTGAACTCCGATTGTGACGTTGCTTATCTCCTCCCATGTTTTATTATTTTGAAAGGGTTTTTCTTCAAATTCCCTGTGAGTTTTTTTCTTTAATTCAAAAATATCTACCGAGAAATCCAAGGAGATAGGTATCCTCGTGAAAAATTGAACATAATTGGAGATTTTTTAAACGTTAAAAAAAGAGGAATGCACCCTTTTAGACTTTGGCTATCGAAAAAACACCAGCTCCCTTCCTATGGGTAGGTAGACTCTGTTCTTTGGCATTGTGCCAGGAATAAGTTGGGATTGCGCTGGACTGTTCTTCCTCAGCACGGCAGAATAGGTAACCCTCAAATTTACGTAATGGGAGACATTAGACAAGCCAATGTATTCGCATTGATTACAACTAAGCATTAAATCCAACTTCAGTCACACTGTCAACTTTTACCGATAGTTTTGCACCACCCGCAACACTCGTACACCTGTAAAATAAGGAGAATTTTAAAAAGCTGCCTCGATGCAGAATGATTTGACACAAAAAGGTATACATAATACTATCCTAAGTTGTAGTTTAACAATAAAAACACACTTAAAATAAAAATAAAAAAAAACAAATCGGTATACAAGGCTAGAGGAGACATAAAACAACCAGGACGTTTCGGGTCAATTACATGCCCATTCTCCATGCCCATTCGTTGTAGTTTACTTATATCATTTTTCTAATCACCCTAATGAGAATTTTGCCTGATTCAATCGCAAATTGTTTATGGCTTCAGAATAAGTGAAGAAAAAGGTGAATAAGTGAGGAGAAGAGTGAGAATTGAACATATATTTATGCTAAAAGGAACTTTTTCCATAAAAATTGCTTGCAACATAGTTCCTTTTAGCATAAATACGTTCAATTGGGACTGGGCACGGGAAAAGGGAACTTAGAGTGAATAAAATAAAATTTGAGATAAGTATATCGCTGCTCAGAGGGGACAATTCCATACCATTTGCTGGAAAGGCCACCCAAAAATTCCACAAATTGACTTTTCTAGAACGGTTCACAATTTGAGGTCGAAAAATTGCGATTTCGGGGGGCAAAAAGTAAAAAAAGAAAAACAACCAAGATGCGGAGCCGACGTCTGTTTTCAACGTCTAACTTTATTCTTTTCACACGCTTACAACTTTAACATAGTAATGCAAATTTTACATTGTAATATAGACATAATATTCTGAGAGTATATATTGGACACTGATTTTTTTATAAAAACCGAAAATCGACAATCTCAACCCAAATCGCGTTTTTTTTTTGCTCTCCTGGAAGATTTTCCTTTCGCTTAAGGTCCTATTTTCTTATGCTCGGTCACAATTTTTTTACATACAGGTTTCCATTCTCCCATGAAACTCCAACGTCCTTACGTTCAAAATTTCCACTCATTAATTTTTCGTGTAAATTTAATCTCTGATTATTTACGACCGTTTGTCTATACGATGTAAAATTACCAATATTACACTTTTTGAAAAAAAAAATATTTTGAAAAACTGTGAAAAACTACGAAACTGTGCGTTATGAGAGACAGTAAATTTTTAGGGATTTCCAAAAAATGTCTTAAACTTTGGAAATTATCAAGAAATTCCTAAGCTTTTGCAATCACATTAAGGCGGACTGTGACAAAGTATAGTGTAAAGATGTAGGAGAAACATAGATTATTCCCCAAGTAACTCACCGGCACATATGTTTATGATCAGGTACAGCAGTAAAGTAGGCACATTATGCTTGAATCCTCAACATCTTCTATTTAACGACACGTTTTCACCGCTCATGCGAAGTTGATGTTACCTCATTCTGAAACGAATACTCTCAATTAGGAAAACGCATGGAAGAAATTCGAAATTTGCAGTTATCTCAATTAATTGCAACATTTTAATTGACCAACAAAATGAGTTCTATGCATGATGAAGGAACAACTCGCAATTCAAAAAAAAATTGCAACATATTAATTTAACTTCAATTTTATTGCGATAAAATTCAATGAAAGGCGCCCCTTCAAATAGTAAAAAGGCAACATACACAACACTCCGATTCAGTCGTAATATTTTAGCATAACATCGTTCTTAATTACAACCTGTACTACTAGGCGGAAATTTTTCCGCAGTAAAGTTTTTTAGGTAGCATATTTTTGTGCCCGAAAGAACGTTTACAGAAGTGGCGCATCTTAAATTTTGAGAAACGCAAAAACAAGAAATAGCTTGAAAGACTGCTGCGCCGTAAGAAATCCGTTACTAGATTTGTACCTATGTATTTTCTGCTGTAATTCAGGTGTTATTGATGTAAAATGACGCATTGGCGGGTGAGTGTAACTGAAAAGTTGGTAAATGGATAAAAAGAATGGATAAATAAAACGTACATCGTACCTCTTGCGAGTGCTTGCGTTTTTGTAAGGACATTATGGAGAAACATCTTAACACGAGCCTCATAACGGTTATGCGTCAACTGGTCTCTTCGTGAACTCGTATCACATGTTGAGATTCAGACACATCATTACCTATACAGAAACAAATGAGATTCGGGGCTATTAAACACGTAAGTAAATAATGGTGGAATAAACATCATATTGTTACAGCATATCGATGGTGGAACTGCAGAGGTGTGTATCTCGGAAGACAAGATTTTTCAGGAGAGCGAAAAAACAGTGTGCACTCTTCCTTTTCGTCAATAAAAGGGATATAATCCTTGAGGGTAGCAAGAATTACATGCTTCTTCGAACTCTATCAGCATCTATACTGTAAGCTCTAATACCTCCTAAAATTAAATATTTGGTAACGCTTAGTTCCAGTTTTCTACGTGGCCGATTTTCATGATTTTTGCGGTTATCGACAAGCAATGGTCTCTAGATGAGCCCGCTATATACATATTTTGAAAATATGATACAGATTTTTTTATATTACTTGGTAAAGTTGCGTATTCTCCCATTTAAACAATGTAAATTTGTATTTTTTGTCACAGTTCGTTTGAGCGTTCTACTGAGCCGATTTCCATGACTTTTGCGGTTATCGACAGGTGATAGTCCTTAGACAAGCCCGTTGTAATCAGAATTTGAAAATAGGACCCAGGTTTTTTTTATATATAAGAGTAGACCAGGGAGCTTAGGACCATGAGCCGACCTGCGCCGCGCCGTTCGCAGCGCGCATGGCGCACGACCCGCGACCCGCCTTTCATTATTACACTTCATCTAGCATTGGGAGTTCACTTATTACTTCACACGACCAGTGTGTAATTTTTATAGTCGAAAATTGATAAAAAAATGTAAAAAAAAAAATTACACGATACACGAGTTTCTCTGCCAGAGAGCTCTTCCCGCTGGAAATCGGTCACTATCTACCTGCCGGGAGAGCCGCGGCGCGGCGTGCTGCCAACGCGAGCACTAACGCCTACAAACCTAAGGGGATACTTCACGCATTGCGCAATGCTTGAAGTATCCCCTTAGGTTTGTAGGCGTCAGTGCGCGTTTCAGAAATCAATTCTACGCAAAAAAAGAAGCCACCCTGTCCAAACCGAATGTAAATCGGACAATTTTTCAGTGATTGACAGAGTTTGAAACATTTTTTTCATGCTCTTTTCAAAAATTTCCCACGCCCAATGGAATTGCTGTATCAAACCAAACTCTCCGCCAAAAAAATTCTTAAACATTGCACTTTCGATAAAAAAATAAAAAAAATCTGCTGCACTCAAAATCTGGAGCACGCGGAGCCCTTCTTTTGAGACATTAAAATTCGTTATACCGAACATTTCCGAGGGGCGCTCATCGGGAGGGAGTAGTAAGTTTTAGACAAGAATTATTAATATTTTTTATGAAGCATAAGAAACCGTGTCCATGAAGAAGCAGTTAAGTAGAAAATCAACGCACCGCGGAAAAATAGCGTCCTCAGAAGTATCAAGGTCCGGCTCAAGTCATTGACACACCCCCCCCCCCCAAAAAAAGCTAATCCATTTGTTTTTCTACTTATCTGCTTCTTCATGGACACGGTTTCTTTTGCTTCATAAAAAAGATTAATAATTCTTGTCTAAAACTTACTACTCCCTCCCGATGAGCGCCCCTCGGAAATGTTCGGTATTACGAATTTTAATGTCGCAAAAGAAGGGCTCCGCGTGCTCCAGATTTCGAGTGCAGCAGATTTTTTTTTATTTTTCTATCGAAAGTGCAATGTTTAAGAATTTTTTTGGCGGAGAGTTTGGTTTGATACAGCAATTCCATTGGGCGTGGGAAATTTTTGAAAAGAGCATGAAAAAAATGTTTCAAACTCTGTCAATCACTGAAAAATTGTCCGATTTACATTCGGTTTGGACAGGGTGGCTTCTTTTTTGCGTAAAATTGATTTCTGAAATAAAAAATTAGGGGTGCCATTTGAAAAGTTCGACTTACGGGTGGGGCACCCCCGCCCCGCGCCCCTCCCGCGGTTTGGGAAAATGTCGAATACGCCAAAAGGTGTCCCCCTCGATATAAACGAACACGTCTTTTACCGTTTTTCGAAATTCCGACGCGTTCGGCAGATAATCAAGGTGGCTCGTTTTTCGTGAGACACCCTGTATAATAGAAAAGTATTGCGGAAATAGAATTTTAAGCTGATGCTTTTTAAGTACATACAAGTAGGTTGGAGTTGTTGCAGTTCGACGACTTGCTCGGATCCGTTCTCAGGCTCGATTGGCTCATCCACCTCGTTGATTCGTGGTAGTTCGACATCGACGCTCAGCTCGGCCACTCTGCCGGAGCCCCGCTCTCGATCTCTTCGTCTCGACGTCGGCAGAAGCTCCATCGATCTCAATGCTTTGCGATCCGTGTACACTTTCCGTATTGCAGTCTTGACCTGCGCTCGAGGAAAGTTGCACTTTTAGCTTTTAAATTAAAGATTATCAATGTAAAATAACCACTAATTAAGTACCATTCTGACGTGCTAAAGAAAAACGCCGGATGAACATTCGAGAGTTGCCAAATTTCTCTTGATGACACATGTATTTTTGACAATGTGTAATGTGTCTGCATATTATTCCTGGAAATTCTCAGATATTTTAGATTAAATTGCGGGAAAATATATATTTTCCCCCAAAAAATGTTTTTCGGTTTTTATTTATTTTCGCGGTCATTCGGTTTTCGGTTCATATTTAGGTTTCCCCCAAATTCGGTTTTTATCAAAGGAAATTCGGCAACGTCTGAAGGCTCATACGGCGTTCTTCCTTAGCACAGCAGCATTGAGAGGACCGTTAAGTTTTCATGGTATTTTCTTAAATCAGAGGTTAAACAAACAGGGTCTCGACCTTAGTCAACAGTTAGAAGAAGAAGAAGAAGAAGAAGAAGAAGAAGAAGAAGAAGAAGAATAAGAAGAATAAGAAGAAGAAGAAGAAGGAGGAGGAGAGGAAGAGAAGGAGTAGGAGAAGGAGAAGGAGAAGAAGAAGAATAAGCGGGAGAAGGAGATGAAGAAGAAAGAGGGAGAGAAAGGAGAAGAAAGAAAACTATGTTGCGTGATATCCCCAGGTATTTCAGAAACACAGAACGCTGAAATTCAGATTTTTCGAATTTGACGGGAACGTACTCCGCGTCGCATTTTGGAATAAAAATGAGTTGGAAACAATTTTGAATTCAACCAGAGTCGCAAATCTTCTGACACAATTCAATGTTGAGCAAAAATATTTTGAAAGTAAAAACAGTCGAGTCTGAGGGACAATTCAAAACTTCAAAACTTCTTTCTCAATTCAAACTCGATGTGACTTGGTGCGTTTCTGTGAGGGTTAAATTCTAAAAGCGCAAACCCCCATAGCGCAAATGAAGATCTGCGCAATTTTGACAAAATAACGAATGTGGAAAATTAAAGGGAAAAGGTTCATTTACTTACGCAATCATGCAAGAAGGGATGAGAAAAGAAACGAGAAGTATATTATTAATGGCATACCTCTCCATTGGTGAAGCAGTAGATGATGGCGACGAAGAACCCCTGGAAGGCGCAAAGAGGGTGAATTGTGTACGCCCAAAGCCCGAATAGCCAAACAGGACCATCGAGAGGAGGCCGTAATATAATTAACAGGTTGGGTATTCCCAGTAATGGCAGTAATACAAAAGCTGCTCTCAGTGCTTTCCTGGACAAATGAAATGCAAACCTCAGAGAATAGATTTATCAAATATCTGTGTTTCCAGGCCTGGGTGCAAATAAGGGGCTTGGAGGACAAGGCGCATAAGTGCAGTTTTTGAGAAAACTGAGATATTAATGATTTTAAGTAAAACTAGTCTTAATGCACATTCTGTGAACAGTCGCTCTAAAATTCCAATTTTTATGCATAAAAAAGCTAATTTGAATTATCTTTCCGCCATAAGGATCCATGTAATTTAGAAACTTCAAATACGTATTTCGCGAAACAGAAAAAACTGCACTTATGCGCCTTGTCCTCCAAACCCCTCTAATCTGGTCGTGCCAAAGAACTGAAGACGCTTTGTAATTTTGGATCATCGTAGTGCAGCTCGTCGTTTGGTGCCTGGAAAGTCAAAACGCCTTCAATTTCGTGGGTATGCAACATGGACATCCGTGGAGCCCGAATAGTTGCATCCAGGCGTTATGAAGTAATTCGTTGAATGTTTGTCGCATGCTATACGAACTGAGGACGCTTAGCTTGTTTTTAATTCCAGCGTTTCTATTGTGCTCTATTACAGATTCGTACCGTGACATCGTCATTTTTGTTAAAAATGTTTTCATTGGTTAAGAACGACAAACACGGCAACGTCTTTTCGTGGACACTTCAGAAAAAAGTACATCCCACCCATTATATTGACGGGGTGAAACTTCCAAACCACGAATCTAGTTTGCGGTGTTTAAAAATCTCCGCTTCTATTTCATTTTTTTTTAAGGAGAATAAACTAACATCATTTTTTGACATTTTTTCTGCAGAATTTGCTTCGGAGAAGAAAAATAAATCACAGAAATTCTTAAGAATTGACGTTAAGTATTTTTCCATTCATAAAAAAAAAAAAAATATGACAAAAAGTCTGAAACGTCGCAAAACCAAGATACGTGGTTTGAGAGTTTCGCCGTAGAAACGTTGTTTGTTATAAAAAAAATTTCCACTGAAAAAAAAAAGTTCAGTCGCGTGTACCAATATTCCATATCATCCCAACTAATTTGGTTCGTCAAACATAATTTTCGGTTTGTGTAACCAAACTTGTGCGGTAAAGAGAACTGGCGAACTAAGTTTGATCGTATGTGCCTAACGTTCGGTTGGACCGAAAGTTCAGTTTGACAAATCAAATATTTGAGATGATATGGAACACGATCGTTCGATTCACATGACCGATTTTTTTTTTTTTTTTCAGTGTGGAAGTTTTCGAAATGTTCACCATGTTCTGCCATGTGCGTGATATTTTGATGAGGTAACATATGCGGGTCGACCTCAATTACATACTTTGTCTAGAGGTCCATTACAAGCTTGCAGTTAGCCTGCATTCGTTTCAAACCCCAAATTTATCATTTCATCAGCTGTACAGAAATGCTCTTCTTGGATGTGCCAAATACATCTGACTAGTCTTCTTTATACTTAAATACTTAAATTTCGTAGAGTACTTACCAAAGAAGCGCAGTTGTTGAATTAGGCCTTAGTTTTAACACTAATATGTACATTATGCGAAGTAAGTAGAAAAAATTTAGCTGGAACAGAATAATTCATTTTTGATGTATTAGAAGCAAATAAAAGTTATGTTAAACGCGTATAAGAAAGATTCTATACATGAGGGACAATTCATCAGGGCTAAAGGTAGGATTGAAAACGAGAGTAAGAAACAAAATTGGGGAGAAGGAGGGGCGAATGCCTTTAAACATCGAGTATAAAGATAGGGGGTGAATGGTTAGAAAATCTACACAGGGAAAATTGAATTATAGGGTGAACAACATTTTGTGCGGCATTACTTTTTGTTATAAGATGTTTAATGTCTACATTTTTCAAAAAAATCTGATGGAAGTAACCATTGTCGCAAAAAAATATATACATAGGGCTTATGCCTCCTGACCGCTTCGCAGTCCAACCCCCAGGGTGCTTCTCGCCCCCGGAACTCATGCGTTCGACGTTACTATTATGGTTTTATAATGTATGCTAAGGAGAGAGATGAAGGAGATAAAGGAGTATAAAGTTTGTTACTCCTGGTAAGAAAAAAGAGTTCAAAGTTGCAACATATTAACAGCATTTCATCGCAAAGAGGCAAATATTGCAGTATTAAAGTCATATCGGATTGGTGAAATATTAATGACTCATGTAAAAAATGTGTTACTCCGATTGCAACGTTGCTAGTTTCCGCTGATGTTTTATTTTTTTAAATAGAACTGAAAAAGATCGTCTTGCATTTTAAAATCGTCCTCTCCAAAAATGTTCACAGAAAATTTCACGAAAATATTTTAGTTAGATTTCCAAGATGGAATAAAATATAATCCGAGCTTTTGTAACGTCACAATGGAAATACACGGCTCTCAATTTTAACCATCAATAAACTTGCTCGATTAGAAGAGGAAAAAAGAAATAAAAAAAGAAAGGAAAGCGTTCTTAGGTATGAACTCTACTTACGACAACAACCCCGAGCCTTGGACCTTCGAGAATCCAGAAGTACGGTGCAGAATTATATCCCCACCAACAAAAAGCTGGTTCATAGTGCGAAACCATGAGGGCTCCCCAACCGAACGTCAAAATTATCGGAAAGCCCCATCCTATGAGCTTGTACGTTCTGTAAGGTGAATTTCCTTGGAATATTGTCACTGAAACAAAATCATTCAAAAATCGTCAAAATTCAAAAGGAGAACATCGCCAAAACCAACGTAGCATAAAATTTTATTGACATGATGAAAATTACACTAAAATTCCTGAAATATCTAGTGCCGATCTTAATCAAAAGAGGGGGGGGGGAGGGAAGAAGAGGAGAGGGAGAAGCATGTCGGACAGCCCGATGGAAAAGAAATCACAAACACTACGAAACCTCGAGCGAGCTTTAGTGCAAAGCCCATGCAGAACAATCTGTTATTCACTATATACAGCTAGTATTTTCAGCAAACCCACCGCATGGCACTGAGCTTTACATCCAAGTGTCCTAAAAACGGAAGCCCAATCTTGACGTATGAGTTCCAGAGGGGATTTTACGCACAAACTCAACCGAAAAAAATAGCGAATAAACCGAAAAAGTTAGTTGAGTTAATCTGTATCATGCTCGTGCAGCTATAATTGAGGCAAAAAATTGAGAGGGAGGTTTCTTCAGGAATCGACTAATGTAAGGTATTTTAGGCCCTTTAATACATTTCTTCTTCTTCTAATTATTTTACTTTTTTTTCTTCTTCTTCTTCTTCTTCTTCTACTTCTCTCCTCTTTCTTGCGTTAATTTATGCGATTCTTTTTTTTTCGATTTAGTGCCAGGGCCGAATTTAGGGGGTGGCCACATGGGCCCCGGCCCATGGCGGCAAATTTAAGGAGGCGACAACTTTTGCAATTTTTTTAAATGTAGGTATAAAAAAAATCGGATTCAGAAAAAAAATTATTAAGAGAGAAGACGACAAAATCTCTCATTTCCTGAAAGTATAGCAATTTCTAAATTTGCGGTCTTTCAGCGATGCAAGAAGCAGCACCTTTAATTAGTGGAGTTAAGAGAGAAACCAAACACCCAATTTGGCCTGGAACGGCGCGGCGCTGAGAGCAATGATGACGAGGACTTAAGATGAAAAGGAGAAGCCCTCGGCGTGGCGGTCAGCGTAAGACACATATTAGCGCCTACACTACTGCATGAATACTTCACGCATTGCGTCAAACACTGTGCGGTCAGCAGCGGTCGGCGGGAGACGCATAGCGCCTACAAGACTGCATGAATACTTCACGCATTGCGCCAAATACAGTGCGGTCAGCGCGGCGCGGCGGCGGAAGTTAAAATTATTAAATCACATTTATGTTCGTTCTTTCATAATTTTTTCGCTCAGTACTTAGAAATGGAAGGCCTTGTCCTCACAGAGATAGGTTTACGGTACTTAACTTTCGCGCAAAGTTCCGTGAACTTTTGCTAGTAGTGTTGACAGGGCTTTTGCAAAAAATGTGTCCAACACGAGTAAATGTGTCTTATGCACCCAGTCCCTCTCCGGCACGTTTACTTGATGGGTTTTTATTGAAGTTTCAGAACGAATGAGAAGGGAGCAGCAAAATACAGGCGGCCCATGGGCGGCAAGTAGGTAAATCCGGCTCTGTTTAGTTGCAATTATTTTTTTTTTTTTTACCGCGCAAACGAGACATTCATGGTCAAGTCTAAACAACTTCACTGCTGTAACATACCTGTGAGAGTACTTCGCAGATAGTGACCTTCAATAAACATCCACATGAACATAGTTGATCGTGCGTATTCTAATAGTATGTACGCTGTTTCACAAAGTATTGGCTGTAACAGAGAAAAGAGGGCACGTTAATTTCAATCCCGTTTGAATCCAAAGTCGTGTTGACAGCCCTCTAAAAGATCTTAAAGAGGAAATCAATGTTTAAGCCTTTTAATATTAACTCAACTTTCAAACTGATTCTCGTGAGACTGCCTCGATGGATCCCTGCCTGCTTACGGAACACTTATTATTTATTTAGAGATTGAATGTGATTCGTGGAGCTCAAGTCTAAGGATAACAACGTTGTCATTCGTCTCTTGTTTGTATTGTACCATTCGTTTTATATTCAATCGAAGGTCTCTGAGATGAACACACACAAAAAAAATACTGAAGTTAGAGGACGCTTAATAGCACCTGTTAACCACTTGTGCAAGCAGAGACAATCGTGAGACTTCACAGTCCGGTGCGTGAAAATCAAATAGATGATTTAATCAACCTCATCTGAGAATATAAAGTTGTTTAGGTTACTCTGGCATCTTATCGATTATTCTTGTTCATGGGTATGGACAGCTCAGCAGATCTAGTCAACAATCAGTTACATTTCTTCATAAGAGCATGACTGCATTTTTTATCCAAAATTTTGCTGATTAGCAGTGAGTTTAACCGGTAGGAAAGTAAGTTAAATTTTCGAATAGAAACGATCAAAGGAATCCTACTGAAAATAATATTTACAAGGGGACATTTTGCAATGGCAAAGAGAAGTCTCATTCTTACACCTGATAAACTACGAAATATGCGCGCAGTGTTAGACAATTGTGATAAATATATCTAACTAAGTAATCCTGATGTCATTCATGTCGTTTCCTCTGAGTAGGATTAGAGTAAAGCGAAAAAAGCCTGGCATGGAAGGAAAATCGGTAGGGGGAATGAAAGAAGACGCATTGAGACTGCTAACTCTCATTCTACCGCCCTACGAAAGTAGGCTGTAAGAACCTTGTAGCGTTGCCAACATTTTCTTAAGTAAAAGATGAATTTTCTGGGGAAGTTATAAATAATTTTCTGCTGGATATATGGTTATGGATTATGGTTCGAATCAAGCCGTATGATCCTAATTTCAGTAGAATTTAATGCTAGGATTATTGATCCCTGAAGTGGTGATTTTACATGAACCTTGGGGAGTCACACATGTAAAAATATGGGAAAAATATTGTGTCTATATAATAATATGAGGGAGAACAGTGCTTATACTATATTAAAATCCCCTTTCTAGGGGTTGCCCTATATAATAAGAATATCAAAAACTTACACCTTTTTTTTAAAACAAAATAAAACATTTTTAGTTTAAATCAAGTAATCCAAAATACAATGGTACAAAAATACTATAGGATAACTCTAAGATGAAAATTACTAAACCCACGTTGTGTTTTAAATTTAGCACACCTCGATTAATGCATTAATGTTGTTTGCAATTTTATCTGAAGTATCTGAGAATTTGAAAGAAAAATATTCATAGGCAACTTTTCTCAACAGTAAATATATTATTGAGGGAAATTTGGCAACGGCCGAATGTTCATACAGCGTTTTGTCTCAGTCAAGTCCCTCAATTACTGGACTACGCTTTCTGGCTCATCGATACAAACGCGTATCTGCCCGAGAAAGCTAATGGAAGTTATTTTGTTTTTAAAATGAGTCAGAAATCGTAAATCCAAATTTCAAAATGTAGTCTGATTGTGATATGCATACGTTCCAGTGGCGAATTGAAGCTATGGTCAAGGCTCGATTATTAAAGTGTTTTTTGCGGACACACCATTTATCGATCCTTTTCCATAGGTTTAAATAGCAGATTAATCGATGTATCGCAAAGCAAATCACGCCTCCGATACGTTCCAATTCTAGCTCCGCCGGTTTCGCCTATATTGTTGCCAAAATCCTCTCAAACTAAACTCACAACCAATCTGAAGATGATCCACATATAGCATCGCTCCAGTAAAAAAATTTGGCACATTTTGAGTTTTCGCCGAGGGGGAAGGGGGGGGGGGACAAGGCTGTAAGCCTCTGCACCTGCATGAGCTTTGAGAATCATTCGTGTAGAAAAAAAACTAAATTCGAAGAAATAAGAACATCATTTTGAGACGGAGCAAACGATGAATTTGATTCAAAGTTCGATTAATGCGTATCTATTAATGTGATACTTTAGTCGTGTAGCCCAACTCCGTTTCTTTTGCCCTCAGCCATCCTTCAATTTTTCATTCATCGCGAATGATTCTCCAAACTCATGTTCGGGGGAAATTGTGTGTTTTTTTTTTTTTTTTTTTTTTTTTTTTTTTTTTTTTTTTTTTAATCTCGGTTGAAGGGTCAACATCTGCCACGATTTTTTATAAGTTAAAAGATACATCGCATATTACTTCGACCACACCCGTGACAAATCAGCATAAAGCATCATTTAGAGGGAAATTTGGTGACAATGCTGGTCTAACACCTATCAAACCGATCTCAAAATCGCTTCTCGACTTCGCTGCTGTGCCAATATGCATAACCGCCTAACTCCAATGTGAACCCTACGCAGATACGCTGTTTTTGCTGAGTACGGTGCAACTCCTCTCGAGGCCCGAACCGCGACGCGACCCTCCGATTGGTCAAGTGAAGTGCAAAAATCAAAGTCATCTTTCCTTTTATCCCTTCGTCCTTTTCTCCAGAAGTTTAATAATCGTGCGAGGACAAGCCGTTAGAAAATACTGTCTAGTGCCTTTCTCCTGCTCATTGTCAGCTACAAAATTTTGTCCGTGCTTTCCCTATCATTCACTGTCTTCGACTTTTTTCCATCATAATATCCTCGTTACTGGCAATATTTGACTTGCTGCTGAGTGTTGGTTTCTTCAACGATCGGACGCTCCCATCTTCTTCTTTTCGGCATTGCCTCTGCTTCAACTGCACTGAGAAAGAATACTTCGGTCCATATTTAACACCAAATTTTCTTGGTCCTGATAACCGAAGTTTTTGATCATAGGAACTGAATTTTTGGAGAACGAAAGCCTCAGTTATCTGAAACGAAAAGTTTGGTGTTCAATTGTGCCGAACTTTTGTTCTTAGAGTGCATATGAGGCCTTATCTGTAACAATGGCGGATGTAAAAAATTACCTTTTCGAAACACGCTTAAAAAACTGTTTTGGTCACACAAAAATTTAATATGTTTGCCTCTGGCGTAATGTAAAGATCTCGACGCTCATATCACAAGTATTTTCTCAAAATTTTCTCGGTGCCAAAACAGTTTTTTGAACGTGGTTCAAAACGGTAATTTTTCACATCCGCTATTGTTACATATAAGTCCTCATATGTGTGAACCATGAAATGCATAAGGGTATGCACTGCAATCAGTGTGTGGTATAGGGTCAAACAGCCAAACAGCAGGGCGTGCTGTATTGGCTAAAATATGTTTTTCACCTCCGTAAGGTTTTTCTGAAACCACCACCATTCAGAACTTTGGGATGTCAATGAGGTAAATCATCGTATTTTTAAAATTTTGGCTACGGTTATTGACCAAGCCTCATAAAAAATGTCGGCTTCCTGTAATCCTTGGTAAAAATTGGCAGTAGAATTTGTGTTCCATAATACCATAGACCTACAGCCGGCTGTAATATTTCCAATAGCTTCTATAGCCGGCTACACAATTTCTTATAGACTTTTATAGCCGATGGCTACCAGGCAACAGCCAGGCGATAAAGTTTACGCTAAACGTTACTAATTACGGAAGCTAGGACCTAGTGAGTTTTTGGAATACTGCTCTATTTTTGGGCCGTAGTATCTTGATTTATTTTGCGAGGAAAGCTCCGTACTTTTGATGGATGCCTGCCATTATTAATATATTAGAGCGCCTTTAGTTTCGTATGATACTGTGCAATACCTCTGGTGTGAAATAGTTGCTTCAAGCGCCGTGGCACGTTGCAGTGCGGCAGGCGGGCAGCCAGCGCAAAACGCGCATTGGCGCCTACAAACCTAACAGGGATACTTCACGCATTGCGCCATGCGCGAAGTATCCCAGTTAGGTTTGTAGGCGCTGGTGCGCGCTTATCGCTGGCAGCACGCCGCTCCGCTCTGTGTTAGGCTCTAATATTTAATCCGGCGGAGTCAGCGTTATTCAACTCATGATTTTGAAATGTTTGCACATCCTGTATGGATTATTCTCATTTTAATTGATGAAAAAAATGTATTAAAGGAAAATATAATGTTTTGTAAATATTAAGGTGGTTCCGTAACAAACTTAATGATTTCCAAAGCACACGAATTTCTGCACAATTTCTTATAGCCTTTCATAATCCATGGCGAAAAAGCAACAGCCAGGCGATAAAGTGTAAAGCCCGGCGATAGGAACTATAGCCCGGCTGCATAATTTTTTACCGCTTCGTATAGCCTGGCTGTATGATTTTCTCCGCATTCTACAGCCAGCTATATGATTTTCTGTAGCCTTCTTTAGCCAGCTATAAGAATTCCTATGGTATTTTGAAACGCAGCTCTTATCGCCAATTTTTACACGGGATGTCTACCGGTGAATAAATATGGCCACATAAACATCAAAATCTCAGGTTAAAGCGGGATTTCAGCGGGTCTTATGTGTAATAAAGTAGGGCCCTTTGGGACACATAAAATACCTCTTCAAGTTATGACTTCGATGGTTATTAAATTATGAATGGATTCTGCGCTGAAATTTAGGGGAATATCTTCAATGGTAATTTTTAATAAAAAATCGTTGCGAAAATTTAAAAGAAAAAAACCCGGCTTTTTTTATAATTACACCTCTTACAGAGAGGAGAGGAGACGACTTCATAGAGGTGAGACAAAAATATTGGCAGAAAAGGGAATCGTTTCGCACATGACAGGAGTTAGTGGAGCTTTCTTACGTTACAATACGTCTGATAGATTTTAAAGTGATATTTTATTGGAAATAACATAGCTGTTGTCGCTCTACGACAAAAATCGTGTTTATTAAGGTAGGGTTAATTTATCCCCATTTTAGTGGGATCATTCATTTGAGTTATATCAGATTGGTAAAGTAGTGGGGAAAACTCTATTTTGAAAATGAATCGATCTCTGTTAGATCTAAATGGGCGTAAGTAAGTCCAAATAACCTCATGAGCCCTGGCTCTCGTTAATTACACCTACCACTAAGGTTCATGAGTTTTTGGAGTTACGCCTGTTTAACAGAAACCGATTCAAATTTGGTCGTTACTGCTCTCTTCAGTCGCACGGCGGAATCACTCTCCATTTTTAAGTTGTGACGCAACTCTTTTGATCTCGAATCCAATTTTCATTTCACGCCCGTCAACACCTAGATGAAGACGAACATCGTTTGTTACCCAACGTTTGTTTTCCAAACCCAATCCAGAGAGAATGAATGCAAAAGAAGGAATGAAAAACGACGTTAAATTATTATTGTGTCTTGACAATATTTTCCTCGCGAAAAAGCTCGCAATATTTCAATGTAATAACAGCAATGACTTCTCGGTAGCACTTGGTGAGGACACTCTATTTTGCATCGGAACCTTTTCGTATCTCCCTCGAAGGAAGGGGATTGGATTAGTTCAATGTTACGTTTAAGTTATGTGTATGCGAATGGTTGCAATGGTTGAGAAAGTAAATCTTTCGACAATGAAGGGAGCTCTCGTTATGCGCAACGCATCATATCCACGCTTCGTGTGGAAGACCAGCGAAAAAGAGCGGAGCAGTGAGATGTACCATTTTCTAATCTTACCGTATTGTAAATACCATTTGTCATGTTGCTAACGTTGTTGTCCGACAGGTTTTTCTGATCGTAAAAGATGAGTAAGCGGAGAGAGCACTGCAGTAGCATTGCCTTGAACAAGTTGAAGTGTATTTTGGTGCGCTCATTGCGAAGAATTCTGAAAAAAAAGAGAGACAAAAGTATTCTTATTGGTTCAGTATCGAAATTTATTTTACCCAGTAATGCATGAAACTTAATAAGAATAAAGATATTATAAGACTTATACAATGGTATTCATTTCATGATTCTCGATGAGAGAAATAAAGAAATACTAGTTTCATCAAGTTTTCTACGGTTATCAGAACAAATATGAGTTTGTAAAAGAAAAGTATATACTCATTGAATGCTAAATTTCAAAGATGGATCGCCAGGGGAAAAAACTAACTTTCAAAATTTTACAAAATTACATTGATCATAAACGTGCATGAGAATTTGATAAATTTTCTAAAAGAGGAAATAGGAAATTGCCTTTTACTCAGAAAATATGTCAAATCTTCATACTTCTCTCCCGTAAATGCGTCCGATTCAATGCTGAGGATGAGTCATATGACTCACGGAAATGTATCAGCAAAATAGGACTAAGTCCATGCTGCTGAGAGAACGAATGCCGAACGAGCCGTCAGATCTTGCCATAGTTCCGTCAATAAAACCAAATTTACAGGACAAATCGTGAATATTTTCTTCAATTTTTCAGAAAATTTGTCTCAAAATTTTATGGAAAAATCCGCATGATTTTCCTCCAAAATACATATTTTATCTGAGGAACTTCGGCAACTCTCGAATGCTCATACGGCGTTCTTCCTTAGCACGGCAGCATAAAGATGGAACACTATGCAGTAAAAAGACCTCAACTGCTGACCTTAGAAATAAATTAATCAGGACGATGTCTTTGGCAACAGCGGTCGTTAAGATGGCATTTCCAGCCTTAGATATAGTCAAGTTAGTTTTATCCACGCACAAGCTCTTTCCATTATACCTTTCGTGTCACAGTCTTTGTGCTAACACATCTGCTCGGCTTTCACCTTCAAACAGCTCAAGATGATCTAATTTCATGAGTTTAAGCTGGAGAATTCCGCCACTACCCTTTGCGGAACGTATATTACCTACTCCTGGTGACGACGTGTTTCAATTATACCCTGGACTTGAGGTACAATACCAGTAATGCTAGCAGTAGGCATGGACGTTTCATTCCAGAGAGGAGGTAAAATTGAGTCTCGAATCTTTCGAGCGTAAAACATGATTTTGGATGATATGGAATTTGTCAGGCCAGGTTAGGCTAAAGATGTGTGCTGCTGTAAGCCTCCTTGAAATATGCTAGTGAATTTATCCCACGCTTCAAAATGTTCATTCAACGGGAGACAAAAAAATAACAAATTAATTAGACTTTAAGCGGTTTAATTGGATATATACTGTTAATATTTACGTTCTATTTATACAGTTATATTGAAAACTTACCTAAAAAACATGAAAACAAGGCAGGAAACAAGTAATGTCATGAATGACATTGAAAAGCCAGCAATTTCAATGAACCGAACGTTTTTCGCGATGCTGATTTTTGCCTGGAAAAAAGAACTTCCGATCAGGTAAAGTTAAATGCCACGCAATACTCGCATACGCATACTCCTGTTTGATCTCATTCTATTGGTTTCTTAATCTGGAGGGCTAAGTGCGTGAATGCAGTGAGTGAGCTTTTGTGATTTTGAGAGAAGCGGGTTTTTACAATAACATTTCATCTTTTACAAGGGTAATTTTGAGTCTTAGCTTTGTCACCAAAGTAATCAACGCCGTAATCATATACTCTCCAAAAATGTCTCTTAACATGGTCATGCGTTGTTTCTTTAAATTATATTCCTTCAAGTTATATTTAATTATTCAAATTTTTTAGAGTGCTCAGTTTAGTCCCCTTCAAATCTAAGGTCAGGCAAAAATTACCACTAGAGTGTTTTAGACAACTTCTCTTGTTTCCTCTTTCATCGAATAATTTTCTACGAAAAAAACGCGTTGCCACTCTTGTTTCCCTTCCTTCATTTTTAAAATTCTTGCCATCCTGCGACAATACGGATCAAAGCTACGAGCCACGCCTCACTGAATTATCTTAAATACATGCATACACAACCTCGCCCCGGTGCGCCTTCAAATCTTGGCAACACTCTCCGCCTTGCAAGACGGTTAGTTTAGTTGCCTATCCGAACAAACCCAACTAGGGTCAGGGCCTTTACTACAGATCTCTTGCTAGTAGCTGGCGTCGTACATTCAATAAGAAAATCAGGTCTCTTTGAGTACCAAGCATAAAAATCTATCTTCCTATTACTTTCTGCTATTTCTTTACTTCCAGCTGAATTTTTATATTCCTGATTCAACATAAATAAGTTGTAATTTGTCAGAGACTGCTAATTACCTACTACTTACACTGATAAATGAAAGACGTCCTTGACCACAGATTAGAGAAAAAATATTCTCATTCCTCGATTTTAAAACTTCAAAATCTTAATTAGAATTATTTCCTCTGGTCCGCGACTAAATATAAAGTCTTCAGTGAATTTTTGTATTTTATGTTTTTTGTATTTTTATTTGTGTTGAACATTGCAAGTGGTCAACCGAGGTTTCTCGGTTCTTTTTCCTTTCATTTCAGTCTTGTTTCTCGTTATCGCAATTTTATTTCATTCTAATTATATTGTCCGTATCATGGGCTGCGCGTAAAACTTTTTGTTTCTTAACTCTTCAGTCTTCACCTCTCTTAATTTAAAAATCTAAATTTTCGTGTATACTCCCATTTTCAAAATTATCTGTAAAGACGTTTATAGCCTGAGACGCTGAATGTCTTAAAATTATACTAACTGACTAACTAATTGTACCTTATACAATCACCTTGCTGTGCGATGTAGAATATCTACAGGAAAAATACTAATTTACATAAAAGAGTACCTACCATCAATTGCATTTCTCACCTTAGCCGAATCGATGCCCCCCGCATGTAATTGCTTGATAAGGAGATCCATTTCAGGCGATAAACAAAGAGAGTAGTTTGTCCAACCGTTGGGATTTTCATAGGTTCCCGGTTTTTCGCTTTCCCATTTTCCATCTTTAGAACAGGTACGAAAGAACACATCTGCAACAAATTATAATTATTTAAATAAAATTATTTATATTTATCAGAGCTCACCATTATGATCGCCGTTTTTTCCTCCTAATTTCCGAGAATTAATAAAACGAATTTACAGTTTGACTATGCCCGTTTCAGAAGTCATTGTCCTCCATCAGTAGATCATAAAGGTTAAAATACCACCAGATGGAATGTGCTATCGCGCACAGTAAAAAATAAAGAAAAATTCAAAGAACTAAAATAGATCAACTAAAACAAATTTACAGAAAAATGGAACAGGTATGACGAAAAATGAAATTTACAGTTAGGAGCGCTGACTCGAAATATAATTAAAGACTCAAAAAGTGAAATTACATCCTGGCAAAAATCAATGATCAAGGACTGGATCAACACGCGCACGAGTAAAAAATATGACTTTCTCATCGTCTCAGAGTTGACAAGACCTTTAAACGCAGCAGTGAATGAGGGGAAATACTTTATTCTTTTATTCTGAAGCTAAGGTCCCTTAATCGCAACGACTATTGACTCTCCAGCAACACACGACGCCACACTAAAAGCCTCGATAGGGTTTAAATTCGAGGGGAGATCGATGTTTTCTTAAACGAGGGTGAGTTTTAAAAGAGATCCTGAACATCAGGAAGACGAATCTGGCTCCTGTGCTCTCCATCCTCAAATATTCCAGTTCTTTTGCAGCAATAGTCTCTAACGAAGGAGAAAAATGAGCATCAATGGTAAACCTTGTCTCCGCAGCGTATTTTTGAGTGAAACACTTTCTCTTATTGACGTATGATTGAGCGGTCAACTCCTTCTCGATATCCGATCGGTTTTTCAGGTTGCCGATTCTGAACGCAACTTATTCATGTCTTGGTGGTGTTACCTCTGTTACTTATATACGCATATCTCTGTTGATTCTTTTTAATATCATACCGTCAGAAATCCAGGTCTCTTGTTCAGTAGGTGGTAAAAACGAACAAGGGTCCACCGGTCAATCAGTTGTCAAAATATGGCACGAAGATCAGACGTGAGGAAGGTCGTTTTCATATGCTGCTCTGCTGAAGAAGGGCACAGAGTCGATGAAGAATACTGCCGTGCTAAACAAGAACGTCGTGGGAACCTTCAGTCGTTGCCAAATTTCCTTTGATAAAACACAAATTTCCAACTAAAGTTTATGAATATTTTCCTTCCTATTTTTCAGGTAATTTTTGTCGCAATTTCACTTAAAGTTCCTTAAAATTTCAAGGATAAACATACATAACTTTCTTCAAAAACAAACGTTTTATCAAAGGAAATATGACAACTCTCGAATGTTCATACTGCGTTCTTCCTTAGCCAGGCAGAATAGGCTTTTAGAGAAAATCGACTGTGCCCTTGACCCGATTACATGACGTCTTGTGGATCGATCTCATATTTCCGAAACAAAGGGGCTCCTTTTTGCGATTGTTTGGGGATTTTTTTTCACTTTATTTTTTTAATTATTGTATATATTATTATTTTTACAACGTCCATCCGTTAGAATGACTAAAAATGACATCTAAGAGAAGAAAGAAGAAAAGACTTACTTGTGGGATCAATCCCAGGAAATGAACGATGTAAAATTCCACAAGATTTAATGACTGTCGTCCCTGCAGGTACTGGTGGCCAACAAAGTTCGCCATCGAAAGCAATTTTGCACCAAACGGCTATGAAACGAGATGAAAAATTCCATTGCAATTAAAATAATTTCTCTTGAAAAAAAACAAGGCTCAGGAAAGGAGCACTGAAAAAAACTGCTAAAATCAACACATGAAATAGTGAAAAAAGGTGACAAACTCATCAAAATAGATTAAGAACACCGGGTTGATTTTACTAATTTGGTGATTTGTCACCGTATTTTAGCAATTTTTTTTTCAGTGAGGAAAATTAATTTCATCGGGTTTTACGTGCGTCATCAATATAGCCATTCGTGAGGCCATGCAAAACTAGTATTTTCTTGCTCTAGTCGATAAACGATCGCCATCAAGTAATACCACTTATATCGAAATGCGACGTTGAAGATTGTTCAAAATATTGGTTTGAGTGCGAAACCACGTATGTCCATTACTGAGTTTCAAAATTTCCACTGTATACTATGTTATTTTTTCAAGAGAAACGTGCCAACTTTATAGCTTGAAATTTATACAGGATACTCTGTCAACGGAGAAGAAAAATCAAGGAAGTTTTCAATATATTATGTTGACTAGTTTTCCATAGAAAAAAAAACAAGTATATGACAGGAAGTCTGCAACGTCGCCAATTGAGAAACACGGATTCGTACTTTAGCCTTCCATATGTGATAGTCCACGGGGAATTATGAACACTAGTTCATGAGAGCTTTTCTGCCGTGCAACGCAAAACACCGTAAATGCCCTTTTAAATTTTTTGGAAACAATGATGTATCACAGCAGAAAAACTTGTGTATCTTGAGACAATGTTTCTACATAGAATTCAATCGAAAATACTATCAAGAACTTAACCTGAAAATTTGAGCTGCATGGGTAAAACAGTTTTTATTTTACAAAGAAATAAGTTCCAAACAACGGGAGAAAATGTTGATGGATTTACGGCGTTCTTACCAAGTACTAGGGCCGGATTTAGGGGATGACCATACATGGGCCGCGACCCATAGCGGCAAATTTAGAGGGCGGCTTTTACATTTTTTTTAAAATGTCGGGATAAGAAAATTCGGATTCAGAAAAAAAAAAATACAAACGAGAAAAGGTGAAAGAATCTCTCACTTCCTGAGAGTATAGTAATTTCTAATTTTGCCGTCTTTCGGTGATACAAGAGACAGCACCTTTAATTGGTCGAGTTAAGAGAGGAACCAAACACGCAATTTGGCCTGGAACGGCGCGGCAAAGAGCAATGATGACGAGGACTCGAGATGAAAAGAAGAAACCCTCGGCGCGGCGGTCGGCATGTAACACATATAGCGCCTACAAGACTGCATGGATACTTCACGCATTGCGTCAAACACTGTGCGGTCAGCAGCGGTCGGCGGGAGACGCATACCGCCTACAAGACTGCATGAATACTTCACGCATTGCGTCAAATACAGTGCGGTCAGCAGCGGTCGGCGTGAAACGCAAAGCGCCTACAAGACTGTAGGAATACTTCACGCATTGCGCCAAATACAGTGCGGTCAGCGCGGCGCGGCGGCAGTTAAAATTATTAGGTCACATGTATGTTTGTTCTCTCATAATATTTTCGCTCATTACTAGGTAGCTCATTATTAATGGTAGGCCTTGTCCACACAGAGATGGGTACATGGAACTTAACTTTTGAGCAAAGTTCTGTGAACTTATGATCGTAGGGAAAATCAGATTTCTTTGAAATGAGTGAGAAAGCGTGAGTGTGAGAGTCATATTTTGTCAGGGTGGCGCGCCGCCACGCGGCGGTTTTTATCCCTATATTAAAAGAGGATTTATTTTAAGCGTAGGAGGATGCAGTAAAGAGGCTCTTAACTCTTATTATCTGACGGAGACGTTGCCTACACGTGGATTATGCTGCCGTGGTAAGTAAAAACGCTGTATCAGCCGCCAGACGTTGCCAAATCTCTTCTGATAAAGTAAAAAATTTCAAGGAAACTTGCGGATATTTTTCTTCAATTCTTCAGAGAATTGCAATTTAATCTGCAGTATCTGAAAATTTCGAGGAAAAATATTCACACGAAATTAATTTTTTCTGAAGAGAAATTTGGCAACATCCGCATGTTCATATATACGGCTTTTTTCCTTAGCACGGCGGTATGGGAGGGTGCTTTTCGTTTCCAAGTCGTAAAGATTCGTGTTATCTCACCCCCTAACTTAGCGTTGAGAGTTGTTTCATTACCAACTCAAGAGTGCTATTGATCTCTCCCTCTTTCTTTTTCTCGTCGAGCTGAATGAGCAATTGAAGAATGTCACCTGATTTGGGGGTGATGACTTCATAATAAATAAACGAAGTATTCTCGATCTTGTTCCCCTCTACCGAATTGCAAAAATATGGGTGTATCGTTACGTTATCCTCTTGTGCTGCCGTTTGAATTACAGACGTGGGTGGGGATTTAAGAATAATGAAGTTAAAAGACAAATTTAGATTGAAAAGAAGTAAATCACAACGTGATTATATAAGAGCAGTGAACGATACCTGTTCAATACTTGGACCGCGTTTAGCAGAAAGGAACCAAGCCACATCAGCTACTGCCAACTTTAATCGGGAAATTTAATTTTTACAAGAGAACATGTGCGAATTCCTTCGAAAATTTTAAGTTATTTGTTTTGTACTATGCAGTAAATCCACTAAAATTTGCAAAAAAATCCGCGGAACCGTTTTCAAGTAAAAATTAAATTGCCAAATTTCATTTTCAAATTACATTTGGCAATAGCTGATGTAGCTTGGTACCTTTCTGCATAAGGCGGTTCATTTATGGCTTGACATTATAGTGTTCGGGCCTGGAGCTAGTGGTGCATCCATGTGGATAACCCCAGAGTAGAAATGTGTTTGGGGGCACCCCCTCCCCCAAACATTTTTGTAAAAAGAACTCCGCCGACATCGAATTTGAAGCAGTTATGGTTCAAAATAGATAAATATTTAAAAATTAATGAATTTTATCTCTTTCGTTGCAATTCTATTTTCTCTTTTAGGATTTATGAAATCCATCTGGAGTGTCAAGTTTTACAAAACATCCATAACCTTCGTCCCAAAAAATAAAATAAGGTCAGGTATTAGTCTGGTCTTAAAACGATTGTAGTAATATTTCAGGGATGACAATTTTGATACCCTCCTCCTCTTGCTTTTCGCTTTTTCATGCCTTTTTTTGGGGCCCGAGCGTCAGATAAATCAGTATTATTTCGCACCTGTTAAGACTCTCAGGATTTCCTCCTTTTATGAGATTTTCAATTAGAGGAATTATGATCAGTTATTTTTAATGTTTTAATTTTTAATGTCATCGTGCCCTCCCTCTTCTCTTTCTCCCTACGGGACTCCATCGCTCTGCCGTGATAGCGAAGAGAGTAGTGAGTGTCAATTTCGAACTCGAGTTTCCTTCAAAATTCGTCTAAACTCTTTTAGATGAAATTACTGAAATAGCTGAAACAGCGAAATAAATCTTAATTGTATCGAAACGAGAAATATGAGAAAGCCGTAAGTGCGCAAAAAATGACGTAGTTTTAGGCAAGACAACAATAAGTGACAATATTTCTCCAGAGAGGCAATAAAAACAATGCTTTCAAGTAAAAAGCCGCCCTTCTCTGTGACTTTAAAACCTGAAAAGTGTTTGTTGTGTGTCCAAAACGCATAACCACGAAAGCATGCAGAAGATAACACTCACGGTTTTCTTGCCTAATAATAACCTATCATGAAAATTAAAAATACCCTTTTTACACAATGGAAATAAAATCAGTCGATTTTTAATCATCCAAACGATTTCTAGCAGTCTTTCGGGCGATTATTGGCAATTTGACAAAGAACGGAGGCTTCTTTCAATAAAACTCTCCGGTCAGAGGCTTCTGAGCCCGTTTTCTCAAAACTTCATTTTTGCACTTACTGCTCTCTTCGCTATCACGGCAGCGCTGACTGAGCTTTTTTGTTTTGTTTGGAAATTTTTTTAGATCCTGGAGTCGATGCAAGCAGAACAAAGCCGGGGATGCACTCGCATGTAGGTCGGGAACCCAATTTTGCCGCGAAATCAGTGCTCTATTTGCCAGTTAAGGCTGGCGAAAGTCGATATCCTTTGAGCGGCGAGAGTTCAAGGGATAAAAGTGTTAATTCGGAGCGGAAACCCGCTCTGACAGCTTGATTAAAACGAGATATGTGAAAGCAATGTAGCTGCTCCACAGATCTCCCGCCTCTCGACCGCGCTCCATGTCGGACGGATGTGGAGCTTTCCCATCGATAATATAGCGGCGATTATCCCCTCTCAAGCCCCTGAAAGTAGTCTTCTTTACCTGTCTTACACTTCTGCGCCACTCTAACGGGGTTTCTCCGAAGGAAACTAAAGGACAGGTGCCTGTTAGAGCCTTTTTTGGCCCTAAAATTCGACTAAATTTCTACCTTAGGACAATGGACTACTGTTGGAACTAATATTTCTGCCTCATTCACTAAAAACACTCATCTGCCAAGGGAAACTATTGACACATGTCGACTGCAAAAGCGCGTAACTCGATTTGCGACGTTACAGACTTCGTATCATAATCGATTTCCTCAATGGAACGATACTCAAGGTCATCGCTTGAAAACTACTCTCAATTTTTTTATCCATGTAAATGATATCCGGTGAAAATTTCAAGCAATATTAAAGCTAAAAAAGGCTATCAGAAAAATGTCATGGCCGACAGCATATCTGTTATGGTCAGGTCATGTCAATACAATGACAGACGAAATGCTGCTGAGGAAGATGATGATTGGGATCCTCCTGGGAGGAGACGAAGGAGACGCCCAGTGAAAGGGTGGCAACAGGGGGCTTTAGAAGAAATGAGGGTGTGCCAACTCCCTGAGGGGCTTTGGGAGGACTGGGGACTTGGGCGGCTAGGTGTCGCGGAGCGCCAGAGAGCGCTATAAAAGCGACTTTGTATTAAGTACGTAAAAAGCTATTATTGAATACCCGTCTTTCTCCGAAAAAACGTATTTATAAAACGAGGAGTGTTTAACGATCATTTCGGGACAAAAATGTCCGAAACTGTCGAACCGAACTGGAGTAATAGTGGGTTGAAGTTAGCAGAAAAACATAGTTTCAAGGAGAAGCTTTTTGAAAATCTCACCTGTCATGTTCAAGGAACAAAATTGCTGAATTACAATGCAACTTTTCTACTATTGGTATGAAATGAGCATTACCGCACGAAATTTGGTCTTAGTGACACGCAAGAGGGTTTCCCGTCGAAATCTTAAAATCCGAATTTTCAATCCATCTCGACAAAAATCGGTCCACTCTCACTGAACATTTTGCGTCAGTGGACTGAGGTCCCTTTTCCGCTCGATGGGATGATGGCCACACCCGTGAAGAGTATTTATCCGACTATATATACAATTCTTAGTATAACATAGCTATGCAAACCCTCTCTTCGAAAACCGGGTAGGTGACTGCTCAAGTTAGTAATGGTTTCTATTTCGAGGACACTGGATACATCTGGGCTGTTAAGAGGAACAGGGAAATCTATAGCTCAAGGTCAAGCAGTATGCACTGTCAAGGGGTTGAATTTGGAAAATATCCGGACATTGCGACGAATCAATTTTAGATTTCCTCTAAACCACAAGAACTTCCGATGAGTTTCTCTCAGTGAGTCATCTTCATCATTCTTATCAATTCGAGCGTGTCTCTGTCCACTCATAAGTTGATTTTCATTGTGCGAACCTAATTATTCTTTCATTTTCCCTTTCGCATCAACATTTCCTTATGCTTGTCCTCGATTTGATCTTCTTAACCTTGATTTGGCAGTAAGCTGAATGGGGCTTTAAATGGGAGTATACTAGGGGCTGTGGCTTGCAGGATCTTCTACATCGACGGTGTAAGTCGGTATAATCACATAACTCGGTTTGCGAGGTTGCAGACTTCTTGTCATATTTCATTTTTCAAACGGAAAACTACTCAACGGCAATTCTTTAAAACTGCCGTGGTTTTTCTCCTCTGTGCGAAGAAAATTCTGCATAATCTTCAAGGAATGATGTCAATTTGTTCTCCTCTAAAAAAAAATAACATAGAGCCGGAGATTTTCAGACACCGCAAACGAGATATTTGATTACGGACTTACGCCGTCGGTATGTATGAATTGTAAGAAGGATGAAGCGAGGAGGTTTTATTAAGTGGGGAAACATATTCGCGATCCTTTGAAAATTGAAATTCAGAAATATGTGATAAGAAAACAAGTATAAAAGTCAAAGCTTCGCGGTGTAATTATGATGGTTTTATAGACAACAATGACGTTACTGTGAATACCATGCCGTCAAAAATTATATGATAAATGCATGAAAAATATGACCAAACACACGGAAAGGGACTTGAGTACTTTTTTAAGGTATTTATATCTTCAAGATTATATTGGGTTTTTTTAAATTAAATTTTTGTTTTGATTTTAATATCTTAGGATGTGCGCTTCGCATCTTCAAAACTACCTCACAAAAACTACTCTGAAAAAGAGTTGAGTGTGGAGCCTTGATGCAACTATTCGTGTTCTACGGACGTGCGTGTTGCATATTCAAAAATTGAAGGCTCTCCTGCTGTTCTCACTTAATCAGAGGTACACGGGACTCGTCTCAGTTATAGCACCCAAGTAAAAGAGTGCATATACAGGGTAATCTAAAAATTCATTTTATCCCTTCCAACTTTTCACCTAATTGAAGTAAAATTTTTAAACTTGGAGGACGTCCCCAGGTCAATGAGAGCTACTTTTTGACCACCCAATAATAGAACTGCCGTGATTAGAAAGACCGCCGTGAATCCATCAAGATTTTCCCTCGTTTTTTTGGAACTTAACACTATTTATAAAATAATGTATAAACCGTTTTACCCGCATGCACATCAAATTTTCAGTATAGATTTTTGATAGTATATGCGAAAGAATTTTAAAAAAATATTATCCTAGGGTACACAAGTTTTTCTGCTATGATCCATTGTTTCCAAAAAATTACATTTTTTTACAAAAAGCGTTTTTGCGTTGCACGGCAGAGCAGGCCTTGTGTCTAAATTAAGAGGTAAGATAGAAATAAGAAAACAGAAGAGATTCTTTTAAAACTTACTCCCTTCTTTCGGTTTAAAGTTGTCGATTAGTGCCAAACACTGGTTTTCAGGTAACATATGATACTGATCATCAGAGACGATGACATTTGAGCTCATACTGCCGGTTCCGGCGTGGCATTCATAATGGTGACGCGAGTCAGTCTAGCTTCATCCACCATTAAAGCAGCTTTGTCATAAATTGTCAATGAAAGTATTTTAGGCACTCGCCGGCCTCCTCATTAAACACCAACACTCCCTCTCATCATGCGGCAACTTCGCGTCAAAAGAATACTTTGCTCCCTCAGCAGGACACTGTCCCTATATATTTATGCTCTCGACCCGATTAAACTCTCCATTCACATCTCCGGTCTTTTGTTCGCTCATTCCTTTCAATTTGCTTCACGTCCAATCCATTTGTTTTTTGCCTTGACTTAACGCCCCTCTACCCGTGGTCCAACGGCACCATCGTCGAGCTTGCTGTCCATTCAAATGAGCTGGATGGCGGTGGGTTGAGGTTATGGAATCAATTTTTGGCCAAGATCTGGAACAAACAAAGAAAAACACTTCATAGGCAAATTGTTGCAGAGTTTTATCTTATTTATGAATGAAGGGAAGGGCTTAGAGAACAAGGCACATGAGTGCAGTTTTTGCTAATTTGAGAAATACGTGTTTGAAGTTTCGAAATTACATGGATCCTTATGGCGCAGAGAAAGTTCAACCTGACTTTTCGATGCTTGAAAATTGGAATTTGGGGACGAACTTTTCTAAGAATTTACATAAAGACTAGTTTCACTTGAAATCATTATTATATCTCAATTTTTTCAAAAACTTCACTTATACGCCTTGTCCTCCAAGCCCTTTAAATGAGGACTCCACCATCACCATCCATCAACATGAGTATTACATAAGGGATAATTGACTGATTTATTTATTTATTCACAAAATTTCCGGAAAAATCTCAATATCATATTCACAATACATAACTAGGCTTATTTATCGAGATCTGTCAAAATAGAAGTATTAGGGCACTTAACACCAAAAAGAGAGAAACATTCTGCAGAAATTTTTTGCAGGAGTATTAAAGTATTCATATATATTGAGACTCATCCCCAAAAAAATTAATCATACCTAAAAAATATGTATTACTTCAGCGTAATATTTGGATAAATTATTGACATTTTATCGGAATCATTTTCCTGCGTAAACATTAAGATCTATACGGAAACTCAAGCACTATACCATACACACGATCAATTTTTATGCATAAGTATTATCGAGGACAATAAAATGAAACCGTGCAATTTAATTTCTTTGCACTGACAAGCTGGAACCAGTGCTTCCATTCCATGCCCGTCAAAAAATCCGGGATTCGGAACTTTTTTGTTCCAATTTCTCCCTCTCCCTTACCGTCAAAAGCCCCGGGATTCTTTTCAGATTTTTTCAAAAGTTCCGAGAAAATTCCGGACGATGCAAAAGATCCGGAACATATCGGGAATTTCAATAATTTTGGGGAAAAATTCAGAAAAATCTAACAAATTCCGGAATGTGGAACTAGTTCCGGGAAATGGGAGCACTGAGCTGAACATCCTTGCTGAATTCATAAAATTGAGACCTACTGAATAATGCACTTGGTACCGAATTATGTCATTCTCTGCCTGCCGTGCAGCCCGAAATATAGACAGACTTATCTGAAATATTCACGGGTCACGGTTGAACACGTGATGTAATGTCCTCATAAATTCTTGAACACGTGCGTGTGTTCTTTTGAGCGTGCGGTTTGGGAAGGGCGAATCGGGGGAGCTGCAATAGCCTGTCTGCCTATGTCAGTTTAGGGCCATCGTCATTGATCATTTGAAATTGACAAGGCTTCTTGGTTCTTGCTCACTCCCGATCGGAGTTAACTCGAAACCGAGTCGTTACCCTCACGAAAGGACGTAACTCCATTTCAACGTTGCCAAATTTCCTCTCACAAATTGCATATATTAACAGGAAAATCTTGGGAATTTCTACACGGAAAAAAATAAGGAGGTCGACACAACCAGCGGCTGGTTAAAAATGCGCCAGCTACCGTGCCGTAGTTACGATAACTACCGCAAGGTAGCTGGCGCATTTTTATCCAGCCGCTGGTTGTGTCGACTACCCTATTTTTTTCCGTGTAAATGGAAAGGAGGGACATCGATAAGGGCCTTTTTTGGCCCCCTAGAGCATATCATCTGACTAAAACCAAACTAGGGTTAAAATATGTCCTAAAGGACTCTTTGATAACATATCAAAAGCTCGCTTAAGTTGGACGATGTGCTGGGTGTCAAGCAGCCTCGGAGTGATAGATTAACACGCATTTTTCGCTAAAATGCGCCTGCAGACCTATTTTCAAGCAACCTTTAAACACGTATTTAGTGGCCTATGGACCAAATCATGATTATTTGCGTAATCTACATTGAGTCAACCTTGGAGAACCCGCATACATTTCCAGATTCTAGGGGGGGGGGGAGGCCCTTATCGATACCCCTCGTCCTTTTGCTACTTTTTCCTCAGATACCATTAAAAAATCACAGCATTTTGGATGAGAATGATACAAGAACATTTTTGTAAAATAAATAACCATGTAAAATTAATGCAATTTGTACCATGTAAAATTAATGCAATCTGACCATGTAAAATTAATGCAATTTGTAACCATGTAAAATTAATGAAATTTGTACCATGTAAAATTAATGAAATTTGTACCATGTAAAAATAATGCAATTTGTTTAGTTTTAGTTTTAAGCCACGTGGATAGATACAAGGAAATACTTGTAGTAGTTACGTTATATTTAAATAAAATTCTTTCAAAAAAAATAATGAATAAATCGATTGATTGAGTCAATTGGGCAACCTTGGAATGGAGTTCGGTTCCTTCGTCCGAGAGACGACAGTGTGGGTGGATCTTTGGAGAGGGAGAACAGGAATTCTGTCCGGGCGGAAGCAAAGTAAGCCCTCGAAAGTCGAATTTTCTAATTGCACATTGGCATGGGACCAAAATGAGATTGGAGAGAATGCGCAAAGGTCGCTGGAAGGGGGTGAGAGTGGGAGGGAAGGGTCATTCAAACGCTAGCGCAACTGTGAAAAGTATCCACTTAAAGAAAGTGGTGATCCACTTTTAGCCAGGAGGCACAAAAATGCATTTAATCTGACTGGAACTAATTCGAATAATAAAGCGAGTTATTTTTGTTGGGTTCACATTTTTTTTCAACTCGGCTCTGAAATGCCCATTGTTATCTACCTCCTTTTGTTCAAAATACCCATTATACATCGCGTAATCAAAATATAGTGCTACGGTTTATTCAAAATTAGAAGCTACGTTCAATTTCAGTTTTAATTGTCAGTATGTGTACTTGTAGATTTTTATTTACGCCATTGGAAATTATTTTAGAGCATTCTTTAAGGTTTAAAATATAATCGATGCGAGTTTAAATGTGAAAAGAGTTTTAAAAAAAATCTCTTATAAGATACAGTCATTTTTTAATGCCTGATATTTTTGAACGAAAAGTTAAAAAAAAAAATTTCAAACAAGTGTAACCTTATGGAGAATGGACCACTAGACAGGGTACGAATTTTAGCATTCTAATACATGTTCCTGAACCAAAATTTCACGTAGAACACGATTCGTGCAACAAAAGTTACTGAAACAAACTCTTAGCGAAGATATTTACGTTTTTATTTCACATCAGTTACGAGGAATTTAAACTGGCCGCTCACAGGAAACTCAAAGCTCTACGTGAGTCAAATCGCGCACTACAATGGTTTCAGCAAGCTTCTCAATCGAGTAATGTTCATTTCCCACCATAAGTTGTTCAAACTATAAGCAATTTGCTATTGCTGAGCCAAAGCGTCAAGACTGAGTTTGCCAGATTTTTATATCGCTGAGACGTTTATGATAACGTTTAGCGCGCGATGTGAATCACGTAGATCATTGAGTTTTCATAAGCGGGTGGTTTGAATTCACGCATCAAGAATCATTAAATATCTTCATAAGGAGTTGATTTAGGTATTTTTCGTTGTGCGTATCGTGTTCTACGTGAAATTTTGGTCAGGAAACATGAATCAGAATGCTGAAATTCGTACCTTCTCTAGTGATCCATTGTTTTACTTTACATTTTAATCAAAGATATACCTTAAAAAAGTACTGTCATAGATTTTAACATTTTTTCACAAGTTTTAGTGAGAGGTAAAGTCCATCCTACCTACTGGGGTTGCTTCTACACATAAATTACTAACCATGTCTAATTTTTCAATCCATTCGTTGCCATATTTTTTCATGCATGATCAAAAAATTTTCTGTAGGGTCCGTGGAGTCACAAAACAGCAAATGTGGTAAAAACTCAGCTACTTTATACACTACAGGCAGCTAAAATTAGAGAAAGATCCAACTTTTGACGCCAACCCTGGTAAAAATTGGCGATAGGAGCTGCGTTTCAAAATACCATAGGAGTTCTTATAGCCGACTGAAGAAGGCGATAGAAAATCATATAGCTGGCTATAGAAAGTGGATAAAATCATACGGCCGGGCTGCACGAAGCGATAAAAAATTATACAGCCGGGCTATAGTTCCTATCGGCGGGCTTCACACTTTATCGCCTGGCTGTTGCTTTTTCGCTATCGGCTATAAAAGGCTATAAGAAATTGTGTAGAAATTCGTGTGCATTGTAAATCCTTAAGTTTGTACGGAATCACCTTAATATTTACAAAACGCACATTATATTTTCCTTCACTACATATTTTTTTTCATCAATTAAAATGAGAATAATTCATACAGAGTGTGCAAACATTTCAAAGTCATGAGTTGGAAAACGATGACTCCACGAGATTAAATACGTATTAGAGCCTAACACAAAGCGGAGCAGCGGCGCACTAGCGCCTACAAACCTAACAGGGATACTTCACGTATTGCGCAATGCGTGAAGCATCCCTGTTAGGTTTGTAGGCGCCAATGCGCGTTTCGCGCCGGCTGCCCGCCCGCCGCGCCGCGCCGCAGCGTACCACGGAGCTTGAAGCAACTATTTCACACCAGAGGTATTGTACAGTATCATACGAAATTGAAGGCGCTCCAACATATTAGGAATGGCAGGCATTCTTCAAAAGCACGGAGCTTTCCTCGCAAAATAAATCAAGATACTACGGTCAAAAAAGAGAGTGGTAGTCCAAAAACTCACTAAGTCTTAGCATCCGTAATTAGTAACGTTTAGCATACACTATATCGCCAGGCTGTTGCTTAATCGCTATCGGCTATAAAAGGATATAAGAAATTGTGTTGCCGGCTATAGAAGCTATTGGAAATCTTACAGCCGGCTGTAGGTCTATGGTAAAAGAAACACAGATTCTACTGCCAATTTTTACCAGGGAAACACTACCTCTACCAAAGTGATTTAAATTCAGAACTTAGCAGAGTCTGAAATTAATTCACAAAAGAAGTAATATATTTTCACGTGCCCATTTTGAGCACTTTTAATTTTACAGCGAAAAAAGGCCATGATGAGCATCTGCCCTATATTTTAAAATATT